ACATCTAGAATAATTCATCCATGGGCCAGATAAACTCTTGAGTATCACCGTATGTAATGATCACGTCATTGCTGTTCTGTTTCCAGAGAAGACTACCATGCCAAGAAAGCAGAAGAGAGAAAACATTACAAAGCAGAGACAAAAGCAAAAGCTAAACAGTGAGTACACAAAAAATACCTACCTGTCCTAAAAACATACTCTACATATTGTTCCACAATTACTGACCCTCCTCCAAAATTATTATTCAGGGACAAGGAACAGCAGCAGAAACATGCAGAAGATAAAGAAATGGTAAGATCCCCCCCGAAGTGTGTACAGGTTTCTCACTACGATGGACTCTGGTCACAGTGATGATGGTTTGTTGTTTCTGTTTCAGGGTCTACTTTTGGACGAACAGACAGGCTGCTTATTGAAGTTTTCAGGAGAGCTTGAAGATGTTTCAAGAGAAGACTTTCATGAATTGTTCTCTGGCCACGGAAAGATAAAGTGGGTTGATTTCACAAGAGGGGCCAAAGAGGTAAGTTAACTCTCCACCATTAAAGTCACACTCAGGGTAAAGAGATGCAACGTAGTTAAAAATGTGTTTTTTTGCTTTCAACAAGGGAACACTCCTGTTCGACGGGAACGCAAAGGAAGCGTTCGATAAGGCCAAAGAGGCAAGCGGAGCGGAATTGAAAATCAAGGACAACAGTGTTACGTGGCAGGTGCTTGAGGGAGATGAGGAGAAAGAGATGCTGAAGAAGATAATTGAAGCTCAGCAAGAATCCTACAACAGGACCAAAAGCAGAGGTAACAATTATTTTTCAAACTAGCAGCTGATGGAGAATGATTTGTAGCTCATCAGTGATTAGTGTATTGTATTTATGATTTGGTACTGATGTATTTTGTGTGTCCTTTAAGGTGGCAGAGGAAGGGGAGGCGGCAGAGGAAGAGGAGGCCGAAGGGGAAGAGGTGGCAGAGATCAAGGCAGAAATCAATACAGGGGCAAAAAGACGAAATTTGACAGTGACGATGATGACGGTGGTAAGTTCCACATCTTTCAGCAGGGGTCCCACTTCCACGTTGGTCCCCATTTTAAAAACAACCGTTGACAACATTGTTGATCATATCTGCTTTGTTTCCTCTAGAACCCGCAGCCACAAAGAGAGAACTAGAAGACGCTGACGGTCCTGCAGCAAAGGTTGCCAAAACTGAAAATGGATCTTAGTCAAAAGGTCGCACCCAGAAATACAATTTTTTTTTTTTGAAAACATTTATTATAAACAGTGAAAACGCAGAGGCAATTAAATCCATTCCAGTGAAAGCATCAGGTGTTGGAGAATCGTAGGAAGTCCACCTGGATGTCCACCTAGAGAACAATTGGCAAAAGCTTGGCGTCAGTTTTTCAGCCTTTTAAGTCCCTGTATATTGTGCCTCTCACATTATTTGTCTACCTTTTGTTTATCTTCTTAAGATGTCTTTTGATTTTATCATATTCAACATAAATGTGCTCTTTGAAAGTAATTTAATTTCATCAATTTCAATTAGTTGGTTTTGTAAGACCTGTGACATCTAGAGTCTGTGTGCCATTGTGTTTTTTTTTCCCTTGTAGATTTCCTACATTGAGTGAGATCATCTGCTTTGCTATTTTTTTAAGTTTGCATATGTGAATAGCAAATAAAACATTTATAAAAATGAATCAAGATCAGTTTGAATGGGTTTTGTTTTCCTGAAACTGTAGTGTGATGCATTTGTACAAGCTTACCGATTTCTTTTTGTGGAACTTGTAGGATGCCGGCAAATCATATCTTAGTTCTGTAAAGAGGGCACATAGTCAGTGTTTGAATGTGTTAACTGTAGAGAAGATGTACTGTATTATTCTTACCTGCTATTACTTCCATCTTCACTCCCCAGTCATTTGCCTTCTTTTGTATATGCTGTAATCAAAGGAGGGATGAACGTCAAGCATTTCAGTCTCCTTGCCAGAAATGAGACTTAACATTTGACTTAAGTAGTTTTTTTTCCAGGTATCTACTTTCTACATTTTGAAAACAGGCTCATAACTTTAGTGGAATTTTTTATATATATCTATATTTATTAATATTAGTTTTGCATCATTGCATGCCTTCTGAGCATCGGTGCAGATCACACAGGACAGACCAACAAGCCAAAAACAACAAAGATGAACAAATAAGACCAAACACAAGAAAGGGAGACTTGACCCTGTTTGAAGTAGAAATGTCCTTCAGAAATATGAAGAGTGCTTTTTACTTTTATACTAGGAGTACATTTTAGAGTCTGTACTTTTTCCCTTTTACTTGAGTAAAGAAGTTGAATCAGTACTTATACCTGAGTCTGTTTTTACACAAATGTCTGTACTTGAGTAGAGAACGTTTGTACTTTCCCACCTCTGGTTTTCAGCTTTACACAAAAAATGTTCAAATGTAATTTAATGGTCAGCAATCAGAGACCTGAAAGACTTCCTTACGAAGACTTGTAATGTGACAAAGAATTGCCTCAAAAGCTCTAAGACCACTGTGCTGTAAATGTGCCTGTATGGATACCGAGCTTACCTCTCGTGTTGATGTTTTATGAAGTGAATACACTGCTGTCTTTGCCATTGTTAAAGCGGCCCGTAGGAACTTCATGTCCATGCCTTCAATAAAGAATACAAACAAATGTCAAACTGCATGAAACTCGACTGGGCTAACACTAAATAAAAGGGTAAAAGGAGCGGTAAACATTTCACAAGGAGAATTACTCAGCCTGTGAAAACTGTTGTTAAATGTCTTGTGGCTTTAGAGACAGCTGTCTAATGCCATGTTCAGGTCATGTAGGGGTTACCATGGTTACCAGTTTCTGACTTATATAGTCATTGCAAAATGCAATGTGATTATGTTTGATTTTTCTGAAAGCTTTGGTTCATCCGACTTTGTGCCTGATAATACAGAAAAGATTGTATGTCCCAGTTAACACAAATATAATGAATATTGTGCCACATCATCATTAAAAACAACTCTGATCCACTAAGTAAGACGACAGGATGTGGTTACTGGAAAGAGATATTATGTGGTAATGGTTTTTTTTTTTTGTCACATTCAGCAATCCTCTAATTATCTAAACAGAATAATATTCACAGCATCAAGTCTGAGGAAATTGCATTAAAATCTGGAGTTTTGGGACCATTATAGGATATTTAATATACTATTCTTTTGAACAAATCTGGCTTAAAGTTCGCCACTAAATCAATTTAATATCCCAGATTTATGCACACAACGCGAGCTGAAGGGGCCACTGTCCCATTGTCTTTGGCAATGCAGTGAGAAAAAGTCTTTTTGTGAAAAGGTTAAAAAAAAAAAAAAGCGGTAGAAAAGATCTCAAAAGACTGGAGACCTGAGTTTTTTTATTTTAGCCAAACATGACAAAAGTGAAGAAATAATGACCGACATGCTCCACACTAAAAAGATCGATCGAAACCTTCACAAAGACTGACATATATTCTAAAAGGGAAACAAGATATGTTTACTGTTCAATGTACGGATCTATTAGATGATGAAGAGGAGGAATGAGTACTCCACGATGAAACCTTGCAATAATCTGAGCTCAGTTTAGTAAAGATAATAAAATACTTTAAATTCCAAACCTGCTCTTATGTTTATGTACATACAAAAGATTGTTTCACCTCTGAGAAGTTGTTCTTTGTGACTTTATTTTAAAGGCATTTCTTTGATGTACACATAACATATTCTATATTAAACATATGGGCTATATGTTGGAGTAGCCCTTTAAACTCACCTTGGTTGTGTTTTGTCCCAAACGGTGGATTCATTATGACTGTGTCAAACTTTTTGGCATAAGCGTCCGGCTGCAGAGAGCACAGGTCACACTGCAGCAGATCCACGGTACCGATCTCAAACTCCTCTGCGTTTCTTCTGAATATGTCCAGCGCGTCGTTGTCAATGTCGAAGCCGACGCACAGACTGAGGAAGAGGAGGAAGAGGAAGAGAGAAGGGAGGTGGGATGAGGAATGATTAGAAAGTACAGCTGTTATCCCAAATGTGTTGAGACGCCTCTCACCCTGCATCAAGCATCGCAGCCCCAACGCTGAGGACTCCGCAGCCACATCCCAGATCCGCCACTAGTTTACCCTCAATGTCATCAAACGTGCTCTGGATCGTGTAAAGCATGCATGCTGTGGAGAGTAAAGAAGACATTTCATTTCATTTTGCAGATTTAAAATGAAGAAAGCTCTCCAGTGAGGACCCGTTGTCAGCTCACCAGCGATATGAGGACTGGTTGGATATTGTTCCAGGAGGATTTTGGGCTCTTCAAATGTGTCCACCTGCTGTAAGTTACTCTCTAACTCTTTTAGTTTCATCGTTAGCGGCTGTGACCCCTGTGAGCTATTTCAAACGATTATTATTGAGCTGTGATTGTGTATGTTCAGCATGGTTGTGGACGACTTCCGCATGAGCGTGGGCATCGATCAAAACAATCCGACTTTGACCCCGGAACTTGTGATAGTAGTTCCCCCCACCTGCATTAGTTTAGCTTTTTACATAAAAAATAATTTACTGTATGTAAAGTTTCTTACAGGTGTCTTAGAATAGGAGTTAGTTCGTTACAATAGAAATGATACCATTACTGCAAGAAAATAATAATAAATAAAATTAAAAAAAAACGTAAAAATTAATAAATAATATATACAGCTATGATGAAATAAACAAATGACAACGTGACTGCAAGAAAACAATAATAATACATACATTTTTTTTAATAAATAACATACAAATTGGATTAAATATAAAATAATTAAAATGTGAAATAAAAGTAATGTACAAAAACGAGGGGAATTATTTAATTGGGTAATTAATATAAGTATATAACTTATTATATAAGTTATATATCAGTCTTATGATGGAGGGATGTTTAAAGCAGTTACCTAGAAACAAGAAAACAAAACAGCATTAATTACTGCGCATGCACCGAGCTGGTTAAAACCCGCAGGAAGCCGCAGACTCGACGAGAGCAAATACATTTAACTAATTTAACAGTTAATTAGATTTAAAAATAAATAAAAATAGTAAACACTTTCCTCCAACTAGATTCACGTTTACTTACTTTACTACGCGGATCGTAAATTACATATTTGGAAATCCGTCCGCGAACAACGACATAACCCCAGATATCGCGAGAAACCGCGAGAACATGGAAACAAGACAACAAAAATAAATTTGTGGACAACAAGCCAGAGTGCATGATGGCGGCGTCGCTGCTGCTGCGCCGGGACAAGAAAGCCACTGCCGCCCACTTGAAGGCAGACTTAAATCGGACTGACAACAGCTCCGGGGTCCGACAACTTCAGGAGCTTCTCGACGCTGTGCTAAATCCCGAAAAACCAGCGGCGGACACGGACGCTCTCGACTGGTGTAAATGTCTGCTCGCAGGAGGAGACGGTTTCGAGGAGTTCTGCAAAACGGTCCGGTCCTATGACAACGCGACTCTCTGCGGCTTGGTTTGGACCGCTAATTTCGTGGCGTACCGCTGCCGGACCTGTGGCATCTCTCCGTGCATGTCGCTGTGTGCTGAGTGCTTCAATAACGGAGACCACACGGGCCATGATTTCAACATGTTCCGGAGCCAGGCTGGCGGGGCCTGTGACTGTGGAGACGGTAATGTCATGCGAGAGAGTGGGTAAGTCCGAGCTAGCTGCTCTGTTAGCTATCGGCTGCTGTGTGACAGGTGTTGGTGGGATAAGTTGATTTAATTAAATGTCCCGATCGGTTTGGTTTGTGTCAGCTGGCTTTTTGATATTACGGTGCTCCTGTCTTTTATTGGTAGGAAACCTTCGACTAAGCAGCTCTGCTCAGAGGCTTTAGTCAGCCTTGCTAACCATAACAATAATTCTCCCACCATAAGCTGTAGTTTCTATTTATCTGTATGTGACTGCTTAGATATGGTCTGGGATTAATTATCGTGATACAAACCTGTCTTTTACTACTGAATTATAGTGGAGGGGTTGCTGTAATTTAACTATTTAATGTTAAATTAAATTAGTGTTTCTGTCCTGTACCTGACTGTATCTCCTTCCTTTATGCTTTTCCTCTTAGAAACCTATTGTAAATAATATTATTAATTATAGTTTAGATAAACAATATTGTATGACTGAGTCTAAATAATGCACAGTTATTGTCACAGGTTTTGTGTTGTTAATTTGAGTTTATTAATTAATTTGTGATATTACATTTTGAGAGGACTTTGCTGCTGACTGATGAGTCTCATTCAGATACAGTCTTGAGGAATATGAGCAAGAGATATATAACATTAGTAGATTGTGTGTTACTGTGGGTTAAACTATATGTATGGGCAAAAATAAAAATAACTCCCTGATGCTCACCTAATCCCAACATCCTAAACTTCAACCCCACCCAACATTCAAACCTTACATATATAAAAGCAAACAAAAATGTAACTAAATAATGTTACACCCGACAGGACCATTTTGAAGCATCTGCTTCTGAATTGCACTTAGTGTCGTGGTTTCACCTGTTAGAGTGAAGCTGAGTTGATACATTATTGGATTAATGAAAGAGAGACAGACAGCGATGGCTGCTTTGATCTGTGTGAGAGATCTGCAAGGTCAACATTTATTTGTTTTGTTTTTCTCTGACAGGTTTTGCAGACCACATCGGTTGAGAACGGGGGAGAATGTCCCTTCAATACCCCGAGACCTTCTCTTGATGTCTGAGATGGTTCTTCCTCGCTTCATCCTGTGTATCATACAGTATCTGAGAGATGGATACATTGAGCCAGGTGACGCTAGAGCTCCAACGATTAATTGATTTGTTGGCAACTATTAAATTAAGTGGTTAATAAAAATTTGCTAATTTTAGCCTCTGAAATGTAAATATTTTCTGATTTCTTTAGTCTTCTGTGACAGAAAACTTCATGCACCAAACAACTAATTGACTAATCGAGGAAATGATCGACTGATTAAGAAATAATGAAAATAACCATTAGTTACAGCTCGAGGTGACATCAGATAATAAACTTGACTTTAAATTATTCTGCATCCATACTGTCATTTACGTTAATTTTTACATTTTATATATGATGTGGATCTCCTGTTGCAAATCATATGCAAAACAGGACCTGCTGTGCAAGCCGGATACCAGTGTTATACAACTGTTTACATCCAAAATGACGTTGACAATGTACTAAGTCTGAAGGCTTATATCTCTTATCTTGCTTTGCCAGACACCTCAACTGAGAGAGATCTACAGAAAGTCCTGCAGCAGCTGGAGCCTCAGATCTCTTTCCTAGAGGAGCTCACGAAGATGGGAGGAGCAATGCGGACTGTACTGACAAAGATCTTGACCAATCAGCAGACATTCAAGGAGTTGAGCATGGGTAAATATCTACACCAGAGTTTGTGTTAGACCAACATAGGTTTATAGAGATTGAGCATTGTCATAGCACAGAAGTGTAGTGGTGTCTTTCTTGGTTTTGGGCACTTTTTTAAACGAAGTATTATTGTGTTGTTGTTTCCTTACTGTAGTCGGTTGCCAATACATTAATACCCCTAGGTTACTCATTAGGAAAAGCCAGAGTCTATTTAAGCATGTATAAACATTTTCTTTTTTTTTTTTACATCAAAATAATTGTTGTTCTAATTTCCGTTCTGCTTCACTGCTGCAGGCCAAGAGGAGAACTTGTATGCTAAAAAGAACTATGACAAGTATCTGTCAGCCTTGAAGAATTCAGGTCTGGTGTCTGTGGAGGAGAAAGGCCAAGGTGCTACAGCTGATGTCACTGTTGGTGCTGAAGGAGGTGCAGGAGCAATGGTCCTATTGGGTAAGATAACCATTACATATTATATGAAGCAAATTTTCATTTAACCGTCTATCAGCTGTTATGCAAAATGCTATTAAATCAAAAAGCAGTCAGATGATTGGTAGTAAAGTGTGCACGTATGCACATTATTCTGTGCCACCACAGTCCCATGAACCTGCAGTAACTACTTTCTCTAACACTTTCTACACACGTTATTCTTGAACTGCTTGTATCATATCTGTTCCAGATAATGTTCATGCATGATATCAGTTGGTTAAGGTCAACAAATAAAGTTTATCACCAAACAGCACAGACCATAGCATAGGGCTGCACTATTAAATTAAATATAGTTGAAATCACAGTATGGCTCAGCGCAATATCCAAATCATGCATTTTTTTTGATAAAAGGTATAAAGTTTGTGTTTGTTATACAAATCTTGTTCTCCAAATGTAAGAAAACGTTTGGTACAAATCCCTACAGATGTCACGACGTCATGAAATTTGTATTTTTTTTTCCAGTGAAACTGAAAATGCAAAAACACTAATTTCCACTAATTGTGACTCATATCGATATTGTAATATCTCTCCAGATGAATGCAATTTTTTAACCATATTTTGCAGCCCAACTACTTAACACTTCTTTCCAGAGAAATCCAACTTTGCACACATGATTTTGAAAGAACTAGAAAGTGTGTCACATCTTAATGTAACCCATATTTTATACTACTGTTTGAACAAATTGGTAGTTTTGCAGACTGTGATATGTCTGCATGTGTTTGTGCTGTGCCTTAAGAAGCTTCTAAAGGCTACTTCGCTAAATGGTTTTCTGGTTTTCTTTAGGAACCACTGCACCAGGGAGCCCAGATGAGTCTAATAAAGAGGTTTGTGCCAGCATCACACACATAATAGCAACATTTAACCATTTTCAATTTAACTTTAGTTTAGGGTCCAGAAGATTAGTCTGTAATTTTTTATTAATAGAAACTTTTGTTTTTTAAATGTAAAAAAAATCACCAGTGTTCAGAGCCTACATAGATATCTTAAATTAAGTATTTGTTTGGGATTTTTACTTGATATTTAGATTAGATGATTAAGATGTTACCAAAATGGATGTTAATGAATTTTTTGCCAATAAACATTTGAGGTTAGTCTATTTGATCTACAGTTAATTCAATATTTTGTACACTTGTTGGTTGAAATTGTTGTTGTTTTTTTCCTCTCAGGAGGACCAAGATGCAGGGCAGTCTGTTGGCCAGAGGAAGAGGGTTAAGCTGAGCAGCAGTACCAAAGGTAAATGTAAAGAAAATGTAATGAACCAGTATATATTACGTGAACCGTCCATCTTATTATGTGTCTTTTCTGCCCTCAGACCCGTGTATTATTGAATCTCTGAAGCATAAATGCTTCCTGGAGGAGTTGCTGTTTTGGACAATAAAATATGAGTTTCCTCAGAAGATGGTCACATTCTTACTCAACATGTTGCCAGATCAGGATTACAAGGTATTTTCTCTTCCATGGTAACATTTATTAGCAATGTCTGCTTTCACTTTTAGCTGTATGTCTGTTCTATAATTTCTTCATGGTTTAGACTCTTGGGTACTGAAGTGATGCTTTTAATATGTATTTGGTTTTGAAAGCAAATGGAATTCTCCTTTAAAGCCACAACATTGCAACAGTAAGCCTTAATTGTGGTATTGTTTTTTTTAACTCTTCCTGTCTGGCAGATCACCTTTACAAAAACATTTGTTCAGCATTATGCATTCATCATGAAAACACTGATGAAAAGCCACGAGTCGGACACAATGTCCAACCGCATTGTACATATTAGTGTGCAGCTGTTCAGCAACGAGGAGCTGGCTCGACATGTGACAGAGGAGTGTCAGCTGCTGGACATCATGGTCACAGTCCTCCTCTACATGATGGAGAGTTGCCTTATTAAAAGTGAGCTTCAGGGTAAGTTCTCCAAATGTGTCAGATTTTTACTTATTTTCATTTAACTCACCTCATCACCCTGCAAATTGTTTGTGTAAAGAACGAAGCAGGTGATTTTCAGCCTGAGATTTTCTGACTGGGTTTGTCAGAAGCGATTGTTGATCTTGCATCTGATCATTAACTTCTTTGGCAGTATGCATGGTGAGACTGAAACGCAGGTTCAAAGATTTCATGTCACAACTCAATATGTCAAAATGTATGCACCCACTAACAAAACCCAGTGTCATGGATTGACATCATACCAAGAGGTCATAGGCTCATCATTAGCTGAGTATTTATAAAGTCTGCACTTTGTCAATTTTAGATATGCAAAAAATGGGTACAGCAAGTCTGTGAAATGTGTTAAGAAGAAAAAACTGGACTGCTTTCAAAAGAGTGAAATGCAGCTGTTAATTTTGCTTTGTATTTTTAATCATTCTCAGTGCTGAAACAAAAACATGCACAGATGTTTCGTCCCTCTGGCCTTTCTCTTTGTGCAGGCCCTAAATGAAATAAGCCTGATTTAAAAAAAAATTAGAATTATTACTCCGTATTGACAGCCAGGTTTTGAGTTGTGTAACTTGTGAGTGTGTTCTCCTCCTCCACATATTCGCCTGTTTCTTTTGATGTGTTAAACATTTTTAAATAACAAAATATAAAATGAGCCAAAATGCAATTGACTTAATGTCTGTGTGTTTCCTTGTCTCTTGTTTTTTTTTTCCCCTTTAGATGAAGAGAACAGTCGCCATGTTGTGGTGAACTGCAGCGAGGCTCTGTTGAAGAACAACACCTACTGGCCATTAGTTAGTGACTTCATTAACATCCTCTCACACCAAAGTGTAGCGAAAAAGTTCCTAGAGGACCATTCATTGTTGATGCTGTGGATGAGCTTTGTATCGTTTTTCCAAGGTAAGTGAAAAGCCCTTCCACAATAAAAAGTTTGAATGCAGAACTAAATATCCATTGAAGGACAAATGCTGCATATATCTACCATCGATAATTCAGATTAGATGTTTTAGAGTTGAGACAGATAATCACGAAATAGAAGTTTGCTCTTTGATCCCAAAGCCTCCTCAGGTTGTGCCTATTACTTATGCTGCTGTTATTTGTTTGTCCTTGATTAATATTTGCTTTTGTACCCCTGACTATTCATTTCTGGCACTGCAGTGGTTTGATAAGGCCACTACACTATTGAATATATCTGTAATTTGTGATACAAACTTCATGAGGTCAAACACAACACTTTTAAAGTTTTTATTACTGCAGATTTCCAGTTAGACTTTATTTATCAACAGTATGCTCAGTAAGAAGTGCTTCTGATAATAATGTCATAGAAAAAGTGAGTTGTGGGGTGCATAACTCTTTGTAGTTATAATTGTGGTTTGTGCTGCACATTTGCCACGTGTACTCTTAACACGACCCTAAAAATAACACTCACCCCTGCACAGTGGGCTTGAGTATCCTCTTGCTGACGTTATGTGCAAGTGTCACTATTACATTGTATGTATGTCTGCTGCACTGCTCTTGCTTTAATCTCTGGTGTCTGATACTGATTTATTTGGCTCTCATAAGACCTATTCGGTTCAGAAGAATAGATATGTATTTGCTAATATGCTATGTATGCATACTGTAATTAATATGAGAAGAAATATATTTAGTTCTGCATTCAACTTCAGTACACAAGGTCTAGTCTTTGTGATTTATTTTAATCTATTGCTCATGTAAGCATTAAGAAGCCATGTGACATGTGGTCTAACCTCTGAACCATTTCCTGCTGTTATAGGTATGAACCTGAATAAGCGGGAGTTGAATGAACACGTGGAATTTGAGTCTCAGACATACTATGCAGCATTTGCAGCAGAGCTTGAGGCCTGTGCACAACCAATGTGGGGTCTCTTAACACACTGCAAAGTCAAAGTAGGTCCTATCTTTACACTCTTATCACCTGTATGTATTCCTAGTGATCTTAGTGAACAATTATTGGAACATGTATCTCTTAATTTGTCTGTAAACAGGAGACACAGGAGTACACTAAAACTGTGGTGCGTTACTGCTTGGAGACTCTGCAGATCTGGTTTGATGCCATTGGTTTCATTGACGAGGTAAATTAAAAAGCCAAAGCCCTTTATTTTAAAGCAAGCTTTCTCCTCTACCTGTTTCTAATGGCTTTTATATCTCTTATAGCCTGCTCCCAATCAAGTGACATTTCACCTGCCACTGCACCGCTACTATGCCATGTTCCTCAGTAAGGTATGTCAGAGGATCTTATCTCTTAAGACATGACTCTTTAGTAATTTGTGTGCATTTTAAATCTAATGGTTTGGTTGAAAATTCTCAGGCTGTAAAGTGCCAAGGCCTGGATCTGGACAGCCTCCTGCCTGACCAAGAGATGCTGATGAAGATCATGGTGCATCCGCTCCAAATCCAGGTAAAACACTAGAGGCCCACAAACAGATTTGTGGTTTGTATTCTTGTACTGTATATGTGGATCTCCTCCAGGTCTGTAGCCACGTTTTGACTAACACTTTTCTATGTGCGGCTGTAGGCGTGCCTGTCAGAGATCCACAGCAACATGTGGGTCAGGAATGGTCTCCAGATCAAGGGACAGGCCATGACCTACGTGCAGTCACACTTCTGCAACTCCATGATTGATCCAGACATTTATCTCCTCCAGGTTCGTATTGCCGTATCACGGATACTGTCAGTATCACTCAGAAGTTTATGTTAGTATTTATTTTGAATTCGTCTTTCAGGTCTGTGCATCAAGACTAGACCCGGACTACTTTATCTCAAGTGTTTTTGAGAGGTAAGCGCTGACTCTTATAATGGTTCTGGATTTTTAATTCAACACAGATCAGTATCATTGTATAGACTGTCTTCTCACACGCAGGTTCAAAGTGGTTGACTTGTTGACGATGGCCTCTCAGCATCAGAATGCTGTGTTAGACTCTGAGCAGGAAAGGCCGATGCTGGAAGGAGCATTGACCTTCCTGGTCATATTGACGAGCCTTCGCATTCATCTGGGTAAGTGGTAAAATAGAAGATGCATGCAGTCTACAGAGAGTACGAAATTAACCACAAATAATTTTGTACGTTTCTGACCAGCAATTCTAAGTGTCAACTGCAGTGAATCATAATTAGCAGCAAACTAAATAAATCATATTAAATCAAATACCTATATATCAATAAAATACCAAATTTGTATGTGAATGTTTAGTGAAACATAAGGTAGGGGTATCCCAAAATGCTAGTCAAAGTGTATTGTAGCCATATATTGTATAATGTTTTCTACAATAAATTGTATGTCTGAAGTGGCTCTGATTTTGCCCACCTACATTAGGTTAATTCTCCAGTCGGTGTCCTTGACTGAGGCACTGGCTCAGATCTGGTTGGTCCCTGGGTGCCCACTGCTCCCAGTACTAAGGATGGGTCAAATGCAGAGAATGAATTTGCCTACGGGGATAAAGGATAACTTAACTTAATGATGGTGCAGTGTTGTTGTTCTGCCCTTTAAGAAAACCCTTCTTCAGGCATCTTACACAAATAGAGGCTAGGTGTCACTGGTCACTGTCTTGACATATGCCAAATGTTGCTTGATAAGTAGAGGATGACACACTGCCAGAAATGTTGAAGGACTGGTATAGATAGTGCTCAACAGACTTTGTGATATGCCTGAATGATTTAAATCAATGTTGCAGTTTAAAAGAGTGAAACATTTGTTTGACGTAATGATGATGATTGATGAAAGCCCAAGTGGCTTAAAAGAAGCCGTTAAGTGACATTCTTCAGCTACATAACAACTATGAAATGCTGCTGTTGGTCGACAATGGAATTTTGTACGTACTGGAGATAAACAGACGCTGGCTGAATCTGGTCCAAAAATTCCTGCCATGACAGAGCTACACAAAAACACTCAAAGGAAAGCTGTGATGCAGCGTACCCCACCGTTTCATAGTAGTGTTAGTTAAAATGCTTGTAAAATGACTCTGACCCATCCTTCTGTTATAAATCCTCCTACCAAACCCAGGAAAACTGCATTATTTTAAACAAACCATGGCCACAGGCAGACTCTTGCTTAAACTGACTCAACATGATATTTACCCCACAGCCTCCACTCGGAGTTCTGCTAATTGGTTTTTAATGTTGGGTAGTAATCTTTGTCAGCTTGTCTTTACGTTCTGCTTCTCACTCTCACCAACAGGGATGACGGATGACGAGATTCTTCGAGCTGAGATGGTCTCGCAGTTGTGTATGAATGACCGTACACACAGTGCGCTGTTAGACCTTGTATCCTTCAGTACTTAACAAATATGTTAAAGAGTGACTTCATTACATTACATCCATTACAATCTTTTTTCCTTAAGAGTGTTTCCTTAGATTCCCGAGAATCCCAACCCAAAGAGTGGCATTGTACCAGGGAGTTGTAGTTTTGAGGAGATGCTCTCTGCTGTAGCTGACTTCAAAGCACCGGTGTTTGAGCCTGGAGGCTCCATGCAGCAGGGGATGTACACACCTAAAGGTAGGATGTTTGGGGTGAAGTTGAGGGCATGATTTACAAACGGACCATTGTAAGAAGTAACCTGTTAACCTTTTTGAAAAGTGCAGTGGGGGATGTCATTGGTGAAAACAATGTGGCTGTATTTAGGAACAAGGCACTCAGACAATAACATTTCTGATCTGAGATGCTGAATGCCTTCTGGTTGGTTGTGGTATCTGCACAAAGGGGTTTGTATCTGGGGGACAGACAAGCTCTTATCAAGAGCCAGACATGTCTGTCTTGTGCCCTCCACTGGCCAACAGTAGTGCTAGCAGTAACGAGGACTGCGACAGTCTGCAGGGAATTGGGTGTTTGGGACAAAATGTAAAAAACTGCAACAACAAACAAATGGTACAGTGTGCCTGTAATGCATTAAACACTGGGCTGTGTTTTCATATTTAATTGAAAATACATAGTATTTGCTTTTTTATTACCTACAACTCAAATAATTCATGAATCCATCAAAAGTCACTTTTTCTTTTTGTCCCTAGAAGCAGTTTAATACGTGTGTGTACCAAATTACATTACTTCTCTAGTAAGGATTCCAGTAAGGAGATCTTATATACACAATATTTTTTAACCTAATCTTAATTCTGGAGTAGCCTTTGATACATTGCTTATATTAGCTTTATTGTATTGATATAGTATGGCATATAATAGAAGCAAACTTATGCTCAATGCCTACTTGTGTGATATAAATATCTTACCCAACTCCCAGAGAAGAAAATAATGTATTATATTTTAGAACACACACTTTAAATTCTGACTTGTGGATAGAAATTTGTAAAATAACTATGAATATGAGGCCTTGATATGCTGAAAGTCTCGATCTGTGTCATCAGTCCTCAGCAGACCACTTGGGGGCAGCCTTACATCACTTACAAAGAGAAGGTGAAATAGAAAGAAAGTGAATCAATGTCACTTTGTACCAGAGGTTACAAAGCCTTTCTCTCCCTTTTCTCATCTAGCGGAGGTGTGGGAGAAGGAGTTTGACCCCATCATGGTTGTTCTCAGAACTGTCTATCGACGTGACGTCCAGTCAGCAATGGACAGATACTCGGCATTGTAAGTTAACACTGTCAACGTAATTTCCCCAAGTAAATGTTATTTTTTTAATATCATTTTAAAATTTAACAAACTGGGATTTTAATTAAAATATTTCTATCATTGTGTCACATAGTGTCCTTGTATTTTGCTTGACAGTACTCTGTTCTCTTGCTGGGAGTATTCATGATTGAACTGACCTGCTCTGTTCTTAGGGTCGCCTCTCTCACTTGCACATGTAGGGACATGATAAGAAAGGTCAGGTCTACCAGGTGCTCAAGTTGGTTCCAATTAGATAGCTGTCCAGAAAAATCAATATTACAGTCTAAATTGTAATAGAATTGAGGAAATATTTCTTGTTTGATTGTGGTACGGACGTCTCCCGAGACGAATGTGTCAGTGGAGGTGAAGGAGATACCGTGGGGGTTAATTTTATTGAAGGTTGCTGGAACGTGTAAAGATGCTAATTATAATGAAAGGTTCCCTCACTGAGTGCCCCTGTGTTTGAAATGGTGGTTGGGAAGATAACCTTCTTCTAATGGGATTTTAGCCTGGCCTTTTTTGGTATAGCTGTAATTGAAAATATGGATAGATTACTGATGTAGTTAATTGTACTTCTTTCACATACACCATGTGCTTTTCTGGGCCAGTTTTGGTGATACAGGCGAGATTAAACTGAGACATATTTCCTTGAAGCATACTGAAGCTGCCATTGCTACCGTCAGAGTCTGATACAGCCTCATGTTGCTCATTCACAGTGTTTGAATATGATGGATTGCCTGTCAGGCTGCCCCTGGTTTTATATAACAAAGATCCCTTCATCACTAATAGAGTGAGTGAATGTGCTGCCCATCAGCTGTTCTGTTGAATAGACTAAAACCTTTTGTGCAGTGAATTACTCTAAACAATGTAAAGTGTTACTTCATCAAACTGTTATTTCTTTCATCATCTTGCTTTATGTGAAAAAGTCAACCTTGTGTTGCATGTAAGCTAGCACATGCCCTAAAAGTTGTGGTAATGAATATGTTCTGTGTGTTTATTGTTTTTCTGATATTTTCTTTCTTGTTGATGATTATGTCACCTAGTTTAAAACAGTCTGGGATCCACACCGGCAACCCATGGCCACCGTACAAGGAGAGGACTCCTTTGCATCCGTGTTACAAAGGCCTAATCAAGCTGTTGCACTGCAAGACGCTTCACATTGTGATATTCACTCTCCTTTACAAGGTGAGCCTTTCAAGGACTATTCATGTGGTATACTACAGCGCTGCCCTTGCATCTCAATTTACTCCTTGAGCTTAATTAGGAGCACTTGTGTTTGCCATATTTGATTGGGGCAGATGTAATATGACGTGGCAATTAATTGGTGCTGACATGTTACAAGATATCGGTACAATACAGGACAGGCAAAGTGCTGAAGGTGCAGTGCAAAATGAACGGACCTCATAGTGTAGATGGGGCATAATGTGGAACCAAAAACACAAAAGCATTTGCATATTTGGTATCAGTAGTGGGGTAATATTATAATAATATTTGTCTGTAACATCACAATTCAAATTGTTTTTTATCCAATGCAAAATGGTAATGAACCAAGCTGACGGTTGTTTTTGTTCTTCATTGTAAACTAAATTATATGTTCTAGATATGGATGGATCACCAGAACATGTCTGAGCATGTGCTGTGCATGGTGCTGTACCTGATCGAGCTGGGCTTGGACAACCAGGTTCAAGACAACAAGGAGGACGAGGTTGGATCTGTGTGTTTGTGTTCCAACTATTCTCCTCACTGTGATGGCTTCTAGTGTCCAGCAGTGCCTTACAGTTGGTTCTCTATGCTTCCAGGAGCCGTGCATTGAGGAGCACTGCCATGACAGTTGGTTCCCTGGCACCAACCTCCTCTCCAATCTGCACCATGTCATCAACTTTGTGAGGGTTCGGGTTCCCGAGACAGCTCCCGAAGTGAAGAGAGAGGCCCCTCCCAGCACCAGCACTGAAGCTTCTTCTTATGGCCAGGTAAAAGATTGCTCCACTATATACAAACTGTACCATTGATTACAGTGTGATCTCACTGTAATTACAACTGGAAGTGAGACTTCTAGTGAGTTTGTCACTGACTGTATACTTCCTGTCAGGCTGTGAATTGAAGCAGTGGCTAAGGAAAAAAAGCTTAGTTCATCTAAGTGCTCAAGACCCAGATATTCTTCTCTGGAGTTTAAAGCTGGAAGTCCAATGATTATCGTCAGGTGCCAAAAAACCCACTCCAGTGCCAGTGTTGCTGTGTATCAGCTGGACTGCATTAGCAGGCAGTTGTCATTAGCTATAAACACTCGATGTGTTGCAGTCAGTTTTGTTTTGGTGTCATTTTGTGCTCCAGTAAATGGGTTTGGTGTGGCTCCTACACGCACAAAACTGTCGACCTTTTTATTGTGGATTGTGCAGCAAGTAAACAAAATGTACTAAAGGCAATATAAATAATAGTCATATTTCACACAGCATTTAGTGGCTGAATCTAAATAGAAAAGGTACTGTAGTGTCTCTAACAACACTTAAGTCTGTGAAAATTAAATGTTTCATAGTTTTCTCCTCCACCTGCTGCTACTTGATTATCAGCTGACTTGACGTCATACCTCCCACCTGCACTCCATTCATCTGAGTTTTCCTGCTCTTGCCACTATGTAACAAGCGGTGTGCCGGCAAAGCTAAATGGAGTGCAGCCAAAGACGGGGTCTTGTCATCTGTGTGAGGTTGCCAGGCAACCAGTGAAAACTACACTACTTGCTCTCGGGAAAGAAATGGTCCACAACTCAGTATTGTGAACACGTGTTTTCATTTTAGTTTTTGTACAGATTAACCAAAGGAGATCTAATGTGTTAATTAGTGAGCTTTATATGTGCACATCTTATTAACTCTAGACAGAGCCAGGCGAGCTCGTTCCACTTATCTCCACTCTTTGTTCTAAGCTAAGCTAACCGGCTGCTACCTGAAGCTTCATATTTACGGTACATAAGTAATAAGGGTGGTATTAAGCTTCTCATCTAACTCTCAGCAAGAAAATAAACAAGCCTATTTCCAAAATGTCAAACTGTTTGCTTAATATTTCACCAACCTAACAAGCACTAATTAAATACGGCTTCCTGCAATGCAGGGATTTGTTGTGATAAAGTACATAAATCATACAAAAACATATAAGTAAGTTCACTTATCAGACTTTACAGGTGGTGTTGACAACGCTTTGGGTCACATCCCTTAAGGACTCAATTCAAGATGGATTACTATGACATTTGGTACAGACGTTCAAGGCCCAGTGCCTTTGGTGTTCCCCTGACTTTTTCATGCTAAATATAACAATCAGTATCCTAGTAAGATAACATTAGCAAAAAACAACAACAACAAAAACACTATTGTTTTTTTTTCACATTTTCTTTGAGCTCTGCCCTGAGATGTGTACAGTTTATTTATAATCTTACCTAGTTTTTTTCTTTTTTTGGTACTTTCATGTTCCTCTTTCAGATCATTATTATTATTATTATTATTATTATTATTATTATTATTATTATTACTGTTCATTTTGCTGTACCTGCTCCACAGAACTCCAGGCGTCTTACAGGGAATTGGAGAGAGGTACATCCATTTCTATAAAAAGGCTGGTGGCTTTGATGCCACTAGCAGCTGCATTTGTCTACTTTTTATCTTTTATTATGAAAGACTTTCCTTGCACATGTTTGTTTTTGTGCTTTTCAAAGGACGTCTGCCTTTGTGTGTTAAGGTGTGTGTATAATGCTGTGCTTCAGCAGTTCCCCTCCCTCTTGACTGCTGAAACTAATTACATGTGTAATGCAGGTTTGGGTAAATGCTTTTTAACCGCATGTCAGTATGATTGATGTTGCCTTGACTGGCCTGTATGATGTATGTTTATTTAACATTGCAGCTCAGGTCCTTTTTTTGTCAGGTCAGGTCACGGCAATCCTTCAGATGGCTTGTGTGCTTTAACATTAGGATGATTTGAATTTTTCTAGGAAAATGGTTGTCCTGAGTACTATCAGCAAAAGGGATTCATGAAACGTCAGCTGAAATTTTATAATGGACATTTAATTTGACTTTTATGTGTATTGTGCCTGTCTGGTTATGGTAATAGTGCATCCCGCCAATTCATCAAAGTCCATCAGACTATTGGTGATGTAATTTTATGAGGTGATGTTTGTGCTCAAAGGCAGACCGGTAAAGCACCCAAATGCAGGTGGAATTTGCATATTTTGCTGATATGGTGTGAGCTTGATACTACAGATGTTGTGTGCTGTGAAACATTTTGTATGTGTGTGACATCATTATATATGTACCACATGTGTCAGTATTGCTTAAGTAATAGGGCATGGTATTAACACTGCCAGACTTGGAGTTTGGATCAACCATACAAAAACAAGTAAGTTGTTTCACATAACAATATTCACCAAATATGTACAAATTATATCTATTTTTTTATTCTGCACTTTCTTAGAACCTGCGTGAAGCTCAGGTGTTCAGCCTTGTAGCGGAGCGCAGGAGGAAGTTCCAGGAGATCATCAACCGCAGCAACACTGAAGCTACCCAGGTGGTGAGGCCCAAGAGCTCCTCAACACGCTGGGTTCCACCAGGCACACCCCCCCAGCTGGTGACAGAGATCCTGGAGATCCGGGAGAGCATGCTGTCCCTCCTCATCAAGCTCCACCAGAAGCTGTCATCCAAGCAGAACTCTCTGTCGGCATCCTGGCTGGAGGATATGGACATGAACCGTCACGCTCATGGAGATGGCATTACAGCCATTGAGCGTATCCTCACCAAGGCGGCCACGCGGAGCTGCCAAATCAAGCGTAGCATCCAGGACATTTGTGGAAAGGTGTGTCCTCCTGTTCCACCTAAGAAGAACAGTCCCACAGACAAGAAAACTATGGATAAAGAAGAAAGGTAACAGAATCATGCACATTTTGTTAAGTAACATATTCACCACTATGGATTTACATTTGCATTGTACCATGCTGCACATTAATATTGCTCATTATCTCTTTGCCGTGGTTGCTTGTTGATATTCTGTCCATACAGCTATCCTAACTATATTATTATTTGCTTTTATTTGCTTTTATTATATAATCTATAATCAATACACACTCTAAAATTTTGTTTATAACACTAAAAGAAGTGTATTTCACTGTAATTGTAACAAAAGCTCTAATCATGTGTGTAAGCACAATGAGGGTATAAATTATCCAATCACACTGTCCTTATATATGCGTTGAATACACAAGTTTTTAGTTATATATATATATATATATATAATGAAAATCAAAGGAAGTGATAATTCTTCATGGTCCTCTCAGGATGTCACATTATATCTTTGTACAGCTGTACCAGTCACTGTACAAGGAAATAGTAGTCTTTCAGTAATATTGTCTGGAAAGTGCAGATATATTCTGTATATCACTTCTAATATGTTGTCAAAGGTTGCAGCAGGTGATGTTTCTTTTTAGGCTAAATTTACTGTATTTTATTTAATTATTTTAAGCCTTTTTACCTGCTTTTTATTTTTTTTGCCAAATATCATACGTGTTGCCATTAACACTGTAGAATCCCATGAAAATGGGGTCCGTTGGTTGAAGTCAAACTCAGTGGGTTTTGGCTTTCGACCTCACATTCACCCACTAGTCCGTGTCACCCTTTTCCCTCCTCTAATGATGATGGAATGGGCTATAACCATTTAATAATTGCCTGCTTTTGGGGTTTGCTTCACCTCACAGACAAGGTAAAGGTAGACTCTCTCCCATTCACACGAACTAGGGCTGTTTCCAAGGCAACCGTCAGGCAGCAGTGCAGTCAATGGCACTGAGAAGTGAGAAGCTGCTGCCCATTCCTCATGCTGGTTGCCGACCAACCCTGAAGCCATCAGTGAAAATTATTGAGCTGTGACGCGCCTGTCAGCATTTGTTTATGTCCTCTTATTAGGGACTTAATTTACAGTCAGGTCTCACCCAGTAAGTCTGCAGAGTGGGGCCTAACCCACCATATCAGTTCAATAATCAACCTTTCAAACTTTCACAACACAGCACTGTTGAAATCAGACACCTGCTGTGTATATAACGGTATCCCCTGCTACATGGAAGAGTCTGTTGCACATGCCGTGGTTGATCAAGAGAAACATGCACGACTGTAATGCATTTGAAAAGTTGAATTGTAGTGGCTAATGTTCTGAAATTGAGCTAGTAGTTGCTAGCAACTTATCAGTGTATGCATTTATTCACTTACTGAGTGTAACTTTTCTCATGGGAATGATTGAATTCCTTCAATAAAAAAAAAAGAGGTTCTTCTTAATTCAGTAGTTGGTTGTACTATAATTACATAAACACAATTAATATTAATTTGGTTTTGAACTAACTAATTACTGGGTTGTTGTTGCTGCATTTTCTTTAAATAGAATTTCACTTGTTCTTTCTTTCAGACGTCAAAGGGCTAGAGAGAGACAGCAGAAGCTGCTTGCTGAATTTGCCTCCAGGCAGAAGAGTTTCATGGAAACGGCCATGGATGTTGGTAAGAAAAGGCCAGCTCACATTTTTTGCCAACTTGTTACTTATGTTCTTAGAGATTTAAGTTACCAACACATTATTCACAGCAACCATATGATAGGATACTCTGTAAAGTAGAGAAGCAGATGCAGAGGGGCTCATGTGCTCACAGTCTTTACTTGGCATACTTAACGTAACATAGTTGTAAATCAAAGTGTAGTATTCAGTCTACAGTAACCTTAATGCTGCACAGCCTACCAGGCAAGCCAAGAATAAAATGGTGTCGCCTAGACTTTTTTGTTTAATTTTAGTCAAATAAACAATTTTATTGTGATATTCTTTTCTTTACTGTCCTCTTGTATAATCGAGCAAAAATGTAGAGTAAATATTGCACAAAGCACATTTCTGCATATTTATTCCTTCAGCAGGGACTGATAGGGCACCTAAAACCCACATCACACTGATGTGCTTATCAAAGTGGGTTTGTTCTGACATAGGTGTACAAGACCTCATAAAAACACAAAACACACATTAACACATTTTTGTTTGAAGGACACTTTGCTACTGTAGCCCTTGAAGAAAAGCGCTGTTGGCTGAAAAAAACTTATCATTGCTATGCCTTTTTCATTGAGGCAAGGTGACAGTGGGCCGAGCCCGTGTTTGCGGTCTCTGCAGGCCTGTTAGGAGAAATTGAGAGGAGTGTGCTCCTGTGGGAGTGTGGGTGGCTGCTAGCTGAGGGCATAAAGGATCAAAGCACTAATAGTGGGCTGGACTCTCAGGACCCACCCTGACACAGCATGGTTAGTGAATGAATAATGGCTGCTATGATCAGATGGACCATTCTGGCAGGACTGTATTCTGACCTCTTTCTGCATACTGTAACTTTAGTTTCTTTACTTTAAGCTCACTGCTCGCTTTGCATCACCTGTACCAAATTAACATTTAAATGGAATGGGAAGATGACTGTTTAAAACAAGTCAATGCAAAGTAGGCTGTTTGTAGAGGTTTGCAATACAGCATTTGCTGTTATTTTCTTTTTTCTTTATGATAACATCGATTCACATCTGTCTGTGAACATTTTCAATAATCAGAAATACTTTATTGATCCCTGAGGGGAAATTTGTTTGTTACAGTTGCTCAAGGTTCTCACAGGATGTTAAAGAATATAAATAATAATTATATTACATTATCTAACACAATATATATATACAATAGACACTAATATAAAATAAAATAAAAATATAAGTATGTACCTTTTTATAATAATACAATATATGACAATATGTAGAGATAAGAAATAAATAGAAATAGAAATAAATGTATGCCACAGTATGTGACCTACAGAAGTAAATGAGTAACAGTAGTGAGTTTTAAAGATTGTAGTATTACAGAAGTTACAAAGTATGATGGAATCAGGCCATAGGGTTATAAGAAGTACTTCATAAAAGGCAGCTGGATTTGCTGTTTGGTCTTGAAATCAACCTTAAAACCCAATTTTGTTTTATAATAATCTAAAGGTCACTAAAAGACAATATAATTGTATTTAGGCTATAAGGAGCCTCTGTTCTTATGTTACTCATAGCATTGAGTTTGTCTTGTCTGGACACTAGTGTGGTTGATAAAGCTTAGTAGAGGGGCTTAATCCAAGAGAGGTAGACAGGTAATTAGTCATGCAGGTAGTTTTTAGATTTATTAGTCTAGCTTTTAAGCTATTTCTGCCTCCTTCCCAATAAAATGGAGGTGAATGGAATTTCTTATGTTGTACTCATAGTAATGAAAAAGTGATTTAAAGTTTTCAACAGCAGTGTGTCTTTCAGTGCCCCTGATACTCAGAATAATCATCCAACCTCATTGTAACTGCTTTTTGCTGACCGTCCCTGTTAAAGCTGACAGTGTGTTTTGTGGATTAATCAGAGTAACCTGGATGCTCTCTAGAAACATGTGTTATGGTTTAGTTATGCCATCTTTCAACGTGCCACAGAACAGATTTCAGTCACCTGTATTGTATTGGAGTGGAGACAGAAACAGAACAAATTATACTAAACCTGTCTGCAAGGAGAGATGGTCAGTGTCATCATTAACCTAACCAGCATTCTTTAAGAACAGGCTAACAATTGAAGAAATTTATGCTGTAGGAAGCATAAAACAGCAGAACACCAAGCGTCTGTGTGTGTCCTTGTCGTCTTACATTTCGCAATTGTGTGTTTCTGCACATGCGCGTGCATCGGTTGCTCTGTGTACTGGGATGACCTGGGGCTAAAGCTGTGGTGTTGACATCTAATGCATCCTTCATTTCCCCAGGAACACAGTGACCTCTCTTGAGAGCATATTTTCCCAAAAAGCAATAAATCAATTTCCAACCCAGCTTGACATTTCTCCACAATATTTACTGCTCAAATTGAACACAGTTCTTAACATTTAAAGTAATTTCACTTCAGTATTTAATTTCCAGTGCTGTGCCAGTCATGCAGATAGATTGTCTATACCCATTCTTCCTCACGTAACTATAGTCCAGAAACAGCACATTATTTATTGAATGCACTTAAAGATCAAAGTCAGAAGTATGTTGTTAGAGTTGGTTATTTTCTGTGTAAATTAGAAAGGAGTAGTGTTGTGTAACTGAGTATGGAATTTGTCGCCTGAGTAGGATCATGGCTCGCAGTCACTGACCTCCCTTCATCATGGATCGTTACCTTAATTTCTGATCTACCTAAAGGAAAGCCTTTCAGACCACATTACCTCTGAGTGTTTTTGTTTCTCACACAGTTGGATGCTTTTCATTCACACAGAAGTGAACGTAATGCTTACAGATGATTGAATATGAACGATAAGTTCTAAAATTCTCTCATAATTGCTTTTCCAGGTTTTAAGTAATTATTGGCTGCAGCGGTTATGATTGTTTATGGTATACGGGAAAGCTTTTGCAACTTATATTAAGATTTTTACTTTTTTGTGCTAGAATCCCCTGAAACGGAGGCTGCCATGGACCTAGGAGCGTCTGAAGTGATGGAGTCCGAGGTTCTTTACGACTGCGTGATCTGTGGCCAGAGCGGACCTTCCACCGAGGACAGACCCACTGGCCTTGTAGTTCTCCTCCAGGCATCCTCAGGTACTTTGTGTCCCTGAAATTATTCTATTTTCTATTCTTTGTTGGCAAGCCAAAACAGTCTAATAAATCTAATTTTTAACTGGTTGGTTAGCCGTATGGAGCCTATCATTGTAAGAGGTCATTTGTTTTCAGTGTTTGTGGACAGAAGGATCACTCACTGTCATCCAAATAAATGGCATGTTTGATTAGTAATTAGTCACCTTGTGAAATGGTTCACAAGTCTTTGACCTCAACGTCAAGAAAATATCATGTAAAATCTGCCCCCATTGACCAACGGTGGGTCCATCATAGCATAAAATTACATTGTCCAGTTTGGCAACGGGAAACTGCCATCATTTAAAGTTGTATGTTATTTTCCGTTTATTTTATATACATTTTATTGTTGTTAAAGGCCAGGTTGTCTCTGATTTATCAGTCATTGTGAAAAACCCTAAACATTTGGTTCTGGCCACTGACAGGTACCAGTAAAGCTGAAACGATTACCTGATTTATCGATAAGTCAATGGAAGGAAAATGCATCCCCTGTCCATATTGATAATCAATTAATTGTTTTAGTTCTTTATCCAGCAGAAACGCGAAACATTCTCTGGTTTCAGCCGCTGCTTTGTGAAGATGTGTTGCTTTTCTGTCATTGTGCACTGAATATCTTTGGGTTTTGGATGGTGATAAAAATTTAAACGGTCACCTTGTGATTTGTAAATAATGGTTAGTTGTAGCCCTAATGCTCTGTGAACTCTGACCATAATCGCAGTTCTTTATGTAAATACTCAAAAGGTTAGACATACTTATCGTCAACACCTCATAATTCATCGCTGACTTCTGTGATTGACTTTCAGTGCTGGGGCACCGCTGCAAAAGCAAAGAGGCCAAGAAACTACCGACAAGTGATGAAGAACACATCTATGCCGCAGACACGTGTGGGGTGGCTCATGATGTCAGGCTCACGCTCATGCAGCGGTTCTTCAAAGATGTAAGTTGTCTTTAAATATTGCCACCTTTACACAAGAGGGAGAAAAGACTGAAAGCCCTTAAAGCACTTAAGCATTAGGGATATGGATTCTTGTGTTTTAAATAGCAGCGCTAGCAGCTCGAATAATGTCCTTTCATCCTGTCTGTCTGAATTTCTTGATTTTTAGTTCATATGCATATGAAGGAAGGAATACACTTCTTAAATGTGGTTGTGGTGATGACATTATAGGCAAGCTAATGGCTGTCATGCAACATCACTTTGAAGACTCAATGTTGTATGACAAACAGCAGAATAAATATGCATAAACTAGTGGGCAGTTTGTCTGGAAGTCATCACTCAAAAAGAGCTAGCTGCTGTCATTTGCTTCTCATTCCAACATTGTGTATTGATTATCTTCCAATACCTCCAGACCAAAAATGATTAGACTACTTGAATTGGATATAATCTAATAAAAAGCTGTTGAATCCCTTGTGCAGTGTAGTTGTATTAAAAAGTGGCTGGCTTTGAAATACCTCATCAATTGGATGTTTATTGCAGTCTGTTAATTGAAACTTTAAAAATCAATTTATTTATCAGCGCCTCAGATAAACAAAAAGTTTAGCAGGTTGAATGCTTGAACACATATTTGCATCTTCTAATTGATGTGATTTTTCTCTTGTGAATTCTGCAGAGCTCTTGTCTGCAGTCTGTGTCAATAGGTTGGGACGGGGGCGTCTACGTCCAGACCTGTGGACACACTTTGCATATAGATTGCCACAAGTCATACATGGAGTCTCTGAGGGTAAGAAAAAACTTTACCTTAACTTAACCTCATGAAATGATAATTCTAACTATGATAGTTATTTTATAGAAAATGAATCAACAACAATTCTGACAGTTAATTATTTAAAAAAATTCTAAGTACTACTTAAGTACTACTTAAATATGTTTTTTTTAAACCTTTGAATGGACAAAATTTCAATCATTTTAGTTCTGATTACAATATTATATGAGAATCCACCTTACCAGGCTTCAGTCTTTGTGTTTGTGGCCAACTACAATGGTACCCTTCCAATCAGCGTCCTTTGAGGAAGTACGGACAGTTATGGGTGTTGGAGGACACTGTTCATTTAACACTAATGGTGGCTCCTATATAGGTTAGCATGGACGCTGTTAGCATCAGTTACATCAGAACTGGAGAGTATTTCTTCACTCCCAAATGGTTCTGTGTAACAAACAATCCGGTTACCTTTCTTTAAGGTTATAAAGACCACATGATGAATTGAGGAAAATCATTGGAGCACTGGATCCATTGATATTTTCTCTGTGTAGATTCAGTTTTTTCTAAAGTTTTTGGGTCACCTTTTTCAAATGTGCCATCCTACGTATTAAATATAGATCTATATTTTAAAAGTCCAGTGCCTGTAGCTTACCTGTCCTTACCGCAGCAGCCCTAGTAGGATCCAAATCTGCAGCCCTTTGCTGCATGTCATCTCTCTCTCTCTCTCTCTCTCTCTCTCTCTCTCTCTCTCTCTCTCTCTCTCTCTCTCTCTCTCTCTCTCTCTCTCTCTTTTCTCTCCCCCCTTTCCTGTCTATCTTCACCTGTCCTATCAAAATAAAGGCCAAAAATATATCTTAAAATAATAATAACAAAGTCCAATGTCAGTTTTGAGTTTTGATTGTATTGTCAAATGTAACTTTCATTTGTCCTTTTTTTTCCCCTTTCAGAATGACCAGGTCCTCCAGGGTTTCTCTGTTGACAAGGGTGAATTTACCTGCCCACTGTGTCGACAGTTTGCCAATAGTGTCCTTCCCTGTCGCCCTGGACGGGGCACAGAGGCTGGTGCCTGGCACACACCCACAAACAAGAAGACGTGTGTGCTTGTAAAGGAGGTGGAAGATCTTCAGGAGAAACTTGGGCTTTTTCCGGTAAGTTTTTCAATAAGGTCAGGGGTTTATCACTAAAAGCATCCTGTATGTTTTCCACAGCTGTATTTTAAACTGTCAACTCATTACTGGCTGGTGGTCACACAGACGTGATTATAATTACTAGAAACAATCAGATTACTCCAAATTATAGGGAGTGGATTGATGTCATGTTTTTCATCCTTTCACCTGATTGGCAGAGTGCTTTTCAACAGAAATTTAAAAACCAAATACTAACTGTGCTTCACACCTTGTATAACCTTTAAAAACACAATTAAAAAGTTTCTTTGCATGCCCTGATTATTTCATTTCTCATGTCCTCGATCAGTCTGAGAACCATTTTTCACAGAATTCTTTAGTGGTGTCTTTTGGATCACAGTACATTTCAAGTCTCCTTTCATCGTGTTCAGATGTGATATTTTTGCATGGTAATACTGATGTAAATGCAGATTGGACATTTTTATTATTGACATAAGATATTTGTATCAACTATCCCAAATTGCAGTCTAAACTGCCTATGAAGGGGGATAGAAAACAAGAAAAGGAACTTTCAATAAAGGTAAATTGTGACTAGTCTCATTATCTTCCATCACTGATAGCTATAACGGATAATAATGGAAAAGCTGTAGTACTGTTATTGGATATGTTTAATAACAAACTGTTTGGATTATTGACTTTATTGTAAATATTTCCTGCTTGAAACTGTTCGGCATTTAAAAGGAGGTTGTGAACATATGTCTAATTCAGCCTTGTTTTTCTATGTAATGCATCTTTTTGTGCCAGATCATGAGTTGTTTATTATAACGTAAAAATATTTCTCTTAGTTTATGTTAGCTTCCCAAAGTCCATTCTAGAAATAATTTTGACTTAATTGTATTCTTCTTTTTGAAGACGGAATCCAACTTGAGTAAAGAGATGGAGCTTGTTATTAAAGACATCAAGAATACCACCCAGAAGAAATACATGGACTACGGCAAGAACCCTGGCTCCCCTGACAATGACTTCCTCTTCATGTACTCTGTGGCAAGGTGAGGACAGAGTCACACTGAGTTTAGATAGAAGTATGTACATTTTACAGTAATGTTAACAACGTTGTATTCTTGGAGGTGATAATAGAGCATGTTATCACTCAGGTGTGATTGTATATTGAAAGAGCTCCAAGTTCTGTTGAAGAACACATGTAAAATGAAAAGATGAATATTATGAATAAATATTGGTGGCAGTGTCGTGCTAGCATGACCCTGCGAGTGTGTGTTGACACGGGCAACAGCTCCTGGTACGGGTTCTCAAAGAAAACTGGTCAGATTTTTTGATTTCCTGGAGGATGACCTCCACTATCATAGTACCCAGTCTCCAGAGAAATTATGTCATTAGATATCCGTCTACGTAAATGGAGACCTTATTTTAAAACAACTAATCAAATCCGCCATGTAACAGAAACGTCAGCAATATATCATAGTCAGAGCAGACTGTCACAATGAAGCAGGAATTCTACTTTCATTCTATTTATTTCACGAGGGTCTGCAAGCGTCCGAGTGATGCAAAAGAACTACCTATGATCCTGGTCCTTTTGGGAGTATATTCAGGCTTTGATCAAGACAGCAGCCTACTACACAACACAAGAGCCTTAGACTTTAACCAACAACAATATTCATTTTGACTACAAAAAGGTGTGACTAAATGTGGTTTCAGTTGGACTTTAGGTATCTCAACAGGCAGATTGGTAAAGCCAGTTGTGGCAAAGAGATATAGTCAGATCTTTTGATTTTTCAGTTGATCTACGTTCCAGCCCTCAGCTATGATCGTAAGCTGTGGGTAGTGACTCAAATCATGAAACGGATAAGGTGAAGGCACACTGATGACATTGATTTCCATGTGGGCTATATGCTTTTGCATTTTTTAGTTTGGCTGCATTTTTTGTGATTTACAGCCCTGATTTTATATATTAAAAATGCAAGTCATAAAAATAATATCATGGATATAATTAGTTTAGTCCTAACACTGATTCTTAACTCACTGTTGGGATGAGGTATTCTAAGCAGAATCACAGCTACTTTGTGTTAAGTAGAGACAGACAGCGATACCTGCTGTTTGTGGAGGTATTCCAGGCATGTGTAAGAGAAACCAAGGACAGACGCAGAACATGCTGAAAGGATTTTACAGTATATCCCATTTGACACTTCAGGATACCACAGGAGAAGCTGGAGGACATAGCTGAGGCGAAGGACATATTGGCTACCTTGTTTAGTCTGCTGCCAGCGTGATCCAGACCTGGATAAGTGGCTGGAAATGGAGGATTGGGTTGATAAAATAACATCACGTGCAAGGATATACATGTGATTTGGTGTCCTTCTAGGGGCAAAAATTTACCGTGTTTATGCACATCGTTTCCTAATCTGATGGACTCCTTTGCTTCGTTTTTTTTTTCCTTTTCTCGGAAAATGCTACCGTAGAAGTTGGTGTGCATGTGTGCATGCACCTGTTTCAGAATTATGAGCAATGACTTGGTCATGTTGGGCTATCTCTCTGTGTCTGCAGTCTTCGAACTTGGAGGTCCTCTTTTTGCACCACTGCTCTTTTTAAACGCATTGCACACACCACTGACTGTTGAGACCATTGGGATGAACGTCTGCCTGCTCTTTCACTTGTCTCTTAATGCCAGCTCCTCAGCTTGAATAACAATGGTTATCCATGCAAAAAGACAGTAGCGTCCCCTCTCAGTGTTAGTCTTACTTTGTTAGCATTTTACTCTAGAAAGGTGCCTTGAAATTGAACTGAAATTCAATACTGCAGTTGTTGCATAGCACCAAATGTATGGATTGCTTTGCATTCTTTCAAATTTGTTCAGGAGCTGTGAAGGTGTGGTTGATTTGTTTTCTTCACACTTGTCATTACACTGCTGTATTGGTCCTAGAAGTGTTGGAAGAACAGGGGCCTTCTACAGTAGCATTCACAGCTTTGTCACTTCAGGCCACAGTGAAATGGTATTGGCTCTTGCTCCATCTTCACTTATTAGATTTTAGTCTGAGTATGGATTTATTTCACCTTCTGTGATTGAATTTTAGGACCACTGGTCTTTCAAGTGGTCCTTCACATGGCCCCTTTTACATTACATTGTCGTGGAACAGTTCGATTTTAGCCAGGAATCTTAACTGCACGCCACCGCCACCCGCCACTCGCCCTCTGGCCAAAAGGCCACAAACATAATCTTGAAAAAATCTACGTAGTCCTTTTCTTAGGCATTTGTATCTTCTCAGCAAGCTGATCATGGGTTAGAGTGTCGGGCTTTCAGTTCACCTTGGGGTCTCTAACTTCTCACCACTCCCACTCCAAAAACTCTGCCCTTCCTCGAGCGTAACCATCCTTTGCCCACCCAGTGCTGTGGTTCCCTCAGCCCTCCGCCCTGAACAGAATGATCCCCTGAGTGTGTCTGGGTGCCTGTTGGCTCTCTGAAGTTCAATGAACAGCGCAAATTGCCTGAGGAGTGGAAAATTCCTTTGTCACAGGGGCACTCTTATCAGCAAAAGCCAGATGGAGCTTCACCGTGGCTGCATTATCTATGTGAAATTGCTTTTTCTCCCAGGAAACCCAAGGATTTGCCCCCACCTCCCTGGCCCATAGAAGGAAATGGCCAGTGGCGAGATGAAAACGGGCGCAGATCAGTCTTATTTTAGTAATACCTATCTGTTTTCACAATCTATGTACTTTGTTAGAGGTTTTAGTTTATTTTTTTTCAGTGTTTGGTATTGGGGAATTAAAATTCAGGAGTGAAATGTGTTTGGATATGCATGGGAAATTCACATTGGGGATTATGCATGAACTGTGGTTGGAACAGCTTTTATGCTAATGGTCCAGCTTGTGCAAAATCAGTCTTGGAAAGCTGTCATTTACTTGATACGGAATTGCTGCTGCAAAACAGGCGCATTAAATGGCAAATGGCTTGACTAGGCAGCATCTTTCATCTTCCTAATCAAACTGGTAAAAGAGGCAGGCGTAACCAAAAGCTGAATATGATGATACTCAACCATTTACCACCATTCCTACTCTGGCACACGCACACTCTCTGCTTTAATGGCTGTTTTTAAAGGAATACTGCACCCAAAATTGATAATTTTTGTATCAGTAAATCATCTCATGTAACTTGCAAAACATGACAAAGAATTTTTACTTGTTTGCCTTCAGTAAGGAGTACAAAGGCAGCAAATGTGGTACAATGAAGGTGATTGATTATGGAGACATTTATGACAACAGTATAGTTTTAAATAAACAATAAACATCTATTAAAAATAATTCCCAAACTTATTGCAGTCTGTAGTTAATGTCTCAGATATAACTAGTACACATATTGGCTTAAATATTGCTTAAACATTTTCAAAAAAACCTCTGATGCGCAACTGAATTGCACACTTGGGCCCACAGGTTCATTTAATTCAATAACCGCTTCTTGCTATTTCTTTGGAAAGCAGTCCTACACATTGGCTCACGATTCACTTATACTGTAACCTTTAATATGTAGGTCTAATGCCAACTAATGCTGTATGATTTCTAACCAATAAAAAGACAGTGCTTCTTATCCTGGTAAAGCCAAAGAACTTGCTCTAACTATTATGTGAGTGATGAGATGATATGAGCAGGACTGTAAATTAAGATGCCATACCTCTCTGAAAGCAAGTGTGAAAATCTTGTTGTGCATCTTTTACATATGCACTTGTTGAACTGTTTTATGTGTTACGGCTCCATAGTAACAGTCATGGCTCTGTCTCCTCAGGACCAACCTGGAGTTGGAACTTGTGCACCGGGGAGGAAACCTGTGCTCTGGAGGGGCCAGTGCAGCTGCCAAACGCTCATGTCTCAGTGAGTACTTAGTTGTAGACCATCTGTTATATCTTACAATACAATTCAGTGTTTCCTCTAGGATTTTGTTTTAGCAGTGGGGGCAGGCCCGTCCGAACACCCCCCCACCCCCACCACCGGTCACACCCACCCGTCCCGTCATGCCGGCAAACGTTTTACGTATGAAACAGCAGTGACACTTCGCTGCGACACAAACAAATATATTTACCGTTTTAATGTTTCCAGATGTTTGATATCAGGACGTTGAGCTGAGAACTGACAAGTTGAACATTGTCCAATTAAAACGGACCCACCACGGTGACGTTTTTGGTGGAGCTGTTAGTTTAATAGTCGACTTGGAAGAAAGCAAACGTTTTGACAATAAGCTACATCAACACAACAGTATGTGGAGTTAAACTGGACAGCCCCAATAACCTCTGAATAGTTCTACTTGTTGTTAAATTGCAATGTGAGCGGCAGCCAACGGGGGTGCATTATGTCGGCAGGATCATTTAAAAGGCAACCGTGACTACGTTGTGCGTCTGCCCCATTTCTGATACCGTGGTGGCAGAAACTTAACAGCGGCGGGCCGCCGCTCCAAAATCAACATAGAGGAAACACTGCAATTTATCCTGTAAATCTTTTAAGTTCACTAATATGTGGTGTGTCAACGCCTAATATTATATGTCAAGGGGAGTGCCTATGGCCGGATATTCCTAATCAATAAGAATTCATGGACACAAAGTTCAAGTTGTGTTAGTTTATCAGTGCTTTGTCTGTGTTTTTTTTTTTGTCACATGCTGTGTTTTCACTGCTCTTTTAATAAAACTGTAGTCTAATGTGCTGCTATGTCAGATGTATTTTGTTATTTAAGTTGACAATTATAGTGGGCCTCTGTGTAATAAAGTGTCTGACTTGAGATCAAACCCATTCTTCCGTGTTACAGCTGAACCATTAAAAGAAAAAAAAACAAAAGGGTCGATTAGCAATGGCAGGTAAGGATAGATGCCATCCCAGAGCTGTTGAGAGCAGTGAGGGTAAATGAAGCAGACAAATGGGTCAAGTGCTGTTTTAGTTGATTGTGTGACAGCTGACCAGGGCATGTGTCTAGAGAAAGATGAAAACTGTGTTTTTAGTTGAATCTCAAAGAATAAGCTAAACATCAAACACAACCAACATTCATTGTATTAATTACTAATCTTCAGTTTTAATCAAATGTTTAAATATGTGTGGATGAAGGATGGGATAATGTAATAGAAACTATATATGAAGGTGTCAGAGTTCGGTTTGGTGTACAGACTACACCCTGTTTTCTGTTTGTTTAATTATTCTGTCAAAGTTGTGGCTGCTGCAGTGAAATGGCCTGTCATCCTTGAGTGGCTGAAAAGAGATTTTACACTGGAGGTTTGCCATTTGTGGGCTACATTAACCATATAGCCGTGCTGACGGCAAAATTTACTCAGTTGCAGTACATTAGTGTTCGTTCTTCTTAGGGAAATGGATTTGGAGGGAAACGGCAGACGTGTGCTAACTGCGAGAGCTCATGGGGTTCCTAAGCCTGTTTCCCAGTAGGCACTTCTTCTGTTCAGCTGATGAGGATACGATGGACCACAGAGGCAAGCTGCCTTCCCTTGAAATGGGCTGAATCAACTCTAGAGAGTCCAGCTTCCAAATAGCATGTCCTTGGTTTAGTTAACCGCAAATATTTGAATTAATCTTGGGGGCTGCGTGGCTGCTACTGTGCAGGGAGTTAGAAAGCAAATCACGATGACCTCAGTTGTGCAGACTTGCAGTGCTGGGTGAGTGTTGACAGCTGTATTTGCTGTATTGTTGTTATTTGACCCCCTGGTGTTTTGTGTCTGTTGGGGTGGGGGGACACCTGTAATTGTCAAATATCTTCCATGAAACGTCCACACACATAAAAATCCACTTTTATCATTGTATTCAGTGTAGAAGGGGAGGATATGCCTGTTTGTTATGTGACAGGAAAAGCACAGGTTTAAATGCTGGCTGAATTCCGTTTAGCTACTTGGTTTCATGGTCCTGGTATTGTGCATGCTCACTGTCACATACACGCAGTCATTGTTAATAGTTTTATCACATGTGCTTTAACTACTTTGACAGTCAAAAATCTGTGCAGTGAAAAAGACTTATTTTCCAGAGAGTGTGTGAGTAACAAAATGTATGTCAACTGATTGAAGATGTTGGGAATCTATAAATATGAAACGGCGCGCTGTGTTTTACAGTCTGTGATCACAGCAGTAAGTAAATTAGAGCTGATCATGATTATCATGAGTTGTGACCGCAAGTAATTCAGATGATTAATATCTGAAGTGAGGGAGCCCTTGCTGTTTTTCTTTGTGGCCCATTGTCTTAAAGCTGTCTCAGTAGTGTATGAAGCAAAATAACTTTAGCTGTATTATTAGTATTGTAGCAACTTGTTTCCACATGCCATGACAGAGGAAGCTCCTCTAAGTGACCTTTTATCATCACAGAAGAAAACAGGATATTTCATTTTAAAGTGGCTCATCAAGACAAACAACTGTAATCAGATGGACGTCCTGAAGCTTGTAATAAGCCTTTTCCATCTTTATACATGTTGCACTTTTATGCCAATAGCAGCAAATTACATCCCTGATTTTATTCATCTTTCCTTTATTCTTCATTTACTGTCCTTCCTTCCCTTTCCTGTACGTCTTCCAGGTTAAATCCTGGTAAGAGCGGAGTTATAGTTAGGAAAGAGAGGAAACAAGCCGTAGTGAAGACAAATGGGACGCAACGAAGGACTGACATAGACACTTTGCTTTCTTTGTGCTGTGTCTTTGTTTACCTGTGGAGGGCAGTGTTGCTCTAGGTATTGACAGTTAGCACAAGTCAAATTGCAGAGCTGATCATTTGAGGCACTTTGCTGCATTATGGCATCATAATTCCCTGTAAAAATCAAATAGGATTAGAATTGTTTTTTGAAAAAAAAAGCTTTAGGTTGTAGGTTTAGTGGCACTGGTTTCAAACACGGTTCATATGTGATTTACATCTTATTGCTCTTATGCAACTTTAATTTAAGAGGACTTGGATTGAGTTCATAATTAGAACAAGTAGGTTAATTTATTTCCGGACTCTAAAGAAAGACGAGGACATTTCTCCACTTTGGAATAAATTACTTAACATCTAAAATGAGTGGGCCAACTTGCTGCATTTCGCCCATGTTGAGGCTTGCTTGTAATGCCATAAATGTTGGTACTTGTAACAGGTTTGGTCTAGATAAAGACAATTAAGGCTGTAAAGTGTTCTACTATTAAAAGCTAGCGTGTACACAAGAGATTGTGCTTGTGCAAGGGGTCTTTCTTCATGTTCCATTAGTTTCGCAACGAACAGGTGTGACCTGACCAAAGAGTTGCTCAAGGCTATCAAACACTACCATGTATCCATCTGGCCTGACCTGGTTTTATCTGAGCCAAACCATTAGCCTGCAGTCAGTTCAAGTCAACTGCTTTCATCATTTGATCTACAGCGGTTGCTAGTGGGGTATGACAATGGACACTGAGATAAACAGACACTTGCTGGTTTTGTTCCCTGTCAGACCTCATTGGAACAGAACAATGACGTGTGTTTTTGTTTTTTTTCCTCCCCCCTTTCAGATCAGCTGTTCCATGTGTTGGCCATGCACATGCGTCTATACAGCATTGATTCAGCCTACAACCCCTGGACTAAGCTGACTCAGGTTACACAAAGCAGAGAGACAGAGTGAGTGACTTTCTCTCTGCTAATAAATGTATAAATCTGTCCGCCATTACCCCTCAGTCTCTACTTTCCCCTCACACTTTCCCTCCCTCACATAAACATGCAATCAAAGCACCACTTTATCCTTTCTCTAAACACCACTGTTTCCTCCTGCCCCCCAACAGCTTTTCCTCCACACAAAGAGGAGCTAAAAACAGAAAAGAGACCATGCGTGGTTTCCATAGATACCAATAATTGCTGCATCTGGCAAATTACCGGGCACTCCACAGAGAGCAAAACGACCCTGTCAAATTCACTGTACTGAGAACAACTGCACCACACCAACATCATGCTAGCAAGGCATCTCAGCACCCAGCTGTCTCAACTAGCCCAACAGAAACCTGTATTTAACAGAACACAAAAGACATAGTTACTACGACACACGCTCTCTTTCTCTGCCTTGAATCGCAAGTGTACATCAGAACATGCTATTTTATGCACAGATGTGTTCGTTTTGTCAGGATTGTAACTATAAACTAAAAAAAACACCACTTAACTGTACAGGATGAGCTTGAACAACCTTTCCTCCCTGTTAGTGTTGTGAGACAGCTTTTACACCTGTTACTATTAAAGTGCTCACAGCCATACAGTATTCTCAGGGGAGCCATTTGCTGTTTAAAAATACTTTGTTAGGGGTTTGGGAGGGAGCACTGTCATTGACACCCTGAGGCAGTCAACCTGATCTAGTCTAGTTAAATAGGACAGAGAGAGATGTTTCAAAACATTGCTGTTGCCTTAATAGAAAAACCAAAGAGGAATGTTTGAAGATTTCACAGTGTGGAAGTATAGTTCGTATGCACTGGTCTGGGGGGGGCTTGAAAGCTCCCGTCCTCTGCGGCTTTCCTCCAATGCACAGTGGAATTAACTGGTGAGTGCTTTGGTAATGGAAGGTATTATTCTTTAAGTGCAGTTCCTCTCATTCAAAACCCCCGAGGCCTTTCAAGAGCAGAGGCAATATTGGAACCTCGCTGAATTGTCAACAGAACAGAAGACATTTAATGGAGATGGCGAACATATAACATTAAGGAAGTCGGTCGGGAAGTACAAGGAATGAGCCTTTTCAAGTCATGTATTTGTTAAGCAAATTTAAAACTGTTTACACAGGGGACCCTTGCTCTCATACCTTTTCTTTAAAGTCCCTTTCAGACACGGAGTAGTTAACATTGCTGACTTCATCAAGCTCTTAAAGTAAGCGAGGACATTTTGGCTTTCAGACATAGGTGATGTTTACATAAATGTTCCTCACGGCTTTATTCCCACATGATAGTACAGAAAGAGACAGAGTCAAGTTAAAATATTATCATAGCAAGAAAGAAGAGTGATTTCTGTTCTCTCAGAGGCTTCATCACTGTTAGATTTTAAAACAAAATTTGCCATCAAAGCGTTAATAAGCGTAAGCACGAGGGAAGCCCACCTCTGCTTCTCTCAGTGAATTTACTGCACCATTTTCACTTCATTTAAGTTTTTAGAGAGCTAATTCTGCTGCCTAATTAAGAAGTTCATCATGCAAAAGCATTGAATGACGGGCCGTTAAGTTGTTACTCGTTTGTGTTTTGCTGGATATTCATTTATTCATTAATACCAAATGCAATGGAAGAATAACTCACATTAAACTGAAAATGTAGAGGGGGTGTAATGGTCTGGTTACTGTGGTAATACAGTGGGTTTTTAACCTTTTTTTTGCTAAAAATAAACACATTTCTTGTGATTTTCTTTACACTCTTTGACATGGGACCAACTATGTTCACTGCTGCTCAATAATTAAAAACTCTTTTGCATGTTTTTCAGCGGCTTTGATGAAGAGAGACCTGAGGTACCCATGCTGTTTCGAGATGTCCCATCCCTCCTGATTATCTTTGTGCTAACAATGCCACAACCGCTGCGAAAAGGTACTCTTCCCGTGTCTGCATCATGACACTACAAGAGAGTAGGGAGTCTCTCAGTGGCTGCTCCACATTATCAGTAGTAATCAGGGCTGAGTGCTGGAAAGAAGCATTTCATATCTCTTATCTATGAGGTTCAGAGAGACACGACCCTAGTGATGGGAGGGCTGCACCTCCTTCGTGCGCCCTTCATCTGTGGCTTGTCGCTGCATCTCTTCCATCTTAGCCCTTCAGTAGAGCAGGCGGAGGGCCACCTAAAGACTCTGGCCCAACACACTGCGGTTATGTTTAATGGGAGACATGTCGCAGCAGGGAGATCATCTCATTGATGACTGAATTAGGTTGAGCGCTAGCCGGGACTGTTGAAAGTGGATTTATTGGAAAGTGAATGTAAACGGTTATAGTTGGATATACTAATAAATGTGTTATGGATGATTTTTTTTTTATCAGATTGATGTCAAGTTATAACTGTAAGACAGCGAGAATATATTTATTTTATTCTCTACAGCAGGGTGAGAGATGCACATGAATTAACATGCACAAAGCATGATATGGGGTTACAATACCTCTGTTTTCTAAAAGAGAAAGAGGGTTGAGGCGTGATCAGTCTTTGAGGGGTCCTTTGCACTCAATTGCTATAAAGTGATTGCCTCCTTTTCTAGTTCTGCCTTTTAATTGTGTGTACGACACTTGTCACAGTGACCAGGACAGTGGAGCTGTCAGCAGCCCCTTTGCTATAGAAGAAAACAAATGGCACTCTTTGTTGTTCTTTAAAGCAAACTAGAATATCCTTCAGACTACATTTTCCACCTGAAACGCTCTGCTAATTACCCTGTGCGCTGTTCAGTGAGGCTCTCTATGCAGAACTGAGAAACCAAATACAATGCCCCTGTGAATAGCTGCCAACACTTTTGAACTGGCCATTTCTAATGCTACAAGATCTTATGAATTTATTCTCTGTATGAATGATCCATGTCACCTTCTCTCCCCGTGTAGAGCACTTTACCTGTGTGGTGAAGATGCTGTACAACCTGCAGTTCACCCAGGCTCTGGCTGCACTCTCATCCAAGTTCAGCCCAGAAGAAAGGCAGGCCTGGAGCACAGCTGGAGCCCTCAAGAAGGTAAAAGTGAAATCAATTAGAGTTTCCTGACACCTGTCAAGCATACAGTACGTCCTTGTTTTGTCCTTCTCTTTCATCACTGTAAGGCTTTGAGGCTTTAATGGTGTAGACCAGGACATTGTGACGTCACTGATAGTGATGTAATATGCTGTCCATTACTTCATTTGTATTGATATTTATTCTCTATTATAATGATTGTGCTTATTTCTGGGCTTGTACTCATTTCTTGATGTTGCTGATTTGTCGGTTTTCCTACTTCTTCACAAACCTCTAAGTACTGCTGAAATATTAGGAGAACCATGGCTGTATTTTCTGCTCTCAGTGTAGTTTCCCTGTAGTTATCCTGACAGGTCTTCTTGTATCCTGTCCTTGTTGTTGTCTGATCTTATTGTCCTGTTTGTTCGCTACACCAGTCTACATCACTCGAACAGTTAAACATTGTGTAATGCTGGATGACCTGACCAAGCCCCCAGTATTTTTTAAGATTTTGACGCTTTCAAGGTATATCACAGTATGTTTTTTATTTCTTAATGACGAGGCCCTTATATAGGTTTATAGTGGCTTATTAGAGTACATACAATATAAAAACATGTACATTGATTACTGTAGAGTTAGAACTTTAACAACTTTAACATTGTTTCTTTTTCAAAACAAAATATTTAGTTGTAAATAAACCATATTAAACCATATAAAACAGACATAAAATAAAATACTATATTATTGAAGTATTTAAAGAGATATTTCTCGAATGTTCTTTTGTACAAGAAACAAAAATTGTCACAAATGGTTGTGTATGTCACACACATACACATTTTTTGCCCTGTAAAAGAGAGTAAGTTGTGGGTTTTCTTCATAGCAAGAACAATATTGATGCGTATTGAAGAGTTACAGCAGTTGTTTCAGCTTTGCACCGGTATGGCGCTATATGAAGCATTCATATCATACGGGAAATGAAAACCGGTCTACTGGTTCATTCGGTGTATCGGCCAGCACTAACATTGTGAATGACTTAGAATTGAGATGAATCGAGCCCTTTCTAGTTACATTCACTTGATTTTCACAGTTGACGGTATCGATCTTCATTATCTAGAAAGTGTGATTGCTGGAGAGTGTTGCATTAATTGGCTATCTGTCTTCAGTCTATTAAATCTGTATTAGTGAGTAGCTGGCTTGAATGTCAAAAGACAAATAGCTTAAACCTTCCCCTTCAGGGTGTTTTCATCCATAATGGAGGTGTGGATTAGTATCTTCCTACTACAGTCATGAACAGTAACGCAAGCATTCACGAGCTGTCTTTAAGATGGATTTCAAATCCACAATGAGGCCGACATCCATATTTGGTAGAACGCCATTTTAATTAAATTGAAGTTGTTGCAAAATATACAGTCTGAACAAAGATCAGAGCCCAGAGAAAGGAAATCCATGGACTTGAAATTCCTCCCCTATAAATCTATGACAAAGGACAGCAGACAAGATAAGACTGCTGTTTTAAATTCTTCTACCTTCAGCTTGATAAACGCGTGCAGCTTTTCCTTTATATAAAATACCATCCAAAGCAGTTGAGTTTTTATCAGAACCCACAGTCAGTAATGTCTCTACCTCTTATCAGATGTTATATTGTAAGGAAAGAATTATTGTCCTATTCTGCATAAGTCATTATATTCTATAGCGCAGCACATTTTAAACTTACGAGGACTAGGAAGACGCATATGTGTGGCATTCTTGAGCGCTGACAATAGACCGATAATATGAAGGCCATTTTATTTGTATGTTTCTCTGTTTTTGTGCTTGGTTATGGGTTGTCGTGTTAGTTTCTGAAGACCTGTAGGCTCTGCTGCATGTTCTCTGTGAGAGATGGCAGGTATCCATCACCAGGTGACCAGTATTTGATTTTGAGTATGATAGTAACAGACCTCAGTTGAACACCTGTTGGAGATTTAAAGACGATTAAGACTGAATTGTTATATTGTTTTATCTTTACCATTCAGCCTGACATTGTGTTCATGTTGACCAGAAGAGAGGTTGTTTAGTTTTCTTTTGGCCCAACCAATCAGTAGTGAGCGGCTCATGTGACATAATTTTTAGTTGATACAGAAGCTTCAAGAGTTGTTTTTTCTGTAAATCAACACCCTGTACATCTGTGTAAAACTCTATTTTTAATGGCCGTGGCTGTTTTTGACTTGGCTGTGGCACCGGGAGACAAGGTCTTAATCCCTACAAGCCCTGATTGGTCAGTTTAATGTGGGGGAGGACTACAGAGGTCTGGAAGGAGGCTGCAGTAAAACTGTTCTGGAGGCTTGTTTTGAACCGACATCATACTAACACTTGATGTTGTCTTTTTTTCTTTGTCACCTGTTTGTAAATGGCGGCAACAACCAAAGGAGGATGCTTCATTGTTGTTTATGGACTAAAAAACTGGAAGATTTGTGTTGTTTTTTTGTTTTTGTTTTTATTAGCATTTAGACTACTGATTAATTCTTTCTGGCAGCAAATCTATACCTTCCTCCCTTTGTGCTGAAGGGCTTATTTAGACAGCTGAAGACCCATATTTATCATGGCTTTATTGCTTGGAGTTTATCTTAATACCTCATTTTGCAGCTGTACCAGAGTTTTTCCGTCCTCCTTCATCTATCAGTTTTTGAGACTGGACGTAGATTAGTATTGGGAGGGACTGCAACAATATAGAAACTTTTTTTTTTATATAGCCAGTTCAATGTTCTCTCCTTATTTCATTTCAAACAAGGAATTAATTGATCAATGCTGATGACTGTTGACCGTCGGAGGACATTAAAGGCTAGATTAAACTGAATATCTTATTCTTTTAATGTTTTATCACCTATGTTTTCACATATTTGACATTCTGCGTTTTGGTTTTCTGCCACAGAGTGCAGCAAATGCTGATAAATCCTTTGAAGTGCTGCTCAGTCATGTTATCAGTGAGCTCTCTAAGGACAAGAGTGTCTACAAGGTGAACGCTGAAGAAACATCAATGGTGAGTCACTAAAATTACGGTTTAGCACTTCAGAATATAAATGCCTTCAGAACGGTGCTCTGGCTCCCCTTTTGTTCCACTCTTTCATTTTCTCTTAAACAATGAATCGGCCATTACCCCCGAGAGACAGAAGTTTAATATCTTCACTAATCTGCAGGGGAGATATACATCACAGTATTATCAGCAAGCGGTTGGCAGGTTATTGATCAAGTGTTTCTGTTGTTTCCCTCTCCAGCTGATCTCCAGTGTGTGGTCCCCACAGTCTATCGAGTTCAGCCTCCAGCAGTTCTGCCTGCCCTTCCTTCGCCTCTCCTGTCTCCTGCAGCATCACCTCTATGGAGACAACCTAACTGGTTGCCAGGTATGTTTTATCACAAGTGTCATCCTACCTGCTGAAACTACCCTTCCCCCTCGTATCCTAGCTGCAAGCTCAGTCAATATTTCTGCTCATCTTCTGTACATTACTGCTACATTTCTCCAGCAGTTATTAAGCTCAGATACTTTGACTTCCTCTGAATCTCGAGCATTGAGAGCGACCTCCCCAGCTGTTTTCTTGTTTGTGTGTTCTCAGGAGGAGGAGGAGTTTGCGTCCTTGGCTGTGTGTTTGGGGCTCCTACCCTCGGCCCCTCAGCCATCCAACACTGTGCACAGTGCCTCATGTCTGCAGTGGGCGGTCAGCGCCTTTGACTTGGTGATACAGTGGTGCGCTGAGGTCACAGGGCTCTCCCAGATGCAGGCTGAGCAATCATTGGTATGTGAATTTCATATAAGAAGCTATACAAACCCAGTATGACAGTGCTATATGTCCAGAGTTTTCTCTCGAAACTCACTGGATTTAATTTGAACCCTGTTGCTGCAATGAAATATTCATCTCATATATATTTCTCATGTATTATTGTTCTATTGTTCTCTTATAAGGGCCAATATTTGAAGGCGTATTTATTTATATAAAAGACAGCAGGTGTATACAAGTAAAATCACATGTGGATGAGACCTGTCCATGTGGGTTTTATTTTAAATTTAAAATATAAATAGATAAATAAAGCTTACTTGTTACATTGTAGTAACCAAGCTTTGGGGTTACAAACAAATAGTTAAAATACTCTCATTAATGAAATATTCAAACCAGGTATTTTGAACTTGATTTTCTGTAAGTTCACGTAGTTCAAGTGCTACTGACACTTTAAAATGAGTTTCTTTGGTTGACAAAGTGTCTCTGAGGAGAGTGACTGCATAACGAGCCATGTGTCTTATGCTCTCGTCATTAAGTATCGCAGTGACCTTGGATTATTTATTATTACACATTAGAGCATAAGGACAAAAACTAAACTTGGAAAGTTGAGACCTGGTCTTTTATTTTAGTCACTGTAGACTGACAGCGAGTCTTATTTTTTTTTCTTTATGCTTATTTCAAAAACATAAAAACAAGGAGTTTAACAGGTTATTTGTAGATTTAGAAATGTGTGAAATGATGCGAGCAGTCAGTCTTTTACTGATGATGATTTTTGTAGAGGACTAAGCTGATAAGAAGTAGAGTTGGAGGACAAAATGTGTTCACGCCTGTAGTGCACAATAAACATATGGCCTGGATTCTGTATATATTACGTACTTCTGTCTTTCTCCTCTGAAGACCTTGGTTGTCCAGGATCCTCAGTGGGCAGCCCCCCGCCTTCTCCAGCTACCTGACAACTACAATATCATCTTCCAGTACTATCACAGGAAGGCCTGCACTGCCTGCAAAAAGGTGCCAAAAGACCCTGCACTCTGCCTTGTTTGTGGCGCCTTCGTCTGTCTCAAAGGCGTGTGCTGCAAACAGCAGGGTACCTGTGAATGTGTTTTGGTAAGTTTCTCAGCACTTTGTGTGGGTTCATTTCAACTAATTTCAAACAGGATTAAGATAATTTTTTCCTTTTTTTTTGTCTTTGTTTTGTCACTTGTAGCACTCCCAACATTGTGGCGCAGCTACAGGCATCTTTCTACTGATAAATGCCTCAGTCATCATCATCATCCGTGGACATCGTTTCTGCCTGTGGGGTTCTGTTTACCTTGATGCCCATGGAGAGGAGGACCGTGATTTACGGTATGACGTCTTAAAAACCACAGAGTATTTTATATTTAATAATTAATGTTAATACAGTTAGAACATTGTTATAGTCCTGAGCTGTGTCCCAATTCCATTATACATACCTATTGTATACATTATGTATCTATACTAATTGTCATAGTATACTACTTTTATACCATTATATATTATACCATTTTGTACTAATGTAAAATGATGCGGTATGTGTGCCAGATTCAGGGAGTTATGGGACATCACTGTCGATTAAATGGTCCAGTGTGTAGGATTTAGTGGCATCTAGTGGTGTAGTTGCAGATTGCAACCATTTGAATACCACTGAGTCTTCTAAAGGTGTACGATAATCTACAGTATATTCCATCTCTGCCAATAGATCCTCCTAAATGTTACACACTGGACCTTTAAAGTCCAAACACACAAACATGCTCATATCCTTCTTGGAATTAGGATCTAATCTGAAATTGGGACCAGGCTCTTTTTTTGAATACTTGTTGCTGCAGAGAAAACAAACACAGCACTCACTCTTGTTTTCCCCTCTGGCCTTTTTTTCCAGCCGTGGCAAACCTCTCTTCTTATGTGAAGAGAGGTATCGAGTGTTGGAGCAACAGTGGGTTTCACACACCTTTGATCACATCAATAAGCGTTGGGGGCCTCACTATAATGGACTCTAAGATCTTCCAAAGTCCACTGCAAACAGCAACCAATGACTGAGAAGATGTTTTTTTTCTTTTTTTTCTGGCTTATGTGTCTGCCCCGATCAAAATATTTGGGAACCCTTAACGTGATAAATACAAACATCCAGTAAAGGTATTGCAGCCACAGCCTCAGTTTATGTGAAGTTTGGTGTACAATCATGCCTAAAGATTAACACGTGTGTGTGTTTAAGTGATTTATTGTGTGGTTTTCAACAGGGAAAAACAGAATTTGGTAAGATCAAAGTAAAAAGCACAACTTTGCCCAGCAATTCGATTGGTTTGGAACAGGCTTTTGAAGCCTGTCGTATTTATTTGGGTTAAAATATATATATATATATATATATATATATATATATATATATTTCAAGTGCTGAATGTCCCTGCGAAGTTTGGTTACTTTTTGCACCATTTATGATGATGTTAATGCATATCCCTTTTTATTTATCAAAATGTGCTCTGCTGTGCTGGCATGAGTTTCAAGCTCCTGATGAGTGTAGCGATGTTATTGCAATGTGCACTCATTGTCTGCTGACATGTGATGGTAGGCAGGACAAGTCCACCCATCAACACACTAGAGTTATTTTGCAAACAAGCAAAGACTCTTTTTATGGGTCTAGTTGCAATCCATCCTCAGGAATTTTTTTTTTTTGTTTTTTGCTGTTTAAAATAAGTTTTAGATATTTAAATAAATGCTGCTGCTCATTGTTCAAGTAAGTAATTTTAACTTTTTGTGAAGATTTTTTTTTTCTAAGGTTGTGCTTTGAGTTTATAGTAGATGGCTGGGAATGTTGACTCAAACTCACTTCAATGTTTAAGAGGGTATGCGGTCACCTCATTGCGTTCACTACAGTTCTCGTAGTCCTGCTCTATCCGCTTTTTGTTTCTGGTTGGTTTTGAAAAAATAAATTTTAAAAAAAGATCTCAAAACACCAACTCTAAGACAGCTAAAGCTTCAACCGCTCAATAAATAATCTAAACATTCGTTTGTCATCGCTCCACAAAAACCTGAAGTCAAACACAGAATTTAAGTAGCATACTGTTGTCAGGAAAAGGAAATGTCGATGCACAGATATATAGCGTCTGGCGGCACTGGCGAAGCTGAACGCCATATGAGAGCAGAAATACTATACTCGTTCTGTCAAAGTTTTCTCTCAAGATATGAAACTCAATGAAATTTAAGTTGCTTTTTGAGACGAAATGCCAATACTCCTCATCTTTCTGTGCTGTCTGAAAAAGTTTCCCCCCTTTTTTATGCTTTGATTGTCGAGTCCTAACTGCAGTATAGAACATTCATCGTGTTGACTCTCCCTTTCTCATGCACCATCTAGTTGTGATTTATAGTTGCATTCCAACATTACAAGGTTTTCACTTGAGTATCCGTTATACACTGTGCATGACATCCTTTAAAGCCACCATTATTTAAGTGTCTTAGCTACTTAATTTTCTGATTATCATCTTTTTTTCTTTTTCTTTCTTGAAGACAGGAATTTATCCAGTCGTGCCTGCAAGATTATTTTTAGTTTTCTTTTTTTTTTTTCGAGTGATAAACTGCTGATATCTGGTTTTGAGATGCTGGGCCACATCGTGCTGCATTGATGAATCTCTAAAGAGCGGGTTAACACTTGGGAGAAAAAAAAAACATCTTCTTGAATTCATGCATGCTGCTTTTTCTGTTCACTGAGTTTTCTCCTCTTCTTTATTTCACAGTACCCACTTTGTAAATGACCGCAACCAAATAGCCAACAAGTAATGGGTGTAAATTGTGACTGAAAGGTCTTGTGTGTTCTCCTGTATGAATGAAGAGAGAATACAGTACATTACTGTAGGTGCTGACTCAAACTTTCTGAGTTTGACCAGAAAGTATGACTTGGACATTTAATGCAAAATGTAACATATGTGAATAAAATATAATCACACTGATTTGTGTCTCTTTTTGTCTTTTGAGCAGCACAGTGAGTTGTCTACTCTTTTTCACACCACATGAGAGTGCTGATACTGTATTTGTTCTGTCAAAGTATTCCCTCAATGTCACAGCTGCTTTTGTCAAATATCAAACCCTTTCATTCGTCTGCACTGTCAGAAAAAAGCCGATACTATCATTTTGTTTCGATTGGATGTAGTTGAAGCTCTTTCCGAGCATTCTGACTGATGTGAGTGCTAGACAGACGAGGAGAAAGAGGATTTTATGACTCCGCTGTCAACTCAGCCCCATAAAGCTCAAATATTACTTCCTATAATAGCCTTTTGTCTGGCCTCAATCTGGTGATGTGGGCTGTAGTGAGGAAATGTGGCAGACATCCACCTCAAACTGACCACCAGGGGTCTCAGTTCAGTGGAGTTCTTCAGATCACAACTTCCCACAGACAGATCCTGTGACCTTTTTAAAACCAGTAAATGTGACATCATCCTGAAATGCAGCAAGTAGCAAAACATTTTCACAATGTGACTGAGCAGATGCATCAATAAGCAGCTGCCAGTCTTATTTTTTTGTCATTTGCAGCTGAAAATGCTGCAGCTAAATAAAACTCTAGGAAATGTATTATTAAATTATACACAACTAAGCCCTGTGGGTGATTTCTGTGTATGCTGTGACACTTTTTCAGAGCAACAGAGAGAGATTTCCCTGCCATGTGACTGAGCATTTTTGAGGATAATTGGGTTTTCATAAACAAGGGAGGGCCTCTGGTTAATGACCAATAGCCGCACAAAGCCCCTCTTTTCTGCCAATTAGACAAAAAGAAAACAAGTATGGACTGGTGGAGGAATTTTCTCCAGGGTTAAATCACTGAGATTGTTGAAACAGGGTTTCCATGCTGAGAGATGTTGGTGTTGCAGGCGCTGCTGCAATCAGCATCACTGGACATTTCCTCATTCCCTTCCTGTGCAGGTAGGTATATCCTGCCGCTATACAGAGCGTAAATAGACCATTGAAGGCTGCACAAGGTGATACTGGTCAGCTAGGAGCTTGTGGCCTGCAGGACAGCACGCTCAGGTGTCTATACTGTTAATAATTAAAACCATTCACTGAGTAAACAGGGAAATCAGTTGGGATATGTTGCTATGGACGGTAAGCTCCACGTACAGAATTGTCAGTTAATGCCAAAATAGTTAGGTTTGTGTGAAAAGTGTCTGCAGTGTTGGCTGTGTGGATCCACACGCACAGAGATGGATGCAGGACTGAGCAGTATTCAGCTGATGTCTGAAAAGGTTTCCCCTGTTTTGCAGATTTTGAAGATGGAAATACGGAGCAGGCACAGTCAAGGTAGGACTCAAATGTTTGCTCATCAAAGGGCTGCAGAGAATTCAGCTTGTCTGGATGACTTTAATTCATTTAAAATGTTTTATACTGGGGGATACTGTGCGTGCAGTCGTGTTCATTGTCAGTATAAACTGCTGTTTAGCATTTTCAGATGTTAAACACAGGTAGGAGACTAGAGGATCACAAACTTTTACTTTGACTCAGTTTTTAACTCAAAATTGTAAAAAAAAAAAAACTTCAGGTAGCACACAAAATCAGAGCAATGTGTATGCTTATCAGTGAATTTTAATAATTGTTGCATTTAAGAAAATGTTCTTTATTTGTCCACATAGTTAAATAAAACTAAAGAGAATAAAATGAACAATTATGTTGGGAAGAAAAAACCCATAAGGACTAGTAAAGATTTTTTTAAAAATGAAAGACAGCTGTAGGCGATATGTGTTCCACAAATTCACAAACAGACATGTTTCCAAACTGGAACTGCAAAAAAGCACCAAGGAAGAAAAATAAATAAAAACAAGGATTAAAAAATATATATTTGCACTGCTTTCATACACTGTATCATGTCACATTTACATAGTATTGTACTCAAGAGAAGTTGTTTCAATTCTTCTTTAAAACAACATAATCTATATGTATATATATATATATATATATATATATATATAACTCCCAGGCCTCTGGTAGAGGACCCAGGCTTGAGGATGACACATAGATACCACCCCAAGAGGGTGAGAGGGAAGTTGTTGGTTTTTTTTTTATATTTCAAAATATGGAGAAATTACTTTTTATAGTCATTTCTTTCTACTTACTGAATATGCTGTATTAGTGTAAATATAGTTTTACACTGTAGGTCACAGTCTGACTTCTGCATTCATAAAGACAAAATAATGAGCTGTGTTTTATTTGTTTTATTCTGTATCAACCAGTAAGTGTATCCAGTAAGCTACAGTGTGAAACATAATATTAAGTCAAGTCAAATCAGTTTTATTTATATAGCCTAATATCACAAATCACAAAATTCATAATTTTACAATCTGTACAACATACAGCAATATCTGCCCTTACACCACAGATACAAATGAGGAAAAACTCCCCCAAAAAACTTTTAACAGGGGAAAAAATGGAAGAAACCTCACAGGACGTTTCTCTCTCCCGACCGTGTGTACAGTATAGATTAACAGAAAATGATAGTATATACGATCCACCATGGAGACCAAGAGGCCACACAAACACAAGAGGACAACAGCACCATTCACACAGAGAGGAGGAACAAACACACACACACACACACACACACACACACACACACACACACACACACAGAGGGTATAGAAAGCCGTGATAACATGCAAACTAGGGAGAGAGAACCCATGGGAGAGGCTGATGGATGAAGATCCAGAGCGCAACAACTGGATGAGGCATCAATAGCCAGAAGTGAGAGAGAGAGAGAGAGAGAGAGTGAGAGGTCCCAGGATGGCCGATGGTCCAGCACTGAGAAACCTGAGTGCAAGACAGGAGAATATATTAAACTAGAATGTACACAACTGCACAAAATGCCGTACATCTGAAATATATCATATATAAAAACTGAGCTTGATGATACTAAAACATGGAGTTATAATTCTCAATTTTGTCAGAAAGATGGAACAAAATATGCATAAACCTTAGAATATAATAATAATTTTATATTATATTTTATATTAATTCATAAGACTCAATTAGTTTTGTTGCATTGCATTGTAAAGTATTACAGTGCATCACATCCCTGAGGCTGAGTCACTTGTGACGCTGGTTGTGGATTTTAGATTGATTATTTTGATGATGATGTTTGCTCCTTGTTAATTAGGTTGTTGTTTTGTGTATCCAACGTTGTCACTTGGAGTTTATTAATCATGCAGGTGCACTGCTAATCTTACGGGGGCTTAAACTTTAAAAAAAAAACAAATAAAAAATGTGTTTGTTTCTGGTCGTGTGAGGCTTTGGTTGTCCAGGGTGAGAACAAGGGCACAGTGCTTTCGGCCTGGCTCGTGGCTAGTAGAGGTTTACCGCAAAGCCTCTTCATATCCCCTTAAAAGGGATTATAGTTCAGGGTTTTTTTTTCTCTCCACAGACTTACCAAAGGGTTTACCAAGTGAAGTTCCCATAAGGCTTTACCAGAGAGGGTGGGATTGTGCGGGTTTGATGGAAGCAGAAAATTAGATTACTCACTTTCACTTTTCACTGTTTCTGGTGACAAAGACAGTCCCTGTGCTGCAGCTGTTCACATCATCCAAAGCTGTTACCACCTCCAACCATCGCTGAGACTGGGAATTATGGAGATGCGCTGTAAATGCAAATGTTTTGGGGGCATGTTATTTTGCTCAAGAAGCATCTGCATCACAAAGCAACTTAGCCGTACAAATGCCCCAGTTTTTATGTGTAGTAACGATGTCACAGTGAGGCACTCGCCAGCATTGTGAACACCTGATACGATGTCCCTTTTTTCAGGTATGCTGACACAGTATGGTAAACAAAGGGTAACCTGAGCGTCGCCATCCAGGACCGGTGGTGTCCAATTCTAAAGCAGCAATGACGTATCTCCTGCTCGTCACAGCATTTGAGTTTCCTCTTTGCTTTGTGACAGTAAATATATTTGACAGCAGGTCTGCAATTAAAAGAAAGTTTCTAACATGAAAGGTTTGCTTGGAATGATCCAGAGACTCAACTATTTTTGGTTGATATTGTGACTCTTCACATGATGCAATGTCTCTGTGCTACCCCGCAGGTTATAGCCAGGTCAGGCTTGAAATTTTTTTTTTTCGGCTTCCAAAGGGAGGCCATGATTGAAAAAGTTTGGGAACCACTGCTTTAACACATGCATGGAACATTTGAGCTCTTCTTGGAGCAAGTTCTGCTGATATTAAAGCTCTTTCCACCTGGTGTTCGCTTCATTAGATCCCCGGGGCTTTAAACTCATGGCAACAGCAACATCCAGTGGAATAATGTCTTGTTTTTAGTTGTTGTCACTCAGCATGTAGGGTCTGTTTATATATTATTAAGAAAGTCAGACCCAGACTCAATCATAAACTTCTATAGGGAGTCTAAACATTGTAGTTCTGGACTTATATTTGACTTCATGAACAGATTGTCTTCAGTTCAGTGGAATACTTTTGCCACTACGAAGCTTGCACTGGTGCACAGTAGCTGCAGAGATGCTCATTACGTCGTTGTCACTGCATACAAGCAACTAAGATGAAGCTGTCAAATGACGTACAAACAGCTGGATGTGTAAAGAACATTATGTACAGAGGAGAGACAGTCGACAAACTCATGTGACCTAGCAACTACCGTGAACTTCCTGGTAACCTGTTTGCAACCTGAGGTGCTTCATATCAGCCTCCATTATGAGTGGATACATCTGCCGCTTGAATATTTAAAACTGGAGATCGGGTTGCAGATTGCTGGTGAATTATTAATCCCTATAGATTAGCATGAATTAGTGTGGAGCGTTTTAGTGCGAGGGAGAGACAAACACTTTCACAGAAACAGGTATGTGTGACTTTTGGCTTTATGATCTGAGCTTTATTGAACTTTAAAAACTATTTTGAATAATGAATAAATGGAAAAAGTTAGTTCTTTGTGTGTTATGGTTGCAGACTCTGGCTATAAAGTTTTTTATGATTGAAGTTCAAACAGTAGGTGAGATTACTGGTGCTGTGTAACCTAAAATGATGCTTGACTGATGCACAATTTAATGTTAAAGTCTTGTTGTATTGTGTTTTTCTGTAATAGCTTGTACTTTAATGCCCGGTCAGTATTAGACATTAGCCACTGAAATTTATTGTGCACTTAATAGTAATTTACTTAAAACAATAACCAGTCTCATATGACCTGCTGCTGCACATCTGAGGCTTAAACTTCTGTTTAAGTTGCAGGAAAACAATGTTTTCGAGCAGGTGTCTGCTGCAGCCGGTCATTTGAGACAAAAAGCTGCCATAGAGGAATATGAGCTGTCTGTTACAAAAAGTTGGTGAAGGTGTCCTGGCGACATGTGACTGGGGATGGGTTCAAAGCAAGGTGTAGGTGCAGAGACAGTTATAAATGGCAAGTGAACAGGTTCAGATGCTGTTGATTAGTAAGGCGTGTGTGAGGCATTATTCACGGACAGTCTAAAGATGGGCCATTAGCTTCAGAACAATCAATGATGGATTATTAGACTGAAGATGAAACCATACCTGTAGGTAAGTGTAATTATTATTTAAACATGTGTTTTAAAAACGCAGAATTACAAAAGGTACTTTGGTACTGCTGCTACAATCACGTTTCTCTCCTAAAGGACACGGTGAAGGATATCAGTTTGGATCTCTGTGCTGCATATCTGAGCGTCTCCACAGAAAGTGGTATATCCATCTAATATCCACCTGGATGCCACTGCTCAAGCTGCACGCACACAAATTTCATAAATCTGTCCTCATGTTTGAGTTGCTCCTGAGGGTTAAACATCATTCACGTTTTTTCGCATCAATCTGTTGATCTCGACTTCCCTCCCTCAGGGTCACACAACCTCTGTGATGCATAACACGTTTATGACAAGTGGAGCAGTCACAAGATCGTACACAAACATTCCTCTCCATCATGTTTATATCTGGAGTACGTGTCGTATTGCAAAAATAGGATGCATGCATCCCAACATGACAACATCAGTTCCTAATCGATCATGTTATTCTGTCTCAGCTGTTTTGACACTTAATGCTTTGCACCGTTGGTCTTACATGTTGTATTTGGTCACAGAAACATCACTTGTAGACTTAAAGGATGATTTATGTCGGGCTTTTGAGTCACTCTTGATCATTAGTCCTTATAACCTTCTTATAGGCTGAAGACACGACTGAACACTTTACATAATAATCATTTCACAGTGTGTGTGGAGGTGTGGTGCCGGCTCACTGCTCATTCAGGACGACACTTCGTCAAGTTAATCTCTGTCCAATCCAATTGATTTTGAGGAGATTGCACTTCTTAGTGGGCAGTGACAAGGTCCCCGTGGAGAGAGCTAATTCAGTGTCTCTCTATGAAGTGCCACTTGTTGCCCGTCCTCTTGAGGAAGCTATTGCTGTTGCTATTGGTGTTTGTTATATTATGATCACCAGAGACTCTTTAGTTGTAATTTTTCTCAGCCCTGATGAGTCAGAAGAAAATAACACTTGCCATGTAAGTAGAGTCCTGTTGTCTCCACCTACATCTGTCTGTTTATGCTTTGATTTCTCCTGCTTTAAACCTGTTAAGGGGCTCCCTTGGCAGATGTAGTCGTTCCCCGAGCTGAATGAGAAGGCCTTTGGGAATAAATTCACTGCTCTGTGCTATACATACACAGCTTTACACATGCTTTTTCCTTTTAATGACTTGCTTCTCTGTGGTGTTAACAGGGAGATGTGTGTTTTCCTGTCTTGCTGCGACAGTGTAAAAGTCTGTTTGGTCTGTTGTGAGGCTTAACTGTAACTGTAACTCCTTTTACAAGAAGCTTTCTTATTGTAGGACAAAGTATTAGGTATTAGAAAGGGATTAACATTTCTCTTAGTTTCTATTAAGTTTCCACTCACTACAAAAGTATTTCAAGTAAGAATTCATTTTTTATTTTGGCTTTCTATATATAACATTCTATATATTTTGTTTCTTTATTGCACTAAAAACTTTGCTCCTAATATTGTGGTTACCTTCCAGGAGGTCACTGTATGGACTGTATCCTTACAAGTCCAGCATGCTTGGCATGGAGAACCTAGGCGATCCATCAGGTAACTGGGATATAGTGGAGACCATTGGTAAAGGAACGTATGGCAAAGTCTACAGAGTGACCAACAAGAAGGATGGGAGTCAGGCGGCAGTGAAAGTGCTGGACCCGATCAATGTAAGTCAGATAAAAGCATGTTTACTGTGGAGCCTTTTGCAGGATTCAAACCCACTGTTGCCACTGCATGTAATCTATTTTCAGTTGCCTGCCAGTTGTTATATGTACCATTAGGTCCTGGTTACAGTATCTGTTAAGGCTGACAGATTCATGTGCAGAATATACTATTGATGTGCTTAGTATTAGTATTAAATTTGGATAACGGTGCATCTAACGCTTTCCTTGACAGCATAATAACTGTCACCCTGCAGACCTCACAGCTGTAAAAAGAGAAGAGCTGACGGATGCAAAACCAGCAAGGACCTCAATATATAATGTGTTAATCTAAAGTAGTCTGTAGTTTATATATATATAACATATAATCTAACAGAGCATCCACTCAGTCATTTAATGCCATGGTCCCCTGCTTTGGTGAAACTATGACTACTAGAGATCATCGAGTGTTGCATAGGTTAAGACCAAAACAACTAAAAAACATTTTGTTCCTATTTAATTTTTAAAGCTCAGCATAATAAAAAATATCCAGTAATTTATAAAACAAAGATTAGTTTAGTGCTAATTAATAAATGTTAGTTGTCCTGTGAAGCATGCTATCATTTGCTTTCCCCTCAGAGCACTGCTGTGCATACGTACATCCTTTACAGAGTCCCTTGCATGGCAGTGTTGTGTTGTTTGCTTCTCTACTAGCTTGTCAATTGTCCAGTGAATGCCCCTTGGAGGGTCCTCACCCCTAATTTAAGGGACATTATTGTCATATTTGTGCATCTTTGTTGTGCCTCCGTCATTTAGTAGTTTCTAGCTGCCTGTGACATGACTGCATGTGTCAAATTCGCTACATCTGCCACTTATATCACAGTTTTAGAGCAACAGGGAAGCATAAGATTTGGGGAAAGAGAGCTTTTTTTGTTGGTGCAAACTAACGTACACCTGTAACTGCTGTAACTGAGCCTGTACCTTGTTTACTGTCTAATATTTAGCTCTCTTTGTGACTCATGTCTGCTAAGCCAACCTACCCTGTATATTGTTATATGAAAATAAAATGAAAGAAATGTAATTTAGACTCGACAGACAGCTGAGTGTTTATACTGGTTTACTGGCTAAATTAGATCATTCAGACGCTGCTCTGACATCAGCCTCCCCACTATAAGTTTCTATTGCTAGCGTTGGTGAGAGAGTCCTCCACAAACGCTCATTTCATTATGACAGTTTTTTTGATGACTGTAAGAACTCATAATATTGTGACAGAAGAGAAAAGCAAAGACTAAAACCATTGTGTTTTTCTTTATAACTATGTGACTTGTCTCAGCATGCGAGCCATACAAACAGAGTAAGTTGCCAGTACTTTTTCCTCCTCTCCATCTTGATGCAGTTGTACTTGTACTTGCTCCAGTGATATAGATCAACGTCTCCCCTTTTCATTTATTTCCTGTCATGTTAAGTCTAACACACCCTTACCACAAAGTGTAGCTCCTGCGTTGGCTGTATCCCCTCTGTATATCCGTTCATTTGTCTGTGTGATAAGGATGCTGTGGACTCCGCATTGGCACCGCATTGTGGTAGTGAGACTTGGTCTGAGGCGTTCCTGTGATTGTGTCAAAGGAACAATCGCCATCCTGGCAGTGCTATCCACCATGATGTTCCCCTGATGGCCATGAAGATGAAGCTGCCTCCTCTCTCATCCCTCTCTCTGATTAGACTGCTGCCACAATCACTCAGACATCCAGGAAGAGAAATTCTGCCTCTCTGACTGTTGCTCTTCCCTTCCTCTGAGATTTACTTTGATAGAAAAGCACTTCCAGAAATAGTTTAGCACCCAGTACCGTCCCTACCTTTGTTACTGAGTTTATAACCCTATCTTTAGGAGTCTAATTATAGTCAACCTCAGAATGTCTGAACCACAACCTGAAATAATGTTTTTTGTAATCACATTTTTATTTCTTATTTGCATAGTTACATACATCTATATCAATTCTATGTCCCAACCTGTTTTCTGTTGTTGTTTATAGGATGTGGATGAGGAGATTGAGGCTGAATACAACATCTTGAGGTCCCTCTCCAACCACCCTAATGTGGTGAAGTTTTACGGCATGTTCTACAAGTCAGACAAGTTATCAGGTGGACAACTTTGGCTGGTACTTGAGGTGAGCTCCTCATAATGTCTGTAGAGAGTCTCAGACCCTGGATCACAGCTTACTGGTTTTCCCAGATGCATCATCCTTACAAACTACAGTATAGCATTACATTGACCGTGTGCCAGTGCTAATAGTTTTGGATCTGGAGCTCGACATTTTGGATGCACTTATTTGATTTCTTGCTGAGATTTAGATGAGAAGATCGATACCACTCTCATGTCTGTACATTAAGTGTTAACAGTCAGGGTTAGCTGTTTCCCTTTTATTTCCAGTCTTTGTGCTTAGCTAACTAAGTAGCTGTCAGATGAGAGTGTATCAATCTCCTTATCTAACTAATGCTGCATTCACATGGATTCAGGCAGACAGACGGCGCCTTCCTCAAACCCGAAAAACACGTGGCGATATGTTGCTATGGTAATGTCATATTGTTTACAAAGAATGGATTAAATATATTAAGTAACATTGTTTTGTGAATATTACATTTCTTTATTTATTATTACCGTCTCATCTCCAGATTGTTTATGTTTATGTTTTCTCCTTGTGTGAGGGAGCTACGTAACATCTGGTCCTAAATACCGTCATGGATTATGGCGAACAGTTAAAGTATTATAACTTAGGACGGGAATGCCATCAACCATTAGTTTACTGTCGTACTCTCATCCACTAAAATGACATCCAATTGGCCATAAGATGAGATCGACACAGGCTAACATGAACATAATGTTTGTGATTATTAGGCAAGCGTTAGAGGGCAATGTTTAGATGAGAGTTTATTTTTCTTATGTTCATTTTTTCTCATGTTCTGAGGATATTTTTCCTTCCCTCTCATCATTTTGCTAGCTAAGCCTGCACTTCAGTTTCTTCAAAGTTATGTTAGCTATTTCACATTCAGCTAAAAATGTGTCAAGAAATCTAGCAATGTGCTAGCAAATGGCGGGAAAGACAAAGACTCCTATCTGATGAATGTGGATGTAAATGATCCACGTTTCATAATGTAACAAAAAAAAAAAAAAAAAAAACGCTTTGCAAATAACTCACATGGTGTTTTGGTGAGTAACACTGAAAGGAAACATGAATGTGTTTCTTTCTTCACAGGGTAGCTTTAACTGTTGCCATCCAAATACTGTATACTAAAAGATACTTTTTTGTCTATTAGCCCAAAAAATATTCAAAACTTTTGAAAGTTTAAGTGAAACCCTTTAAAATGTAAAGATCCAGTGTGTAACATTTAGGAGGCTCTATTAGCAGGTTTTCATTTGTGAATATAGGAATTGTTGTGTTTTTGTGTCTTTAGAATGAGCACTAAAGTCAGCGGGTCAACTTCCATGGTGTCTGCCATGTTGAACCACACCATGTTTCTACAGTAGCCCAGAAGGCTCCAGATAGGGATGTTCGTGTTTTCCTGCGTTTGGCGGCCACCTTAGTTCCTCTTCTGCGCTAGATGCCACTAAATCCTTCACACTGGACCTTTAAGTTATATTAAAATGTGCCCTCAGTTTGTCACAGCGACACACCTGCATGGATGTTGATGCTTTCATGCTGCCATGTGATGCTGCATTGCTTCCTCTGACTTGTGTGTGTGGGCTAGCTCTCCTCATGAATCATAATCTAGAGTGGTGAGTGATGGACGAGTCACCAGAGTTTCTCTGTCTCCCTCCCAGCTGTGCAACGGCGGCTCTGTCACAGAACTCATCAAAGGGCTGCTCATCCGAGGCCAGCGTCTGCAGGAGCCCGTTATCGCATACATCTTATACAGTGCCCTCCTGGTAAGATGGCCTGCTGCAAAGCTGCTAATGTTCGGGAGGATGTGGGATGCAAACACGCAGAGAGCGTGCTGGGGATTTATTTTCAGCAGGGGAAGTGTGGCAGGCGGTAATGAATGTCTCTCCCTCTGAACAGCTGTGGGAGTTCTTTTAGATAGTTTTGTACTGCTCAACCTTTTAATGCATCATATTCTAATTCACACTAATGACTAATAATGCGATTCATGCCGACCACCTTGTGTTTTCTGTCTGTAAAAAAGGGTCTTCAGCATTTGCACAACAACCAGATTATCCATCGTGACGTCAAAGGCAACAACATCCTCCTGACAGCTGAGGGAGGAGTCAAACTGGTTGACTTTGGTAATGGTCTTTAAATGAGGCAATTCAACCAATTCATGGATTGATAGAAAGAGATGAATGCGTTAAGGTCTGAGAATTGTGTCGTTTTCTCTGATGTGCATTGTGTATGGGAAGTGTCAGCAGCACATCCCTGTGACATTGTTTGTGAAGGCGAACACAAGCACAGGATAAACCATTCTTCGTGCTCCACACTTTAGTCCCTTGCTCACCATAACATCTTTTTATTTCATGGACCGCAGCCTTAACCCAAGGCTATTATTGCTCATTTAAATTGCATTATTTGATCCTTTGCATATTAAAAGAAAGCTGTTATGGCAAATGACTTTGAGTCACCCCTAGGCATGTTTATGTCCTCTGTGTCATGGAGATGAAGTGGACTCATGCTGATAAAAATCTGTCCTACATAATTTGAAATGATTATAGCCCATTATTATTACTGCTTGGCAGGTTGCCACACTAAATTATATCCAAGGATTTATTGATTAATTCAAACATTTAGTCTTCATCATAAATTATATTTTTATCTGGAAAAAATTCACACTGATAAACATACTAATGTGATTAAAAGTAATTTTCGTTGTTTTTGTTTCTTTTAGGTGTTTCGGCTCAACTGACCAGTGCCCGGCTGAGGAGGAACACATCAGTCGGGACTCCGTTTTGGATGGCTCCTGAGGTCAGAGTCCACGCTTCACTTAACGCACAAATGATCATCTGTAATAATGCAGTAGTGAAATAGCGCACGTGTTTTACTGCCTAATGGAACATTTTAAAAGAGCAAAGTCTGTTTTATGTGCCACAAAGAGAGCAGGAGAGAGGTTCAGTTATTTCTGCGAGACTCTCCCCGGTGTCATTGTGTATTCCCCTCCACGGGTGCAGCTCTTGAGGTCGCCTCAAGGTTAATAGCTGGGAGGCTGTGGCCCCTCAGCTTACTCCTTGGCAGAAATGAGGTGCGGTGATTGGGCTGGTAGGGAGGGACCTCAGGGGCAATTAGAATAAACTCAGCTGTAAAATGTAGTGTCAGTTATAATTATTGACTGTGGAAAAAGAGAGCCAGTGGCAACTGAGCTGACCTACCTTTCATTGTTTGAATAGTCCATAAATATAGATGTGTGTGATTCAGATTTTAGGCAGTATATAAGAAAGTGATATAAAAAGGAATTAAAATTCAGCTTTATGAGCCTTTTAAACATAATCTCTTTTAAATTATTACCCAGTTTCTCTAAGGTGATGTTAATAAAGGGCTTTATTTCAAGAGTTTGACACAGTGTTCAGGTAAAAAGTGAATGAATCTCACCTCACTGGCTGATTTCTGCCTGTGTTATGAGAAAAACTGAATTCTAGGACTCAGTAACAGTTTAAGTAATTGCTCAGATGGTCACTGTTGTGTTATATTGCCAGGTCATAGCCTGTGAACAGCAGTACGACTACTCATACGACGCCCGCTGCGATGTGTGGTCGCTCGGCATCACAGCCATCGAGCTGGCAGACGGAGATCCCCCGCTGGCTGAGATGCATCCAGTTAAAGCCCTCTTCAAGATCCCACGGTGAGTCCACTAGAGGGCGCTCCTACCACACAGCTGGGGGCTGCCCACACAAGGACACTCAAATACTGCTTTCCATTATGTCAGGAGGACAATGGCAGACTGAATGTGACAGTAGAGGTGATGAAAAGAAAAAGGAAAAAACAGCGGCTTTCTTGACAAATTGATTTATTTCTGTTATGACTTGAAATTTAGAAAAGAGTAAAACTGGATATTTTCGGCTTGATCCATGTTTCTTGTTGCCAATGCATTTTCATGTTTCCAATCTGAAAGGCAGCATCTGCTGAATAATCAGTGTTTAAATTCTTCATCATCAAAAAAAAAAATGTGGTAGTGTTTGGCCTTAAAATTAATGCAGTGATTCAATCTGTAAAAATATTCACCGCTGGAGACAGTGTGCGTCTGATGATCATTTGAGAGCTTAGTGGCTGCACGCGGTTGACCTTTTGTTATCAGCACAATCTCGCAATTATCTCTCAGTTAGGTAGAGATATGCCCTTCTGATTGCAATTTGCATTGGTGATTAGCTCCATTCACATTGAGATGAGGCTGTCACCTCCTCCCCGTCACAATGTTATCTCCTCCCTGCCAAGCCAGAGGAGGAATATGGATAGCTTGTGTGGCAGGAATTATGGAGCTAACGCAGCATTTCATCAGCACCAAATTCAACCAGAATTTAAAATAATTACAAGAGCAATGATGGCTATGAGCGGGATGCCTTGGTAAAATGAATGAGTCTGATTCACAATTAGGTTTTTTTACACAGACGTTCACCTAAACACGCCACTTGCAGCTTAGGAATTGTGTGTTTGGGAAAATTTTGAAAGAGCAACCTGGAACTGGATGAGTGGTTTCTGTCAAGTAGCAAGCATGTTTCCTTATCAAACAGCAGCCTTAATAGGAGGCGGCATATGCATTTCCCATGTCAATGTCCAGTCCTATTTCACTCCTGCAGATTTCTAAGACTCTTTGACTTTGGGAATAACCAGGATTTTGATAGAATTGGACATATATCTTTAACTCACATGCCTCTGCCTCTGTTCCAATCAAAATAGATATTTTGCCCCTTTGGTATGAATTGGGACCTTAAAGGCTTTGGAGGTGGCGGTGGTATAAATCACAGCAAATGTGTTGAACCATGAAATCATTCTGTTAACATGTCATTTATCTCCAATATATTTTCCCATCACTGCAGCAGCACGGCAGACAAAATCACGAGGAAACGTGGTGTAAATTATGACTCCTGCATGAATTGCTTTCTAAATAGGGAAATGTGTTTCACCTTTGGGTCTTTAGTGGCGGTGAGAGTGATTCATGATGAAATCAGAGAGATTTATCTTCACAGGTTTTGATGATTGCAAAGTTCTAGATTTTCTCTGTTTAATACGTCACAAACCATTAGCCTTTTCTGAGGTATTGTCCTTGGGTAAAACATGTTTTATTAAACCATACAAGCACTACAACATGCAATAAGCATTTTCATCATTCTGATATTTTACAGTTGCAACCAGTAATGTGTTTTCAGGCTAAAGGGTTCACTGTCATGTAGTTAATCTCGGTTGTATCATCTAACTCATCGTCCCTCCTCTCTGAAACACATCTAGATAGTAAACAAGAAATAAACAGTGTATAGGCAAGATAATATTCAATATACGATAAAAATATACCCCGGTTGTGGTTCATGTTATACATTGTCTTTCATACTAATTCACCTGAGTGTGATGCTGTTTGAATGCCACTGTAAGGATTACGTGAACAGTCTCTCTTGTCAAGCTACAGATTTAAAGGACCAAATGAAGAGACTGTGCTATCACCAGTTTGACTGCAGGGGCTAGCAGCAGATAGCCATTATGTCACAGTGTTGGTTGTGCTACAAGAAACCTGCACAGGTGGAAATGATTCTCATTCAAGGCGGCGGCTATAAACGATAAGAGGAGCACTGATATCTGTCAGAGGAGACACTGATGAGCTCCATGAATTAGGGTCACCTTGGTGCCTGGTTTGTTTGTGCTTCAGAAATATCTGATACTTGATGAGTTGTGACATACCGTAGATCCATGCATATGTTTAAATCTCAGGTAGATTATTCTGCTATTTCATGTAGCTTCAGTTTTCATCTTAAGTTAATTCCAAGGCTTTGGGAGTGTGTTTTTTTTTGTTACGACAGATATGTGATGTCCATGGTGACCATAAATGAAGGCAATGGAGCATGTCAGAGGCTGAAGTTGTAAAAATCATCAACTGCAAAATGAATTACAGACAAAGATGACAAAGATGGTCTGTGATATTTAATATGCGGGAAGGTTAATTGCTTGCGCCAATGCTGCACAGGACATGTAAAGTGTCCACGTAAAGTCAAACCAGTGTAAGTGTGTGTAAAAACGTGCTGTAAAGGTTAGAGGCAAGGGCGTCCAAGGTTGTGTTTATTCGGCCAGATCCCTGTAGATATTAGCCACATATTTAACAGTACATGTATCTGTGGAGTGGAGACCAGAACGAGCGAGATGGAAGGAAGAAGTAAATGATGGCTTGTCAGATGCAAGAAAGGCTAATCAAATCATGTGGCTTGGGGAGAGAAATCCAGACCAGTGTGCTGTAAGAGACAGCCCTTCATGGAAAAAGCTAAAATCTGTGGAGCAGAACAGCCAAGGGTGAGGGATATCAGCACAGTCTCTGGTGTTTCTGCCACAGAGTGAAATCTTTCAAGAGGTGAAACATCAAATTTGGAGTAAACTAAAGTTATGTCTTGCCTGTGTGTTGAATAATACATTGAATCAATGCATAACTAATAACTTTTGCTGATCAGTTCTGCAGGTATTTGATCATGAACGAAGATTAAAAGTTAAGAAATTCCCAAACTTATTAATGAATGTCCAAAACACTTTTCATGATAATCCATCCAACAGTTGCCAAGACATTTCACTCAAAACCACAGATGTCAAACTCATGGTTGCTCTACAGGAAAAAGTCAGGCTCCTCATGGCATCAGCAAAATCTATACATTCATTTTCTGGGGATCATTTCCAATATGTTAGATAGTTCAGTCAGGACTATAGACTGTATATGGTCAGGACCAAAGTGGTGGACTGACCTCTAGATCCATTCCTCTAGCGTGGTAATAATAATTGCAGATCCGTGTGTATTTGCTTTACATATTTTTGTTCAAAAATCATGAACAACAGTGAAACATTTTACTTAACTTGTTGGCTTTTCAGTTTGACGCACAAAGACTGACAGAAAAGTGATTTAAAACATCACTTTGATTTTGGTTTAGATAGAGTGAAGTAATGCCTTAACGTCACAGATTTCCCATCACCAGACACTCATGCAGTCTTAACCCCTGACAAGAGATCATTGGCTGGCTGGCTGGTTTACCAATCATGAGTAAAGGCTTTAACAACTCCTCGTTTGATGCTGTTATTTCACTGCTCTGTGTGGTGTCCAGGACTGCAGCATTTGGCGATGTGGCAGCCAAAGACATGATAAATGTAGTAGTAGTTCTCCGTGTTCATGCATGTATGCGCAAAGAAGTGCTGGTGCTCTGGCTGCGGTGATGGATGAGCTGAAATTTTAAGCCGGTGGTCCATTCGCTGAATAAGACTTTATTTCGGACCCTTGTGCTCATTCTCTGTTAAGCCTTTATAGAGGCCGATCTGTCTCTGCTGTAAGACACTAATTCTTACTTTTGTGTGTCTTTTAACCTCAAAAATATATGAATCTTTTGTCAGTCATTATCCTTCATTACTTTGCTAGACAGGAACAAGTCATCAGCATTGCTTGCTTTATAATGTCTGCTACAGTAAACTGTGGAGATGTGGCAAAGAAACATATTTTTATATCTTGATGATAATTGTATTATTATAATTATTCAAACCTTCTACAGAGTTTGTCTCAGTCTGAAAATAGAGAGCTGTGTGGAAAGACTGTAAGTAAGTCTTGAGTGACAATGCATAGCGTTGAAAAATAACAATGTTTTACATCATGTGGGAAAATGGAGAAATTATAAATTCTGCATATGAAGTATCTTATTCAAATATTGCATTGGCCTGATTTTTGTCTTCCTCCGTGGCTTAGTTACAGCCGCCAAGTGCTGTTGACACCTCTGTGATTTTGCCTCAATCCAGTCTGAGGCACGTCTGACAGTACAAGCTCTGCCTGGACCTGGATTTGAATAAGCCATTTGTGTTTACAATGTGAGCCAGCAGTCTCACAAATACTGAAAGAAAAAACTGCCTGAATTTGCTAAGCACAATGAGCGCACTTGACAGTGTTATCAGCAGTGTGCTGCTATATTGACTCTGTAATGTATAAGCAATATGGTACAACATCAAGGCGAGAATGTGTCTTCAGGCTCATATTAGAGGTTGCATTGAAGCAGTCAGTTACTGGCTTTGATCTGCACTTTGGAAAGGATTGCCTGTCTGAATCCTTATCAAAGACTCGACTAACTTAGTGCTGCGGAAAATGACAGATTTTTTACCCCAACATCCTCCCATCCCTTCCAAAAAAAAGGAGAAAAATATGTTAAAAATGTGTCAGATATCTTGTCGTTTAATGTGTAGCTTTGGTTTGTTTGTGATAAACAAAATGAAAACATTTTTTAAAATCCAAATTCATGCATGTCCCCCCCCCCCTTTCATTTTACTCTTGAGATTTCATATTCTACTTGTCTGACAGTGCAGTGAAACAACACGTGTGAACTCATTAACGCAGTTAATAAATGTCTCGACCAGGTCTGTCACTGTTTGCCTGACAGTGACAAAAGGCTCAGCCTCCAGCTGTCAGACTGGCAGCTCCCTGTGAAGATGACTGTACTCAGGCCCGTCCAGCCTTGGCTCCTCATACAGACCTGCCTCCTGTCATCGAGCGCGCTTGAAAAGTATTAGCCTCATTATAGATGGCCTCCGTAAATGCTGCTGACAGAGGTATAACTAGCTCCCATAACTTTTGGCTCCCAATGGCAGATGCTTGCTGCCAGACAGTGGAGGAGCTGTTATCATTTGTCACTTTTTCTGTGGCTGCCATAGACCTGGACCCCGACCAGCTCATCCTCGGACCAGAAACTCTCGCAGGAGTCTGACGGTCACACTCTGCCTGCCAGTGATCATTTGTCAGCTAACTCTGGAGACAAGCTGAAAGGCTTTCATTTTCAGCAACGATCATCATGATGTCATTTAAATTAATTTGATAAAGTCACTGTTTCTCATACTGACTTCTGTACGTGTGTGTTTTGTTTCAGAAATCCCTCCCCTACGTTAAGAAATCCAGAGCAATGGTGCAGAAGTTTTAACCATTTCATCGGCCAGTAAGTGTCCTCTGACTTTAACCTGTCAACCTTTGTCTTCCTTCTGTTTTAATACTTTTTGAAAGGCAGTTATTTTCTAGAAAGGGTTGTGGGAGCTCGCAGTAGATTATGTTCCACTAAGAATCATCTATTGGGAAGAACTGAGGCTGATTCAGACAATATATCGACCAATATTATTTTTACATGGATATAACATAAATAGATTTATTTAGCTAAGAATCCCTCTAATTTAGTTAATTAAGAGTTTGGTTTGGTTAATAAATAATGATATTGTAAGTGATAGTGTAAGTATTTACAGCATAATGTAACTTTAACATATGTTAATGAGGTACATTGAAGTCCATCTATACCTGTGAATATACTCATGCATTCGTCAAATATACATAAAAAGGCAGCCTGTACATCCTTTATTCCTTTAATTTACTTATTTATTATTATTTACAAATGTTTTTTTGTATATCCGACCGCACGTCATTATTGATTTCATTATGAATAACATTTCTACAGTGATATTGACCATATTATCAGCCAATATGAAGATCAGCCTCTAGTTCTGAGCCTGGTTTTCTTGATCTGTGACACTGTTTACGGGTTAAATCTTTTGGCAAGACATGTGAGTGAAAGTAATGTCGTTAATATACAGGACATAAGACTATAAACCTTCATATTACTTTCTTGGTATCATTTCTATGAGCAGCTACTCTTGAAAATGGCATGAGCCAATTAAAAAACACTAAAGCATCTGCCCAGTATGAAATGATATCTGAACATTAGCTATAGCACATTGTCAGCAGATGGGAGTGTGCATGTAAACATGGAGGGGATTGAAATTGATATTTTATAGCCAGATTCTATCAAGCCTTGTCTTTTCTGTTCATTGACTTTAATTTGTGTAAATCTGCCACAGAGGAACAAACTAATTCACCTGAGTTATCAGGTCTATCCGAGGCCCAGATAACTTATCATTTGCTCCACTGTGCAAAGCTAATAATGTCAGGGGTGGCTTGTAATGGTTGCTCAGAATATACAACCTTAATATCTACAGCGCAGAGGTGTGTGTGTCTGAACCATAATGAGAAAATAAAATTCAATTTGTTTGGAGAATTATTTGTGTAGGAACAGGTTTGGAGGTGCAGATGCAATAACTGCAAAGGGGCCAGTTGAAAAAAAAACAAACAGACCATCTGCCTTGAAGGTCCTTTTTGTGTCACTTGAGTTATTGATCTGTATCACATAACCCCTTAAACCAAGCCAACACACATTGTAGTGATGCTAGTTGTTACTTTTTACAAGTGTAGTTGCAATGGTTTTCACTGGATACGTTTTGGATTGCAGCTCTGTAATCTGGGTTAATGGATTGTGTGATATCATATCAGAAATAATCTTCCCAAACAAAGCCCAGCTGAGTTCAATGTGGGGAGGCTGGACAATGTTATCAAGCTTTGCAGGCTGTTTGTGAAGCCCTTTCAGCCTTATACATGTATGTGTGTGTGTGTGTGCAAGGGAACCTGAGGTAGGGGGGTGTTATTCAGGATAATGAATCCATCACCAGTGTCTGCACTTGTGCAGCCAAAGAGCTGACTTCTGTGACAAAGTGGCCTGCCGTTCAGCATCCCGGCAGCACAGCCCTGCTAATAGCAGCAACCTCTGCTTAATGTCCTGACGCTAATGAATTCATGGAATTAACTTTCGGAGCCGAACAAACTGATAAAAGAAACAGAATTTCAGAGTAGATTAGGTGGTAGGAATTAGATTGGGTGTTTTTCTCTATCTTTCCCCTGCCTGGAGTTGTTCGTGTTGTAGTGCGCACACACACACACACAAGCACACACACGGCGAGACGGTGAAAGTCTTAAACTGAACAAGTAATTGAACAGTACAAATGTAGATTGTTGATGGATGCGTCGTTGAGTTCAGGTGGGGATTTACAAGTCTTTTAATTTCATAGTTTTCCTCTCACAATATATCAAAACTGTCAGAAATGAAAGCTACATTTATTCTCCTGTGTGTGTGTGTGTGTGTGTGTGTGTGTGTGTGTGTGTGTGTGTGTGTGTGTGTGTGTGTGTGTGTGTGTGTGTGTGTGTGTGTGTGTCTGTGTGTCTGTGTGTGTGTGTGTGTGCTGCTTAACAGTCAATATTTTGAAAGTACTTGTATCAGCAGCTAACTGATGCTGAATTGTAGCCACGGGCCAGTATCACAGAGTAACATCACCTATTGGCAAACACTGCACATCACAGATAGGACTTACTGCTGTGCCATAGCAGGGCTTCTTGTTTAGACTCGGGGGGGGCATGGTGATAGTGACCATGTGGTACTCAGACAGAGAACGACAGATTAGTGTCCCAGACTTTAAAACACTTGTAAGGAGCTGCCTTGCTAGTGTCCGAACAGATCTGGACAAATCAGCCGTCCACAATGCTCAGGTGATGGCCTCACTGTTTATTTTGCTCTGATTTCAAGAGGCTTTGTCTGTCTGAAGTGGTCAAAGTTTCCTCTGTGTTTTTGTTTCTGATTGTAAGGTGTCTGATAAAGGATTTTGAGGCACGTCCATCTGTGACCCACCTCCTGGAGCATCCCTTCATCAAGCAGGTACATGACAAAGATGTGGCACTCCAACAGCAGCTGGCTGCTCTCATCCAGGAGCAGCAGGAAGCCGGCTGCAAAACCAAAACCAAGTAAGTAACGTTGGGTTATTTTTATTTCATTCTGAAATTGCAGAAGAGATAATGCTGCAGTGACGAAGCTGGTTGGTTCATTTGTGTGCTGTCATTGGAGACCACAGTTGCAGCAGATGGGTGGTGATATATTTTCTGTCCAGTAGGGGGCAGGGTCTCATCTTCTTATGCTCAGAAGTGATGATGAGCCCCAGTAATGGACATTACAGTGTGTGATTAAAGAGAAGTAAGGGGAGTGTGACTAATTTAGAAGGAGTGATTGTGCTGACTAACCTTAGATTAATAAATGCCATTTAGGCCAGCGGATGTGGCAACCATTCTTATAAAGCTCTTCCCCGCCTGTGTGATTAAACCAATGACGGAGTAAATATTCTGTTCAAGATTGATTTACTCACTAAAAATAGGTGACATTTCAACTGTACTGCCTTCTTTTTGCTTGAGTTTGAATGAGCTAGTTAGAGTTATTTTGCTACCATACAAGTTCCTTGTGTTTTGTACTGATAAATATGTATAGATATATAGACATGTAAAGACAGAGAGGGTGATTTAATCCTGAAATGTGTCAGGAAGAATAGTTCACCCAGACACTCTCATGGCAGCAAATGACAGAGCAGAAAGTCTCCTGTTATTTACCGGAGAAATACTGACTTTGGCAATGCTTAATCTTCATTATAAAGGAGTTCGCTGAACCTGCCCTTGACTGAGAGAGTCTTGATGTTGTGCCAGCTCTGTTTACTCCCGAGAGTGTGCAGAGTCGGTGCCTGAGCCTGATCCCGAATTCCTGTCCACAGTGAAAGTGGATAATGGGATTAGGAGCTTGTAGGGCGAGAACTGGGCTCGCCTGGTTTAGTCTCTCATGCCACAGATCAGCACACAATGACTCCAGATAAGAATAAAGACATAGAGAACTTAAAAGTAGCTGCCGTAGGTGGAATAGTGCGATTTACTTCAAAGCGGAAGAGAGGTAGAGGTCTCAAGTCCTCCTCCAAAAGGACATGGTGACGAGTATTCGCTTTAGCGGGACCACACATATTGAGCATGTGACTTTATTTCTGCACTGTTTCATTTACACTATATTCAGAATACAAAATGAATGCAAAAGCAGAGGAGGAAACCGTTCCTAACCTGAAGCTTGACTATTTGTATTCATGATAAGATTGATTATTTATTGTAATAGAGCATAGATACTTCGTGTGGATGAGATATTGGATTGTTTTTTGCAGCTTTGAGGAGTGTTTGGCTGCTTTTTCAAAAGCTTTCATTTAAAGGCTTTTTAGATTTTTTTTCCTTAATACAAAATCCAATGAAAAGTCCCAAACCAAGATTCTCTCAGTCTGTCTTTTAATACTTTCTGACTTAAGACCATTTATTCCTACTGAAGACATAAATACTTAGAAATACCTAATAAGTAAATGGTGTATTTATAATGTTTTCAGCGGTGGATTAAAACACAATTGGTGCAGGAACCGGTCGCACCGACACTTAGGAATCTTTAAAGGTATCCTAATTATAGAATAAGTGTAACAAATGGAGGTTTACATGGAAACGGTAGTTTTTAATATTTAGTTGTTACTAAATATTTAGACCCAATAACTGCTTAGCAAGCTGCGCTAACGTTACCTTGCTAATATGTGACTCGTTTAGACTTAGGGGTAGGTAATATGAAATATGATAAACCTGACATTTGATTAAAATGTATCATATTTTAATGTATTGAATGTAATAAAACACAAACCAAGAATAATGCAGTGTACCTCAAATATTAAGCAAATGAAGTTAGAAATCACCAAAGAGCGTCAGTTAGCTTAGCATGATTGGATATTTCCCGCTTCCTTCTAACCTGCACAAATACTAGTAACTCTGAAACACATCCATTCATGCATGTTCAAATAAAACAAACCCACATTTACAAATTAGTGTCAATTAATTTTAATGTATCACAAGATTGCTTTAAACTGCTTATTTTTGGCGTTTCCTAGCAACACATTCATACATCACTAAAGCCTTTACTGGTGAAACTTACTTTAGTAAATCACTGTTCTGAAACTAGCTAAGAGTTACTAACTTAGGAAGGACTTTATGCACAAACTTAGTGATGGATTTATTAATAGCTGGTGCAACCCAATTCTGGTGGGTAGCAGCAGGACAGTGAATGTGTGACTGACTCAAAATGAACTACAGCGCCCAGAGCTACATCACTATATGAGGTATAAGCTATTCCAAGGCTTTGGCCACACAGACATTACATCTTAGTAGTATGTTGGTCTTTTCATGGGCTTTGATGAGAATTAGTTGATTAATATATATATATAAAATATAACCAGTGTTTAAATTTAAATGGCTTAGCATACTATGCTACTGTGCATATGCACACACACACACACACACACACACACACACACACACACACACACACATATATATATATATAGACACATAAAGCAGTAGGACAGACACAGCGCTCTTTGGCTCTCTTTCACACACTCTCTGGTGTCCCCTGAGGTCTTCCACAGTCCCCGTGGAGCCAGCTGGCGCTGTGTTGACCTCTGCCCACTGGGGCTCATTGGAGAGTGATAGGTCAAAACACAGATGAAGTGCAATCACAGCCTGTGATAATGGGAGATGTGTCCCCTGGGAGAGCTTTAAGGGCTTCACACAAACCTTGGAAGTGACTGGGTCTCACATCCAACCAGTCAAACTACTGTTTCTCATTTGGTGGTCGTTTCACAGCTTTTTTTCTGAGGTATTATCATGTCCTTGGCTCCATGCAGGCACGAGCGGATCAATACCCGTAAAACCCTCATTATACAGAGCTGTCCCGATGATGATCTGGTAAACCTGGAGTTCTTGGATGAGGTAAGATTTAATGTGTTTATCTCATCATGCATTGATCGGTCCAAGGTACAATCTTGTTGATGCCATGTGCGTGTTCTGTTTTTTTCTTTCGGGCAGGAGATAATAATCAACCATCTCCAGAAGAGGTATGATGAGCTGCAGGTGTACACTTACGTTGGCGACATCCTCATCGCTCTCAATCCTTTCCAGAATCTCAGCATCTACTCTCCCCAGGTTGGTTATTGACCAGTCACACAAATGCAAACAGTGGTGTCCCAATCATAGTGGAAATGATGAAGGATCGCCTTAGTGGATATGCTACTGTATATAGTACTGTTATTTTAGTCTTTTGAGTTTTTAAAAAGTCAGTAAAATAAATCCATATTTACTTTAGATACTACAAAATAACAATACAAATATCTGGCATAAAATCAGAGTTTAAACTCATTATACCATTTTCGGCACAAACACTCAGGGTCTGTCCACCACTGGGTCCAGACTGAAATATCTCTGTTAATCAAATATTTAAGGGCTAATGGATAATTTTGTACACATATTCATTTTCCCCAGAGGATGAATCCTTTGGTGATCTCCTAACTTTTTTTTTCTAGCACCACCATGATGTTTATATTCTTTTATTTTTTTGTGAAATGTCACAAGCACTATTCTCCTCAAATTTGGTGCAGACATTCATGATCCCCTCAGGCTTCGTAATAACTGTTGATCCCTCATCGGGTCACAATTTCAATTTGTCCAGTACTTTGGTTTATGATCAAATACCTGCCAAACTCTCAGTTGTACTTTGTTTTAAGCGCTAATTAGCAAATGTTTGCAACGACTAAAATGGCCAAATGGTTAAAATCTATAACACTAATTATAACAACACAGAAATCTGTAAAAATCTGTGGGTTTTCTTTTGAAACAATCATTAAAATGAAAAACAATGTGCCTTCTCTTAGTTCTCTAAGCTGTACCACGCTGTGAAGCGGGTTGACAACCCTCCACACATCTTTGCTACTGCAGATGCAGCCTACAGAGGCATGGTGACGTTCTGCAAAGACCAGGTATTCTACATAAAATCAACCCTGTGTCTGCCAAGTCTGTCTTTAACAAAATGCTCTACAAACCTTCTCCCTGGTTACATAAGGGAGACATTTGTGTTGCGTGCTGTGTAAGTCATTGGATGTTCCCCTTTGTTGTAGTGTATTATAATCAGTGGGGAGAGCGGTGCAGGGAAAACAGAGAGCGCCCATTTGATTGTTCAACATCTTACCTTCTTGGGAAAGGTATGGTAGCAGTGTGGTCATCCTCATATTGTTATATTTGCTGATACTAGTGCTGAATACTGCATAAACTACCTCGAAATTGTACCATAGTTTATTAAAAGAAACATGTTGTTGCTCTCAGGCTAACAATCGGACGCTGCGTGAGAAGATCCTGCAGGTGAACCCCCTCGTAGAGGCCTTTGGAAATGCCTGCACAGCTATCAATGACAACTCCAGCCGCTTCGGCAAATACCTGGAGATGAAGTTCACACTCACCGGAGCGGTCATCGGGGCCAAGATATCGGAGTACCTGCTGGAGAAGTCGAGGGTCATCAAACAGGCTACGTATGTGCTGCTCAGGCTTGGTGTGATTGGAGTTCATCCTTTGTCAGATTTCTGACTACTGAGTTTGTTTTCTTTCAGGGGGGAGAAAAACTTCCACATATTTTATTACATATACGCTGGGCTTTACCACGAAGACAAGCTGAAGACTTACAGGCTACCAGACAGGACACCTCCCAGGTTAGCAGTTTGACTTTGACATGTTCATAGTAAACACGGTAAATGAACACTGATTGTCACAATGTGCATCTGCAGGTATATCGACAGCCAGCACCGCAAAGTGATGCAAGACATTGTCTCCAGCAAACTGTACAAGGAGCAGTTTGACGCGATTCAGGAGGGTTTCCGAAATATTGGTTTTACTGAAGAGGTACTTTAATTCTTAGTGTAGTTTATAGTATTTGGTCACAGATCGGTTAAGTGCTATAATATAATATGATTTTTCTTCTCTTTTTCTGTAGGAAGTGACCTCTGTTTACAGAATTCTCTCAGCCATTTTGAACACCGGCAATATTGAATTTGCTGCCATCACATCCCAACACCAAACTGATAAGAGTGAAGTGCCTAACTCAGAGGCCTTAGAGAACGGTGAGATACAATATATCAGGCAGTGTGAGTTGTAATACTCTTCTTTTAGCCAAAGAAACAGGTAGATTTAATGGTCTCCCTGGAGAGAAAAGAGTTTGCTTTGTGATTTAGATTAGATTAAAAAAGAAGGCTTTTTTTATGTTTTATTCCTCCTTGTGTGATGATGATTTACGGACTGCACTCTGTGGTAAAATGCCCTCCTTCTCTGCAGAGCTTTTCTGGGTGGATAATTTTTAAATGACTTTAGCTGTGTGTTTTTTAGAAAAGAACCTGTTACTGAAATGTGTTTGTGGGTCTCTTTGTTATATTTTTTATGGTGTGTAATGATGTATGTTTTGTGTAATAGTTTGTTATTTTGTGAGGCATTTTTCACTATGGCAACAGTGTGTTGGATGTCGTATAAGGCTTTGTGGGCACTTTTATGTGCCTTACACAAAATAAACAACGGATCAATCATGTTTTGTTACCCAGAAAATGGGACAAAGAAACCAAAATGTTCTGTAAGCAGTTGAAAGCAATTGTATCCAAAAGCACAGAACCCTTCTTGCAATTTACATAACAAATGTAAAGAAGCAAAAGATTGTTGGGGCTTATTTTTATGCTAATGATAAACTCAGATGAGCTCTTGATTATCAAACTGATTAACCCTCCCGTCTTTTCTCTCAGCCGCGTCTCTCCTCAGCATCGGCCCTGAGGAACTCCAGGAGGCTCTGACCTCCCAGTGTGTGGTCACCAGGGGCGAGACCATCATCCGCACCAACACCGTGGACAAAGCCACCGACGTCCGAGACGCCATGTCCAAGGCCTTGTACGGACGCCTTTTCAGCTGGATAGTCAATCGTATCAACTCCCTGCTGCAGCCTGACATGAATATCTGGTGAGCATGCTTAGTGAGGAACATCTGTGCGGACGTTCACTGTTACTCTCTCTTCTTCGATTATCTCGAGCGATCACGCAGAGTTTCTGCAAAGCTCTGATGACCTTTATGGAAGTCTGTAGAGGTAGATGCAAACATGCAGAGGAGAATATCAATGGGCAAGCACAAGACAAGTAAAAGGAGAGCAAAAAAAAGTTTTAATAAATTTTTGATACAGAGTTGCGTGCAGAGAAAATAATGTTCAGATGATTAAAAAGACTTCAGAGAGACTGCAAAGAGGCTGTTCATTGATCCAAAAGAATTCCTTCATAAATATGAGCGTCGACTGTCAAGGAGTCGTCTCTCAGAGATGTACAAAAGAGTTCCTGTCTGCATTCCAGTCATCTCTGCCGTTTCCTTATTGCCATTAATAACCTGGTTGCACAGGCTAAAGGTGACCTCTATATACAGTGGGTAATGACTGATCATGAAAAGTAGCAGCTCCCAGCGCTGAATATGAAATGCAGGGTGTTCAGTCTTCACGCTGTGTTGTAGAAATGAGTATTGTTTGTGCAGATATTGAAAATGACTCGAGGTTAAATCAATAGAGACTGAAATAAAACCATTTAAGAAGCTCAGAGTTTTTTGAAAGCTGATGTTTATGATTTTTCTTCACACTACTAGGCAGTCCAGACCAGACTCTGTATTTGGGTTGAACTTGGATTATCATTAAAGTTTTATCAATTAATATGGCTGCTGGGGATTTGCTTGTTCCATTACATTGAAGAATAAGTTTGTTTGTCCCCCTTTTCTCCTTTGAAGTGCCGCAGAGAGCGGCATGAATGTGGGAATCCTGGACATCTTTGGATTTGAAAACTTCAAGAAGAACTCGTTTGAACAACTGTGCATCAATATCGCAAACGAACAGATCCAGTTTTACTTCAACCAGCACATATTTGCCCTGGAACAGGTGAGTTGGACATACAGAGAGAGATTATTGATATGTCTGTGCAAATGCATCTTTCTTAATACGTCTCTGTACTGTGCTCGGACTGAATGCATCCAGAAAACGACACTCCTCAGCAATAAAACATATTGAGACAACAAATTCCCTTTAAAGCACTGTTATGGAAATCGGTCATTTTAATATTATTTGAGTGTTTTCACATCCATCAGGGCAGAGATGCTCTCAACATGAACGTTTTTGCTTTTAGCCGGGCTGTGATGTGTAAAGGATTGTTTGTACTGTGCACCACCAAATGACTCTCTTAATTGATTTAATGAAGTTGTTTACCCTGAAGTGCGAGAAGTCTTTATTTTCCTTGATGGGAATGAAGAGACATTAATCAAGAACCATTTTGCCATAATGCCTTTTAGTCTTTCTTTGCAACAGTCCTTTTTAAAAGGAAAAACAAGGTAGGGCTGGGCAATTTTATTTATATAGCACTCTTTATCGCTAGTAAACTCAACCTGCTTTATATTTAAATGCATACAATAACACGTGTACAGAAGAATAAGGAAATACAAGTAAGATCATTAATTAAGGCTGGATTTCACACATAAATAGTGATCATACTCCCTGCTTATTCTACCACTGGAACTGTTATTTGAAGCTACATTTACCCTTTACGCATTAATTACAGCAGTGATCATTGAAAATAAGGGCTGTAGAAAAGTTTCTCTTCTACAAACAAGTGCGATTTGCCCCTGATGGAGGGCTGGTGCTCAGTGGAACAGGGATTTTTATTTGGTGTAGATGTCTTCAGCGTTGCTGTACACAGAAACTGATTATTCTGAGTTAATGACTTAAACATGAGGACGGTTTAGATCCATTGGTTCCACTTTATTAGTAAAATATATATTTAAAACAACTTTTTGATCTGAAATTAAATAGATGCAATAATATGATATGACTCTGGGTTATTTGCAAAGAGAAATAAATTATGAATAAGTAAGTGGCTCTATTTGTTAGTTCAGAGCTGCTCTGTTTTATGCATTCAGTAAAAGACTCTATTATGCTGTAAACTTCAGCCATAGACACACACAGCCGGCTGCAACTGTTGGGTTTTGTTGATTAGAAACTATTTTTTCTCCCCACGCATGCACAAATCATATTTAGCCCAGATTGTTTAATTGGGTCATTTAGAGAAATCATTAACGAGATTATGCTACATTCACTGGTTCTAATTAGATGGAATACCAGAGTGAGGGGGTGGATGCCAGCCTGGTGGAGTACGAGGACAACAGGCCCATCCTGGACATGTTCCTGCAGAAGCCAATGGGCCTGCTGTCCCTGATGGATGAGGAGAGCCGTTTCCCTCAGGCCACTGACCAGACCTTAGTGGGTAAGACTGGAGCTCCTCCTGCAACATCAAACAGAAAAAGCATGAAAAATGAATACGAGAGGTCAGAGGTCGCTGCTTCTTTAAATGTAGCTGCAGCTCTGGCCAAAAACGGTTTATATGCTTAAGTTTCCTACCTGTGTTGCTTAAAGCATCTTTTTATTGTATGTTTGTCATTTCTTGCCTACAGATAAATTTGAGGACAATTTGCGCTGCAAATACTTCTGGATACCAAAGCGTGTGGAGCTTTGTTTTGGGATTCAGCATTACGCAGGAAAGGTATGAAATGAGTCTTTGGATGTGTGAAACCATCAATCTACTGCCTTGTTTGTTGGTGTGATAACTTCGGAGATTTAGCCGTATATTAACAATAGTTACAGTTTTTAAAATGCTTGTGACAAACACTACTTGTGGTAGGTGAGGTTTACTGTTTGTCTCTCTCTAAAGTTTAATACTTTGCACAATGTTTAGATAACTGAATCAAGGTGGAGCATGTGACCTATTATCAGACCAGTTGGTAGTTATAGCAATTGAGAGTTAATATAAATCCTGTTCAAATTTGAACTACGTCTTAAAAGTTCAAAATTAGGTTTGACGATAATTAATTGATAATAGACTTTCAGAGGATATAATCATGATGTGTCCTCTAAATTAATGATTCAAAGCAAACTGTCATTTAAAATTTAGTCTTTACATGTGTGAATCAATTTTTGTGATGTGATGTGGTGGAGATGTTTAAACACAGTTCAAAGGCCTTTTTCACAGCAGACATTTTGACTTATAGTAGGAAAAGATAATGCAGGTGTTCCAAATAACATTAACGATGGCTCTGTTCTTTTCAAGTGTCCCAGTAAGTCATGACAGTGTGACGGCCAGCCTGCATGCACAATACCTGAAGCAGCTAAATGGAATTCAGCCATCATTCATTTGTGCTTTTCCTACTGTGACATTTCAAGCTGTCTTCTGTGAAAAAGGCCTATTGCAAAGAATATCATGTGATCTCACTGACCACTTTATGACATACAAATTGCCAGACCCTATACGAGAGGTAATGACGATGGCTCCTTCAACAGGGTTCCCACGCATCCTCGAAAACCTGGATATTTGTTTGGAAATGGATTAAAATGACAAAATATCCTGGAAAATAACCTATATTGTCCTGGAAGATTTAAATAGTATTTTAGCCCCTTACTCAGACCGCCTACATAAACCTATCTTAGAGGAAAACTGCAGGAAACTACTCAAATCACCAGAGACACTGCAGAAGAATCGGCTGTGGTGAGAACAGCAGAAAGTGTACCTTAAACGCTGACCACCTACCTGTAGTGAACCTTAATCATGAACCCTGCGTCATTAAAAAAGGAGGAATAAAACTGGGGAAAATGTGTAAATACGAGGCCTACCAGTAAATTATGTGACCATTTGTGAGCAAGTGCTGCCCTGTAATGTCAAGAAAACTCCTTAGGAAATGGAAAATGTCTATGTGTTATGTCCTTCTCGACAGGTAATGTACAACGTAGATGGGTTTCTGGAGAAGAACAGAGACACCCTTCCTGCAGACATCGTTGTGGTTCTGAGAACATCGGAGAACAAACTTTTGCAGCAGCTGTTCTCCAGCCCTTTAACTAAAACAGGTATGCTGTGATATGTATATATATATATATATATATATATATATATATAGGCCTCGATGAAAAATAAAGCAGACCATAGAACATCTCACCCACTAACAGGGACATTATTCTACCGCTAACCACAATGGAAATGGAAATGGAAACTTTTCTTTGAGACAAACTATTGTTAACAATGCAGGGTTCTGACTGTATTACTCAGTGAATTGTGCTGGTGTCTACTGCTTCCATAAATGTTCAGGTAAGTGGGTTTCTTAAAGACGCGGCTCGCAGGCATCTCCTGGTCCCCCTTCATTTCAAGCCTCTGTGTGCCGTGCTCGGATAAATCTGCAGTCTCCATTATCTCTTGAGAGGCTCAGCTCTCTGCACGGCGCTCTGTTTTTATTTTCACTAAGCTGTCCCTCTTGGTTTCCCACTGCTGAATGCTATCTACAGATTGTGGGTGCAGTGGGATATTTTTATGATAAGGTTTCTAAATACCCAGGGGATGAAGAAATAGTATTTAGAGAACACAAAAGCAACTCTTCCCACCTCTTTTCTGTTGGTTAAATGAAGGTAGAGTAATGTGCTCGTCATTAGCTGTGGCTGCGGCCTCCTGGTCACTTGACTTAGCTGAAATGCTAATAGATGTGTTAAATTATCAGATTCCCACTTCCTACTTTATTTCAGCTAAGCCACATTATGTGATTCACTTCCTTTTAAGGGACCTGTAAATGCCTGCTTTCAGTCCCAGTGGCATTAAAAAGGAGGCTTCAATTCACAAAAGGCACCTTAGTCGAGACTCCAGCAGAAATCTGTGTGATGTGTCTGTAAACTTCAATTGCAGGTTGTGCACAAGGGAGCCTTCAGCCACTTCCTTTCTGCAATTAACGGCTTCAGAGGAGTGCACTCTGTAAAAACAAATTCAGCGAACACTTCATTTCAGTGCACAAAGGCGCTCAATACATACTAAGATGTGCTGTAATGTTTACTGCTGCTATAGTGTCAGTTAGGTCTAAAAGCTCCTTTATTTCCCTTTTGTTCCACTGCACTTTTGTTTGTCCTGCCATTCAGATTGGTGCATCAAGCTAATGTGGTGATTTGTTGCAGAAATAAACTGTTACTGTGTTGTGCAGTTTCTACCAAAGGTTACAGTTGTAGATTCTTCTGCACGTTCATTTAAAAGCAGCATTACTTCAATATAGCTCCCAGTCAACTCTGTTATTTCTTTGGAGTTGGAGGTCCAGTTTTCGTATTGCAGTTTGTGCAAACTGAAGATCATCTCATTAGATAAAAGCTATGAAACGCTCTGCTCCGGCTTATCATTCTGGAAAAGATGGAGCACCGTTTAAAGTGAGATACAGTATAGCGTAAGAAAATTATAAATCTATTCTTCAGGGTAAAATTTGTGGGGGGATTTAATTTGCATTTTACTTCACATTATAGATTCACTGTTATCTGTGAAATTACCATTATCTGGGGGGATCTGATGGAAATCTGTTTTACACCAGGGTGGTTTCACACTCTGGGTCGCCTCCACCGCAGTGTCACCACTAGGGGACACCCTCGTAGACTTGCAGCCTGACACTGTGATAGTAAAATAATGGATCTAGGATGGCAAACTGCACACATAAAGGCAGCTAATGTTAATGTTTCTGCTGGTACATGAGTCAAACTGCAGTGACACAGGAACAGTTTCTCTAAAACAGATCAATTTCCTCTGTGTTATATTTTAAAACAGACACACACAGTCCATATTAATGCGATATTTCAGTCGACTACTCATTCATTTCACATGCCAGACTGAGAATGTGATGGTCTGAGTATTGATGCCGTTCATGTTTGGAGAACAGTAGGAAACTAGGAGGGCCCCGGAAAGTAGAAAGCTCCCAGGCGGTGAATAGCGAGGCCACTTGAGCCCTGCAGAATGTGGGTCCTTGAGGCTTGGACATGTGGTGGTGTTTTGTCAGAGGAAATGGGATGTATTTGCATGGACAAATTCATCAGAGCCAGGGCCTTTCCCAGATCAGGGGGATCATAGTGTTTGAATTGGCTGGGCTCAGTAGGGCCTGCCAGGGCCTGGGCAGCCTGCGGTCACAGTATGGGTCTCTGTGGGTGTGGGTGTGTGTGTCTGTGTATATGTCTGTGTGTGTGTCTGTGTGTGTGTCTGTGTGTGTGTGTGTCTGTGTGTGTGTGTGTGTCTGTGTGTGTGTCTGTGTCTGTGTGTGTGTCTGTGTCTGTGTCTGTGTCTGTGTGTGTGTGTGTGTGTGTGTGTGTGTGTGTGTGTGTGTGTGTGTGTGTGTGTAGCCACAAGGCTGCCTGGCCTTACTGCTTGTAGCACACCACATCTGCACACACAGCTCCTCGGGACTTCCAGGCCTTTGTCAGAGCACAATGAAAATGGAGGATGTGCAGAGTGATGTGTGCCGTATGAAAAGTTCACAGACAGTGTGGGGATAAAGACAAATATTTTCTAGATGTTTCTCTTCTCATTCATATGCACTATTTATCTTTTCCTGGGCTTTAACACTTAAAATGTATGTGGGAAAAAAATCAGTGGTATGAGCAATATCGGCCCTACACTGGTGCAATTTGTTGTCCTTTTGAATAATTAGTATTCACACGAACTGAGCATTTAAAATATTCATGTGATTAAACTTAAGTGGCATGTATGTAGAGCTGCAGCCAGACTTACTGCTGCATTTTTGTCTGTTTACACCTGGAACATAGTATTTCTTCTAATGTTAGTAAGAAGGATACGACCATTATTTTGGTCTCATTAAATAGGAAAACTAAATGTTGTGAATGGACATGGAGTGAAAATTTACTAAGTACAGTATTTACTCAAGCATTGTACTTTTTTAGATACTTTATTTGAACATTCACATTTTATGCTACTTTATACTTCTACTTCACTACATTTCAGAGGTAAATATTTTACTTTTTCTACATTTATTTTACATAAAAAACATGTATTTAGCTTTTAAGTAGTCAAAGCAACTTCCAAATGTTATGAAACACCCTTAATTTGCACAGTAAAGTATCAGCTATAATTATAACATGATATATAATAATATAGCACTGACATTTTGCTGCTAATACTTTGGTGCTTTTCTGTAAGATTTTAGAACAGCTCTTCTTCAACAACTGTTTTTATTTACTTTTTTCATCCAAAGCCGGATAGAAATTTTACTGTAATGCTTCTAGTACTGACCCATAAAATAAGCCCATAATGTGTGTCCACAATCTCCAGCCTCACATTTCTTGTGAGCGACAAGATTTCTGGCATGAATTTCTATCTTCAGGAGGTCTCGTTCATATTTTTACAATAGTCAAACTAAAACAAACTCACACCACGGTATTCTCCTGTGAGATATCAAGGGTTATAAGTTCAAATCTATCGTGTATGTCAAACAATTTATATTGGTTTTTTTACATCTTCACATGAAGCCACAGTTGCAGTTCTCCCGTCCTCTGCATCTCCCTCCGTCTCCCTTCATGTTAGGAGATCCTCCTGTGTAGAAATGACAGGCTTTTCCCAGCGATATGACACATTTGGCTCTTTGTTCTCTCCCAGTGGAAGCCTTTTTCATCCCAGTGGGCAGACGCCACAGTCTCTCCCCAGACTTTCACACACTCTCGCTACCAAAAGAGACACTCACCAAGTAATACTTTTGTTCAGTTTCTCCCCTAATCGTGGTATTGGAGAATGTTTTGAGTCAGCAGTGGGATTTTTGACTGCCCCGCACATCAATAGCGAGGATCCAGCTCTCCTAAGTCACATGGTACAACATCCTTTGATAAATGCAACACTGTGTTGTGTCACTAAAAGCCAATTACACCATGCTTTTTATGATTGATCTGCTCTGACAGTAGTGGATGGCATTTAAATCAACAGCCCCCGGAGCCATCTCTAGGCATAAACGGTGGTGGTTATGGAGGGTGGGGAGGGTGGCAGGGGGTTATGGGTGCTTTAATCTCATTTGCTTGGTTGCTGAGTTGAGTTTCTAGATCACATGTTTTCAAAAAGAGAGCGGGAGAGCGACGGAGATATCCAGCAAGCCTCTGCTCACTCAGCTCGGGAAGGCTGCTCTCTCTTACAACTTTGATTGTCCCCCGTGTCGACAGCTCGATCCACAGCTTCTGAAGTACAAGGCGCACACTGGCACTCATAAAAGCATGTAGGGAGGTGTCATATTGAACGCAGGATTGCTTTTTAATCCCAAGCACATTGACTATTCTTGTCAATAGAACCCCAATACAACTGCCAGCTTGAGCTTTTTTTTTTTCCTACAGGATTCTTGCTGGGCTTAATTTTCAAAGTGAATGCACAGATGCCAAGGAAGGCTTTTTCTCTTTCTGCCCTCCCCCCCTTCCCCCCTTTCCCCTCCTCTCCCACTGCACTGCCTCTCTCTGTGTTTGTCCTGGAAGTCCATGCCAAGAGCAACATGCGTGAAGCAGAAACGATCAGTGGGACGCTCCTCCGCCGCCTGTTTCCCAAGTCTGAATGACCTGATGAGAAATGTTCCCCTCACCTGCTCTCCTCTTTTAATTATGAAGCTTTTATATTAAAACTCCACTTCTCTCTTATTTTAGTTCCCTCTATTTGAGAGCACTGACAAAAGTAAGAAGTGCTTCAAGCTATAACTAAAAACATATGTGGCCTTTTTCTTCAACTCAATCCACTGTCAAAGAACAAACCATCCCCTTTTCTTGCTCGTCTCTGTGGTTTGAATAATTATAATCCACATCATTAGACAAGTTCCCCACTGTATCTAAATTAGAAGGTCTTCTTTCAGGCCGGACATCACAGGTGTTCCCTTGGTTTTATGTCTCAGGAGGCAGAAATCTTTGAGGATACTGACTATTAACCCGTGCTCTAATCATCTAGTCAGGAGGGGATATGAAACCCGCCAGAAGAATGAATTAATACGACCCGCCAAGGAATACACGAAGAAAGCAGCGAGTGTCCATTTGCAAGGCTTAGGTACAACTGTCATAGTTTCTCTCATCGCGGCGCAGCCCCTTCATCTCCCCTTGATGGTGTCATGGAAGTGAGAGGCGTGAAAGCACAGTGACACTCCACGAGCCCGTTCCACTCGCAGCCGCTAATTCATCATGACAAATGTGCTCAGATGATCTGGCCCAGCAGCACTAATGGGGAGAGGAGAGAGCGCACTTCATTTGCACAAGACCCACTCCAATTAATCCATCCAGCTTTACTCTGGGCTAATTGGAGCGGGGCCCTCCATGCCTGTGTGCTGGTAATATACCCGACACAGTTTAACGGCTCCTGTTCTCAAAGATCATACTTTTTTGTGGATTTTTTTTTTGTGTGTGTGTGTGTATTTGTGCCGGAGGGGCGTTTGAGGTTGTAAAATCTGTCCCCGTGATTCTAAACACAAGGCCCTCTCACAAACATGTGTTCATAATGAGCAATTAACTGCTCATAGTTCCATGTTATCATATTTTACACTTTCCTTTCTTCTATTTTTGGTTTCAGATTCAGATCCTGTGGATATTTTTCCAAGCACATTATTAGCAAATATAAAAGTGCATGTTTGAACGTGAGAGAATATTTTGAATTTAGTTTATTTACCAAATGCAAAATGTATTAATAGATAAATAAATAAAAATTAGCAGATAACTATCAAATGCTAAAAGCAGTACCATCACTATCTTAAAAGACTGGTTGAGCCCTTTTGAAGTCCTCTCACATCATATGTTTTGGCTTGTTTTGACTACAGCAGAGAAGTGTGTAAGTGTGTGTGTGTGTGTGTGTGTGTGTGTGTGTCGGTGTGTGTGTGTGTGTGTGTGTGTGTGTGCGTGTGCCCATGCGTGTGTGTGTGTCCCATGAGACACCACATTGCTCTGGCTCACTTTAAAACCTTTGGCACAAGTAGGACGTTCTTTGTCTAAAGTTAGAAGTGGTCTGGCTGTTAATTAATCCATCATAAATTGATCTTGATCTCTTCAGGGTTTGATTGATGCCTCTAATACACACTCGGTAGTGCAGAGTCCTCTAAGGAAGGCGAGCGCTGATCCAGTCTTTAAGTTTTTGGCTCGTTGTCATGTCCTCAACAACTGACGTGAGTCTTGAAATTACATAGCAGAAGCCGACTACATATTTGCATTTTAGAAGTTCGTCTGTGCGCGGTAGAAAATCTAGAACAATTGTTGGCCTGTCACTTCAGCTTTATCTTAAAAAACTTACAAAGGTTTTCCTCCTTGCCATACACGGCTGCTTGGGTAATGCTGCCTCCTGTGTCTGCAGACGTATTTTTCTAAAGGTGTGTGTGGCACATCTGTGCAGCTATTGTTTATTCATGGAGTAAACCCTTTGAAATGTGTTAAGATACTTCCCACTCATTATAAAAATCCTGCCACCCATGGATTAGGACTTTGATGTCACCAATCCTGCTTCAAAGGCTTCTTTCACTGCTATTAATCACAGTTTAGCCTCTGAAGATATAGCCAGAGAAAACATTTGGACATCTTGTGCAGAAACTTTGAAATGTTCAGACTGTCTTGCATATGCTATGTTCATATCCTTTCCGCTGTGTGTGGGGCTGTTGGACTGCTGTGCACGCAGCTGCACTCCTGAGTCCATGGGATTCAGCTCAGATTTAGGCTCTTTCTCAACTGTCTTTAATGCTGTGCTGCAGTATGAACACTCCTGTTAACTGAGCAGTGTAGCTGTTCACTTTTTTCCCCTTGTATCTCGCACGTTTAACAAGAATAAAGTGTTTTCTGTGTGCCCATATTTAATAGTTTACTCTTAGTAATCATTTCTTCCCTTTATTTCACACAGCTGTTCAAACTATTTCTATAAATAACCCGTGACATGGCAACTTATGACGTTTTTTCTGCTTCGGTTTTGAACAGGAAATCTGGCGACGTCCAGAGCCCGGGTCACTGCTGCCTCCAGATCTCTGCCACCGCAGCTCAGTTCAGGACGCGCCAAGGTGAGGCTTGTGCTCCTGTAGCACAAATCATCACATCTGAGAACATAATGTTTTTTATTTGTTGCTCACAGGCATTGCACCATAAGAAAGCCAGTAAAAACTTGTGCTCTGAAGCATAGCCACATAATTGACTACCCTGTTATGTGTGCTGTCTTGCTTGTGGTGATGCAGCATCGCCATCTGGCATTCAGTGTCTTCGGCATAAAAGTCGTTTTTCAGACTTACTAACTATTGTTGTTTTGTTGTTAATGGGCACTTAACTATTGTAAAAATGTTTGAAAGTCCTCACAAAATCAGCTCAAATAGCCGCATCAACGTACTTCAATGGGAGGCCAGGATAGTTTGATGAGTGTAATATTCCACATTATTGACGTATTGTCAGTGAATCATGTTCATACTGAGGTTCATCATGCAGAGTGTCTTTTTATGGTGTCTCACAGTCTACACTGTGTTTTAACACAAAACATTTAGCCAGAAAGTTTCTTAATAGCAGGGTTTCTAACTTTCTCACCCCTTGACTCAAGCATTTTCATTTCACTGTCTATTTTACTTCATTTAAGGGGAAACATTTAGTCAAATCATAATGTCTGTAAGATATGAAACTGAAAATATCTTTGTGGATTTATTTTTCACATTATGATTTACAATGAAAACCCCTTAAAGGTGAATTTCAGCTTCTTCTTGTCTATCCAATTCTCTCTTCCTTTATTTCCATGTCACTGGCCGACATGTGCCATACTCACAGTCTCCCAAATACCTATTGAAGGTAAGAACTTTGTTGAAAATAATACAAGTTAATAAATCTATATATATTTCTAAATCACAGTCCAGTGAGTAAAATACATAATTCACTGAAATCAGCTGATCATCACTGTAAACTTTTACTTTGTTTTGTGTGCAGCTTCACTTGACATCAATCTCACTATGGGTTTGGAAAATGTAAATTCTTTTGATTTGAACTGTTTTTCCATGCAGCCACAATTCTGTGTTATTAATGTAAACAAATGCTCTGTGATGCATCTTTTTAGATTATAGAAATACTTAATGTGGGACACAAACACAGGCCAGAATATGTGGAAACGCTGTTCTACTTTGTTGAACTTCTATCTTGTTCAGTTATTCTTGAACAAGAAAGGGCTTCTTAATAACAACTCAGTGTGATTGATGTAATATGTATGCCACCATGTTCTCAATCAGAGTTGGGGAAAAGTTGACAGAAACACTGACAAAGTTAGCAGTGCGACCAGATTAAAGTGACGGTTGTTAGAATACTGAAAGTGAGTCCCAGTAAAACCGTCTGTTCTGTGTGATCTGCTTTCAAAATAGCGAAGCGTCCGGTTTCCTCCCTTCATGTGACTCAGAGGAAGTTTGACGCACCTTTTTGTCTCTGTACTAGGATGAAATAAAGTGTTAAGATATGCACTTTGCTACATAGACTTACCATAAAATATCTATTGCATCATTAATTTTGATGAAGCCATGAACTGCGAAGGCCATTAGAAAGCTTATATTGTGTCCTCGTTAATCCGTCGTCGTCGGGATGACTGTCTGCTTGGTGACGGCTAGTCTCATTACTCAGAATGCCGTGCAATTTTCCCATGCCCCACAGCAGTGCAGAATTATTCTCTAGATTGTTAGCTTTAAGTGTTTATGGGGCTATGTTATACAGACAGCATAGTTAGTACAGCTGTGTATTCCCAACTGGCCCATTTAGAAGAAGGAGACCTGCTGTAATAATACCTTTATCTCTACAGAGCCCACAGAGGACGTCAGGTTGCAAATAAACTGCATTTCATTTGAATCTTATGCATTTGCAGTAATGCTCCTGGCCTCAGTCTGGCCTGTTTATCCATGCAGCGTGTTCATTGTGAATGTCTGTGTTCAGGTGGACACCATGGAGATGATGCGTCACCCTGAGGAGACCACCAACATGAGGAGACAGACTGTAGCCTCCTATTTCCGTGTAGGTGTTTTCTCTTTATGCTGCTTAATTGTCAGACAACAACCAACTGTCTCTTCTCTTAGGTTCAGTTTTAAATAACTACTGAAAAAACTATTGAACCCCTGAAATAAAGCAGAAAAGATCACAGAACTCTGGTAATGTTAATAAAATGTCTAGTTTTTGGAAAATAACACCATTAGACCACAGCAGCCTGAATATATTGATGGCATTGGTTGAATTATCTCTATTTGCTAATTTTGAAATTTTGAAATCTGCTAATATGTTTTAATGCATGTACCACTCTGGGAGATGTATGAACTCTTCTTGCCTGCCTCTAAGAATGACAAATTCCTCAAACCCAGCCTGAATCAGGTTGTGACTTCTGACAGCAACTTTTAACGTTTTAGAGAGTGTGTAATAATCTTCATAAGATATTTCCAAGTTGTAAACTATCTTGTTAGTAGTTCATATAAATCTGATAACTCACTGTAACTTAAGTAACAGTATCACCTGATAACAAAAATGCACATAAAAGACAGTTAAAAAGCAGCTAAAACCCACAGTAAAACAGAACAATGAAAACAATATTTGTTGCCACATTAATCATTCCCTCCAAAGGTTTAAGATATCCTGATTAAAAGGTTTTACTATAATAACTCACACCAAATTCAGTGTAATCCAAATTGTTTTAATAAAACACAACAGTTTCTGCAGATAAAGAGCCAGATATTCCCTTCAGGATTGGTTGAGACCACAACAGAGCAAAAAAGAGACTGAATGTTGGTTTTACTTTACTCCAGAAACTCTTCTCTAAATGAATAATACTGTTGATCTGTGGCTGTTTTAAATAGTGATAATATGTTCATATGATAATATATACACTACCAGTCAAAAGTTTGGACACACCTTCTCATTTAATGGTTTTTCTTTATTTTCATGACTATTTACATTGTAGATTCTCACTGAAGGCATCAAAACTATGAATGTACACATATGGAATTATGTAGTAAACAAAAAAGTGTGAAATAACTCAAAACATGTTTTATATTTTAGATTCTTCAAAATAGCAACCCTTTGCTTTGATTACTGCTTTGCACACTCTTGGCATTCTCTCGATGAGCTTCATGAGGTAGTCACCTGAAATGGTTTTCCAACAGTCTTGAAGGAGTTCCCAGAGATGCTTAGCACTTGTTGGCCCTTTTGCCTTCACTCTGCGTTCAATCTCATCCCAAACCATCTCGACTGGGTTTAGGTCAGGTGACTGTGGAGGCCAGATCATCAGGCGCAGCACTCCATCACTCTCCTTCTTGGTCAAATAGCCCTTACACAGCCTGGAGGTGTGTTTGGGGTCATTGTCCTGTTGAAAAATAAATTATGGTCCAACTAAATGCAAACCGGATGGGATGGCATGATGATGATGCTGTGGTAGCCATGCTGGTTCAGTGTGCCTTCAATTTTGAATAAATCCCCAACAGTGTCACCAGCAAAGTACCCCCACACCATCACACCTCCTCCTCCATGCTTCACAGTGGGAACGATGCATGTAGAGACCATCCGTTCACCTTTTCTGCATCGCACAAAGACACGGCGGGTGGAACCAAAGATCTCAAATTTGGACTCATCAGACCTAAGCACAGATTTCCACTGGTCTAATGTCCATTCCTTGTGTTTCTTGGCCCTGATTGGCTTGATAGTTTTTGCGACTGCACTTGGGGACACATTCAAAGTTTTTGCAATTTTCCAGACTGACTGACCTTCAGTTCTTAAAGTAATGATGGACTGTCGTTTCTCTTTACTTCGCTGATTGGTTCTTGCCATAATATGAATTCTAACAGTTGTCAAATAGGGCTGTTAGCTGTGTACCAACCTGACTTCTGCACAACACAACTGATGGTCCCAACCCCATTAAGAAGGCAAGAAATTCCACAAATCAACCCTGACAAGGCACACCTGTGAAGGGAAAACCATTTCAGGTGACTACATCATGAAGCTCATTGAGAGAAGGCCAAGGGTTTGCAGCGCTGTCAACAAAGCAAAGAGTGGCTACTTTGAGGAATCTAAAATATGAAACATATTTAGAGTTATTTCACACTTTTTTGTTAACTACATAATCCCATATGTGTTCATTCATAGTTTTGATGCCTTCAGTGAGAATCTGCAATGTAAATAGTCACGAAATTAAAGAAAAACCATTTAATAGAAGGTATGTCCAAACTTTTGACTGGTATATGTGTTCTGCTGTCCACAAGACAAAAAAAAACATAGTTTAGGCATCTTTAAACAATCAATGTTTTTTTCTTGCATATTTCTGGTGCATTTGTTTTAATCCTCTGCTAATTCAGTTCTTTATGTCTGTTATATGAGAATAAAAAGTTTGCCAGATCCTGTTGGGACTGATTAACACTGTCAATTATTATTCAGCTTGTACTCTGTTATCAAAAACATCTATAACTGGAAAAAGTTGGATGTTTGAAGTTGACGTGCAAATCATTTCAACTGAACTTACACCGCCAAACTTTGATAATGTGAATTCATAATAACTGCTCTCTGGTTTTCTCGCCCTTGCCTCTGCCCACTGTTTATTGTTGTCTTTCTTGTGTTGTGTTTCTGCATAGTATTCCCTGATGGACTTGCTGTCTAAGATGGTGGTGGGTCAGCCACACTTTGTGCGCTGCATCAAACCCAACGATGATAGGCAGGCACTGCGCTTCTGCAAGGAGAGGGTGATGTTGCAGCTGCGCTACACAGGAATCCTGGAGACCGTGAACATCCGCCGGCAAGGCTACTCCCACCGCATCCTGTTTGAAGAGTTTGTCAACAGGTAAGAGTGGTGTCAAGCTAGACTCTGCATTGCGCACACGTGCTGAGCGTTGACACGGCCCCAGAGATGGTGCAGAACAAGTGAGCCGTGCTCTGCATCACACAAAAACACAGGTTCTTTAATTAGATAGGGGTACAAGTACGAGCAGAGCGAGAGGCTGACTAATTGGCAGTCATTAGTGATAGTGCAAGACTAAATCCTACAGCTCTTTTAACTGGGTGGATACTTCAGTGTGGAAAATATGGATACAATTCAAACAGGGAGGAACTGTGATTATAAGGGGTGATTCATTTTAATGGATTTCCTTTTACTGTTCATAAAGAGTTTGTTCTTAAACTCGCTGACCTGGAAAGGCTCAAATGTAGTCGTTCTAGTCCCATTGGTGTTAGGTTAGAACACAATTAAAACAAGACTTCATCATTAAGGGGGAGCTTTTACGTAAGCGTGTTGTTTTTGTTTTTAAAAATGTGGGACAGGGTATGATAACTGTTAATAAGTGTTACGTACCCCTCTTCAAATGTCCATCCCCAGATTTGAAGAGCATATACCCACACATCCGCCCTGCTCGGGGAAAAAATACACACACTTAGACGAGTGTGGGAAAATGCAGGGAAACTTATGTTTGATCAACTTTCCTTTGAAAAATATTCCAGCCACCTCTAATGTGGAGACTTTAAGATGATATAAAATTTAATTAACTCAGGCTTTTGGCCTGTAGGATAAAAAAGCTTTGAGATGGCTGGTTAGTCTCACTGCTTTGGGGAAACTTTTAAAAATTGTGCTTTATGTTGGTGATCTAAAACTTTGAATGACCACGTGTTTTTTTTTTTTTTTTAATGCATGTCCTAGTTTTGATCCGAAACTCAAGAATGTTTGATTATTGGAGGACTGTTAGAAACCTGGCCGATGGTTTTAGTGTTTTCTCTACACCACCTGTGTGTCTGTGTGTGTGTGTGTGTGTGTGTGTGTGTGTGTGTGAATGAGAGGGTGTATTACCACTTCAGACTACATTTTAACCTCACTGCTGAATCCATATCATCCTACCTGAGCCAGGCAGAAGTCGTACAGACAGACCCGAATGGCTAAACTGCACCTTTAGTGAAAACTGATTTAAATTTGTGCTCTCATATCAAAGGCTCGTCTGATGTTGCCAAGCAGTGCTTTGTATTTACCATCAAAGAAATAACAGGTATCAACAGGAATTAGAATGAAAGGCTGTAGACTGAGGCGGGGAGGGGAGTTCAAAGAAGTTTTTCTTCTTGTTGTTGTTCTTCATTTTGACCAACGCCAGAACACAAGAGATGAACCAGTCGTTTTGGAGCCTTGATGTCCCTGAGCAAACAGTTAGAGCCACTTTGTCCTATGCTGGTATTTTGTAAACTACAACAAGAGGATCAGTGGACGGATCCAGACAGCGTGAGCGATAAACATGCAGTGGAGCTGATGAACACCGATAGGCCCGGGCTGATGGGCATTTTCTGTGGCTGCTGAAATAAGAGACGATGATCCATTCAAAAGAGCTCCAACAAAGGGCCTCTGTTGAAGACTCATGTCTGCTCAGTCAGGCTCTTTTTTTTTTTTTTTTGCTCTGACTGAGCAGACCATTTTCCAGCTGTGGTGATGCTCCCAGTAGTTTTGTGGAAAAAGGTGTTAAGATTTCTAGTCTCTCCTCTTGACCAGTGTTGGGTCACTGAAGAGGAGCTCCGTGTATGTAATCGACTACCAATCTCACATGTAATCCTAAGTTTTACAGTCAATTGTCACAAAAGTATTAGCAGTTGTAAAATGAGTAGGAATAATTTGATATTTTGGGAAATACCCGTTGATGAGCGTTAAACAAGAAGCTTTATACCATTCTCATAGTGTACAGTAAATATGAAACAACAGTCACACTTTGGTTTTTATACATTTTAAACTAACAAGATATAATCTACCTAATTAGTGAGCTGTAGAGTTGCATGGTCACAGAGCCAGGCTAGCTGTTTCCCCCTGTTTCCAGTCTTTATGCTAGGCTAAGCTAAGCTGTAGCGTACCATACGGACATGAGAGTGGTTTGAATCTTCACATCTAACTCCAGGCAGGAGACAAACAGTAAACCATTATCATTACTGATGTCTTGCTCTTTTCTTTTCCACAATGTGGTGCATTTTCCTCGACACTGTGTCTATTTCACTGGTCAACTTCCTGTTTCAGGTTTCAGAAAAATTTAAAATGACAAAAAAAAATTCCCAATCCTCAAACAGAGATCAGATAACTTTTCTTTTCAACTATAATCTTCGATGATTACAGTTTTTTTTTATTACACCATCAGCTCCAACTCTACTGCTCTTTTAGTGCTACGCATAAACACATTAGATTACATTGTTTCCCCATTTGTCCCCTCTCATAGATATTACTACCTTGCATTTCGGGCTCACCAGATGCCCGAGACCAGCAAAGAGAACGCTGTTGCCATACTGGAGCGGGCCAAACTGAAGGACTGGGTGCTGGGAACAACAAAGGTAACTTGATTATTACACCCAGAAATGAAATAATAAATAAATCTGTGTTTAGTATACATTTTATCTATAGTAAATTTAACATGTACCAAAAACCAAGTATAGAAAACAGAGATCTAGACTGGCATGTTCTAACCTGGGGGCTGAACATCCTGTCAGGTTTTTCTGAGGTACTACCATGTGGAGCAGCTGAACCTGCTGCTGAGGGAGGTGATAGCTCGAGTGGTGGTGATCCAAGCTTACACCAAAGGATGGCTGGGCGCCCGACGTTACCGGAAAGTGAAGGAGAAGAGAAACCGCGGGGCAATCATCATCCAGTCAGGTACGCTGGTATCAATTAAACAGTAAACAGATGAAAGGAATTATTTAGACTTAAGTTTAAAAAAAATGCAAATGAACAAGGAAAATTCTGATTTATTCTTTTATCACAAAATGATGAAACAGGTGCAAATTTGATGTGAAACTAACCGTTGGTTTCTTAATGACCTCTGGCGTATTATGTAGCCGGCAAGTCCTCATAAAAGAGATGAGTTTGATAACCACAGCTTGACCTACGAGGGTTAAGAGCAATGCTTCAGAGCAGACAATAAGACCTCAGAGAGTTCAAAGGGATCCATCCCTCTGCCACCTGGTTTAGCAGTGTTTTGAAGTGGGATCTTGTGTAGTATGTGCAGTCTATTTTGTTTCACAGAGGCAGGTCAGCAATCTCTTGCGCGCACACACACACACAAATACACATACACACACACTGTCTCTCTCTCTCTCTTTCTCTAGCCTGGAGGGGCTACGTTGCTCGGCAGAACCTCAAGCAGATAAAAAAGGAGCGGGAAGAGGCCGCTGTCCGCATTCAGTCAGGTAAAGAAATGTTTACATTTTTCTTCTCAAGTTCTTCATATATTCAAGTGTGGACCTCTGGAATTTCACATGTAGTCCCGTGTCCGGTGGAAAGACGCGCCACTTATTTGTACATTTTCAAAAGGAAAAGGAATAAAGGGCCTGAAAAACCTTACATCTTTGTGGAACACCTTTTTGATCTCAATGAGTGGCCCACGAAACAGTAATAATTAATTAATAATGCATAAAGAAAAGCTTTTGAAAGTTTGGGCAGCATTTGGTCCCCATGTTTCAGAAGAACAGTGCATACTGAGATCCTTTTTTCCTTTCATCTCTTTCCCAGTAAAGGCAAGAGAGGGGCTTATCCCTTCTGTTTCCTCACGACTTCCTCTCTCAAATTCCTGGCCTATTACACAGCTCTCACATACCAGAAACAAGATGCCTTTTTATACTGTCAACCTTTTCATCTGAAATGTAAATTAATTCTTACTCAGTGTGCCTTGACGAAGATCAAAGTGGGCACATTAACCTTCCCGGGTCCCCCCCCCATCCCCCTCCTCCTCCTTGGAGCCTCTCACTAGAGGACAAGGGAGGGTGCCAAAAGGGGCAGGAGAGAGGAGGGCAGGGGGAGGAGATTTGGCATTGTTTCCCCTAGCTCTCCTAAGGGCTGCCCTCATCTGGCACATGGAGCATCTCAGTCGCCTGCACACCTTGTGTAAATGTCCTCCATTAAAACCCTTGTAAATAACGCTGCCGAATGGGTAAACATGGTTTTGGTGTGAGGAAAGCCTCTCTGTCGCCGCCGTCTTTCTCTTTAAAGAAATGTGTTTGTGTGTGGCCGCTGGGGTTCAGGGGGGGAGAACCTGAACCTGACATAAGTGGGGCCTCAGCCCCCCGGCGGGGCACTCCAGCACATTCACATTGTGTGTTCTCTGCAGCTTATAGCCTTTGAGGTGGGCTGCATTTGCATTCTGAAAATAAACAGATGCCTTTCAAATGTATGAGCCTGGTGGCTTCTCAGATCTCAGCGGGGCCTGGGGGACTTGCTCACCATCGATCAGATTAGACCATGCAAAATAGAACCATGGCTCAACAATGTACTTGAGCTTTCTTTTCCTGCGCATATAATTTTACAAGAAAAACACAAAGCCCGTTGATGGAGTAAGTCAGCAGGCTCTGTTTACCATCCATCTGAGCCCAGTATGTCTCAATAATCACACATGATGTTTTCCCACTGCTGCACTACACTCCTTATATGGATCCTTTACACGTTTCACTTCCTCCAAAGCAAATGCAGTGTTTTTTAATACAAGGCTGTTTGAGGACTTTGATAGATTGTGGTAAATTGTGTTAATTGCAACAATGACGTTCGATAACTGCCTCAGTGGTCTATATGTATGTTGTTTGGATGGATAACAAAGGGAGGAAAATGTTTTTTCTGACTATGTGAGAGCTCGTCTGACATTCATATCCTGTGCAGCTTACAGGGGCCATCGGGTGCGTCGGGACCACGGACCCCAGAGGCACAGATGTCACCCTGAGGCTGGAGGAAAGACCACCAAGGAGGAGCATACAGGGTGAGCTTTGACATCTCTTGTCCTTGAGGTTCTGTTCTCATTGAAAGAATATTTTCCTATGCTTTGCTTTTTGTGATTTCTTTGTTGTTTCTTCTTACAGACAATAGGCTTCAAATATGGCCTAAATCAGAGCACCATTAGAGATGGTTTATTGAGCAAGAGGTCTCACTGACATACCTGTCAGTCATAGTAAGCCCTGCTGGATGAGCTCCTCTTTCCCTGTAATGTACTGTTGTTTCAAGCAGATGAGAAAGCTCCTCCCTAAGCACCACCTCTTTCAGTTTTATAAACGTAATAAATATCTTTCCACCAAGATAGCACACTTGTCTGACCACAAATGGGGTTGGGCGCTGCACTGGTCTCCAGATGTATGAGCTGAAGACTTTGTGTTTATTCAGCATATGGGCAGGCCAGTCATTAAGAAAGTATGCGCTAAGCAGGAGAGCAGCCACCGACTGAACAGCAGCACGCTTGGTGTCGATGGTGGCTTTTAGCTTCTCACTGCACCATAACTCACACATATGAGTTATTACAGAGTGGAACGTCTACAGACTTAAAATGTATCTAAGAGGAAAAGTATTCCTGAACGGGTTTTGGGTGTTTTGGGAGTGAGATTTTTTTTTAATGTACATTAGCTCAATTACAATAATGACAAATATGTGTGCGTAGATGTTGCATTGCCAATCAGCACACATCTAAATCTCAAATCTTGGGTGACTTTTGGTCAGTGCTGTGCATCTCTCTCCAGACTCAAACTCCAAAATACTAGATTTACACATCTGAAAATGTTATGCTTGTTGTATACTCGAACCGAGCGGAGCCTCATCTGGGATTTTTCTCTTCGTGTTTACAATCATATTCCTTGGTGAGAAAAACTTCAAACCTCCACTTAACAATTCTGTTTAATCAGTGTTGGAATCTCTCCATATAGATTTATTTTGACATGATCTGGCCCATTTTCCTCCTGTAAGATCTATGTTCTCACCTACATGCTGTTCTTTTCCCTTTTGATATCCCTCCTCTCTGCCATGCATGAATTTCGGTGATTGCATCCAAACAGCAGAGCCTACAGTTGCATCACCAAATCCAAACTGGATGAGATTTTGTTTTCCTAGACTCGAAACATGACTGCGACTGGCATGGAGCATTGTGTTTGCAGATGTTGTCTCTTTTGGTGTTGTTGTTTTTTTTTTTTCTAAATAATGCAGTAGAACACAGAAACATAGCTCTATCTCACTCTCTGCAAATTGCATGATCAGAAGCCAGAGCTGCTTTTTCCATTAAACAAGGAGACAAATATGACTCATCCTCAGCTCTGTATTACTATGTAGCAACCTTATACTGACAAAATGTGGTATTCTGTGACAGTTTATGTTCATTTCAGCTTAAAAGGCTTCTTACTTTCACAGGTCCAACAGCCTAACGAGCAAAGAGGCACATACAGATCACATACATGGAGGAAATGTAAGTAACAGAATATCAATGAGCATTTTCTAACGCCTCGACTTTAGCCGTGTATGTAAAAATGCTGCTCCTCTACAAAGCAGCTTTAACCCAGATTATTCTTTGGGATTTTTTTGAGTCCCTGAGACAAAAGAGTTCTCTTGCTCCAACCTCCATCTCAGCGGAGAAGACAGGGTGGTACGGGAACGAGAGAATCAAAAGGCTGGAAATTCACGGCTGAGAATAAATGCTCGCTCTTCCCTGAGGTGATTTGTCTTTGCGCTCCTCTTTCTACAGATGTTAGACCCCTTTTTTAGTAAAGACCTGAGGTTCTTTGGTAGCACTTTGATATCCTGCTCGGATTCAATATGTGAAATAGAAGAGCCACTCCGTGACTTGGAGCACATCACAGTCTTTGAAGTCTGATCCAATTTTTGCTGCTCACCATTTGATGTTGAAAGGATGAAATGAGGAAAATGTACAGTTTTTGCCAGTAACTCTGCTGAGCATATGTAAGATTAAAAAAGCAAAATCCTTTGGAGGATGTACTTAGAAATGTTAAGCAGATTAATACTTTCCTATAGCTCTTTTATTCAAAGATAAAATTAAATATGAGAGGAAGTCTGTATGAGCTGTTTTTTACCCTCACAATTAAGTCAGTGTGGTGCTGTTTGCTAGGAGGTAGGGCTAGTAAAGGGGGATATGCAATTGCATTAGCATTTGATTAACATTGCAAAGCACATTAATGGGTTTGAGTTATATGAGTGCCAAATTGTAAATTGTAAATAAATGAATACATGACTAAATTGAAAAAAAATAATAAAAACACACACACACACATTACGAGGCTTGCTTTAACTTGTGTCTATTTATCCGCTGCTTTCATTGACATTGCTCTTCTGGGTGTGTTTTTACGCCTCCTCTTTCAAGGTTGGCCTCGACAGCCGAGACAGACAAGTGAAAGACATCAAGAGAGACAAAGGCAGAGCAGAAGACAGTGTAACGAAGCCTTGCAGGGAGACAGCTAGACTGCGAGACATGCAGTGTAAACAAGGTAAGCCCGAGCACAGAGCTGGCGGGTGCAGGTAATTACACAAAGAGACAGCAGAAATCCCGCTTTAATGGATAAAGTGCCATTTTTAATACGGGGCCCCTTTCAACCTTTCATCCCAGCCAATCCTCTGCTGCCATTCTTTGTTGACAGCAAAAAGAGAGAAGCATTATGGGTGATCATTTCTGCGGTATTTTAATAACCCAGGTCAGCTCATCATAAACGTCTCATGGCAAGTGGGGGGGCTTTTCGAAGTGGCATGAGCACTTCAAAGCTTTCATTCTCCCGCACGGCGAGCCCTTCACTAAGGATCTCATCAATGACTCTAATAGACCTGCACAGTAACAGTGACAAGAAAATACACAAACCCTGATTTGTTGAACATATGTTTGGTTTGCTTTTTGCCCCAGGCGATGAATTACATTAATTCCTGCTGCCTGGAAGGCTGAGTGGGTGGCTTTGCAGGGGGCCTCCGATTACGGCCGTCACCACTGGGGTAGCCTGGGTAATGGGTGCCCGGCCCTTCATTAATGTTATTAGAGGGGTATGAGGTAAGAGACGGAGGTGAAATAGCATTTAGCGGCACGGCTGAGAGATTACGGGGATTAGACATGATAATGTAACACAGACAGGGCTCTCTAGCGGGCCCGGGATTAGTGTCAGGACGCCACAGCAGGTCTGGGTTAGATAGCGGCTAATTCGGTAATGCTGCATACAGGTGACCCCCGCTCCTAGACATCACTGCTGCTGAAGGGAGGCAGTGTTTGATGAATTTATAATGTCAGAGTGATTATGGAGGGAAACGTTGCAGTGAATGCCAGTATGAGGGCATTTTGCACAAATGTATGTTTTGTCCTGCGTCACTGGAGCTTGCAGACATTTTCTAACAGAGATTTTTAAAATAACAGTTGAATTAGTTTCTTGTTTTTGTAGTTTGTAACCTGAATACCTGAGAGGAGGATGTAGGATGTTTCATTTAACATGTAAAAGTCACATTCCTTTCAGCTTGGAATTAGTTTAAATATACAGTATTTCAATGTTTTAATTGCTGTATTACCTTAAAAGTAGAGCTTTTGAACCATAAAATGAAGCCGAATGCTCCACTTTGTACTGTATCACCTAATGGCAATGGCCTCAGTGTGGAGATGAGTTATGAACTGCTCAGATTTTTTAATTTGAAGGCATTTTAGAAGCATGAGGTACCCTCATATACCTCATTTTGTGTTTTTGTTTAGTTTCCCTTTGACAACCCCCTCCCTCCCCTTCAAACACCTCATCCAATGAAAGAAAAACAAACAAAAAATTCTGTACATTTTCTATAAATGAAGTGTCTTGAAAAAGCAGGTTGCCGCTCTAGAATGAAGAAAATGAATGTGCAGTATAGAAACAAACAATGGAAATATTCTTAATGCACAAGCATATTGTGGCTTTAAACGCAAAAAAGAAGGAAGAAGGATCCATTCAGGGGTCCCGACCCTGAAGCTGAGAGCTACTAACTTAGTACAACCTATATATTTTTTCAGTCCATCTCACTGACATCATTTATTGCAAGTTGAACACTCTTTAACTTCTTTTTGTTATTAGGTAAATCAAAGGGTCTCTGTACTCACTGAATTGAATGAATAATAACCTTTCATATCTGACAGTTCAGTCATATTCTATTTAAATGTCCTGACAAAAAATAAAATCCTCTCCCGCCACGGGCTTTACTAACGCATTACTTATTTTGTGTGGAGAGCACACAGATTTTCAGGTATTCATCGTCTCCCGTTTTTCCTTCCTCGTTTATGTTCCAAGGTCTGCTTGTGGCTCCGACTTCTTTCAGGAAGCCCCATTTGAATATGTTGAGGGAGGCCACGGTGGCTCAGGCACCCAGGGCACACTTTGATCCCTACAGATCTGAGGGCCTTTCTTTTTTTTATCCCGAGGTTGAGCGAGTCATGGAAGCCTTGCCCTGCCAGATGTTTGGAGACCAGGCTCCTTCCTGTGTCTCATCCTGCTGTCGCCTCTGGTGATTGTGTTGGTTCTCTCGGGCTGGAGCTCGACCTGGAGTGTTTCAGGACACCAGTGGAGAAAAACAGAAAATTAGCCATGGAAATCGAATTACCCCACCCCTCCAGACACTCATGCACACACTCTACACCCTGCTCCCATTAATGCCAAAACACCGGGGCATGACCTGGAACCTCTCAATGTGTTTGACGGACGTTGGGTCTTTTCTAAGTGATTTAACAAAGCCTAGTGTTGCAAGTGAGTTGCTCAGCACAGTTTTTTCTTTCATGTGTGAAACAAAGCAGACCAGGGAGTGAGATGATTTGGGTAGATGTTTGTTTCACTGTATATCTGACACCAGGCTAGGCAACTTTACTGTTCTCACTCTTTAGCAAAATACTTGCAGTGTTGCATTTTATGGAGGGAAGAGCGCATTAAAGCACTTTGTACTGCGGGCGCTCTCAGATGTCTGCAGCACAAACCTTTGATTTTCCATGTTTTGTCTGAGAAAAAGTTACACTTGCACAGTGTAGTCATGTAAGCTGCGCAGTCAAGACGATGTCACCTCTCATCACCTGTCTCCCGAGCCTGAATATTAATACAACATGTTTGGAAATGAGTCACGGAGGCGTCGTGTGCAGAAAGAAAGCCTTTGCTAGCAAGCAGCAGATATGATCACAGTGCTGCTTATGCTCCTCAGCGTGGTAAACAGGATGGTGCTGAGGATCAGTCAGAGCTGACTTTATGGTTTATGAAAGCTGAGCTACTTATGTTAACAGGCTTTTTGAAGATTATAGTTGTGGTAAACATACATGTCAAGAGAGAGACAGTGATAAAGTGGAGCCACAACACAGAGACCAATTACCTCTGCGCCTCGGAAGATAGTTAACCTGGTCGTTTGAAGGGATGAGAAAGGAGAAAAATAAAAGGGCGCGAGGAGAAGAAGTTGGTGTTGACTTAATAGCTATAGTTATGTCCCCTCGGTGCATAACATGGTATAGTCAATAAGAATTGATTTTGTTTGTTGCCCTGAGCTCTCTGTGCGCTTTATAGCTGCAGCTGGGAGAGCTCTTTGGAAATGTGGACGCTTTTTTTTTTTTTTACCCACGCTGAGGTCAAACCCACACTCACCAGTACATCTCACTTTCCTCTCTTCTCACACCCTCCCTCAGCTCTTAAACGTCTTCCCACATGTCCTCCCACAAGGTTTGCAGCCACCAGGTGCTTCTCCACAACCCACCACCACCACCACCAAAGCAGCAGCAGCAGCAGCAGCAGCATCACCATATCAACATGCATCTGCCAGACAAATGATCCACCCTCTCCATGTTCTCTAGACAAATACGCTCCCACCCTCTCGCTGTCTCTCAGCCTTTTGATTGATCTATCTTTCTCCACATATCGTAGCGTCTCAACCGGATGCCTTCAGTTTTAGGCAAATTACAGGCTCGACGTAGCGGCAGCAGAGATTTGGAAGGGATAGGAAAGACTCAACTTAACGGAAGGAGTTGCCTCTGTCTGATGCTACCTACGTAATCCTCTTAATGTCAGTGGGAGTAGTTAACAGGATGTACTTCCAAACTACTCATCATCACAATTCCAACAGAATAATCTCCTCAGACGTAAAATCAAGGTGGAAAATGATGCTTCAAGTTTTCTGTAATTTCACACGTGCATTGACTCGTTTGACGTAGTTTAAGAAAGTTTCTTTTTTTTATTAGTTTATTGTTTTGACACAATACAGTTTTATATTGTTAAGTGAAACGTATTTTATCTAATAAAATTGCTAGGGATCCCACCGATCAGGAGAGAAAACGCTTAATGCCATTCATTTGCATATTTAATCTATTTTTGGCCTGGTTTCCTTGTCATTCACGTCTCCCTCCTCACTACTTACTTTTTACTCATCCTCCTAGGTCACAGTTATAAATTACGCGTATTATGTCGCTGACAAATGATTGACTTCCACAAAGTTCAGAGATTTTTTTCCTCCACGCAAAACATTTCTTCTGGAGTCAAAGTTCCAAATCTGCTGTCAGGGGAAATGATTGATTTCAGTGTGAAAAATTGGTTGTAAGTAACAACATCCTCTGCTTGCATTAGTGAAAACAGATGCAGGAACTATTCTTTTTCAGCATTATCTGCAGGACTTGACCATTTTGTCTTATAATCTAAAGCACATGAGTTCCTGTTTAAGTACGAATGAAAATGACGAGAGCGGTAGTAAATCTCAGAAGCCCTGAAAAGTTCTGGAGATCCTCTTCAACTTCAGATATCTGTTTGGAGTCTTTGTTTGCAAATTAGGAATAATGTCTGTGTTAGTGTGCACGCATGCATATGTGTGTGTGTGTGTGTGTGTGTGTGTGTGTGTGTGTGTGTGTGTGTGTGAGCACAAGTTTGTATGCATGTGTCAGGGTTTATGTACCCATGCGTGCGTGTGTGTGTGTGTGTGTGTGTGTGTGAAGAGGCGGTTGTGAGGTAAAGAGAAGGGTCTGGGTTGCACATGCCTCATTTAGACATCAAAGGCCCCTGCTGATGATTTTTCCTTATAATCCATGCCTTTTGGTGCCTCTGCTCCCTCCATCTGAATAAACAAAGCCCGAGTGGTTTTCTGTGGTCTGGGAGAAGTCAGGTGATTGCAGCACGTGATTTGAGAAGTAAATCGATACATCTCTAATTTATTCCACTAAAAATCTCTTTTAGCAGCTCTTTTATGTTGTTTCTGAGAAGCATTCTGATTTTGAAGGGATTTCAAAGTGGTATTTAGAGATGTAATACGAGTCATCTGCAGCTCTTTGAAAAATGAAAGCAACACCTATCTCAAAAAGAATTCCAGCCCTTTTTATCTCAAGAAGCAAACATGTACAATATGTAAGTCTCTCACCAAGCAGAGCAAACTCTGCTTGGCTTTCTTTTGATACGGAGAAATCAATATTGTATGAACCGCGCTCCCTCTGTATTCCCAGTCGACCATTATTCCTCCCCACCCCAAACAGCAGACATTACCCGCGATCATTTAGCAAACCCCCGGTGTGAGCGACTGTCTGACCCCTTCCCAGCTCTGCCTGCCCATGTCCAAGCCGCGCTCTCCCATGCCAGAAGCCAGTTTGGCAGCATCCTTCCCTGTAATATATCTGCAGGAGCAGCATTCCTCTGGGGCTGGCCTGGATCAAATGGCAGTGATTTCCCAAACAGAGGCGCAGAGATGGGAGGCCTGACCCATCCTCTGATCTGCTACACGCTCTAATCGCTGCAGGTCAGAAGGGATAAATGGTGATGCTGAACCCCCGTGCTTCGTGTTTTGGGCTCCAGGTCTGCAGTGATGGACACAGCAACTGAGCGATCTTAGGAAAACTTTTAATTTAGATCTCAACCAAATTTGGCAATTGTAATTTAAAATGAAAAATTATTTTCTATGGAGTTCTGTTTTTGTGGTCTACAAAATATGACATATCACAAACTGATGTTGGATCTACATTAAAGGTTCAGTGTGGAACATTTAGCAGGATCTATTGGCAGAAATTGAATATAATATTCATAGGTATGTTTTCATTAGTGTATAATCACCTGAAAATAATGTTGTGTTTTCGTTACCTTAGAATGAGCCATTTCTATCTACAGACGCCTTCCATGGAGTTGGACATGTTTCTACAGTAGCCCGGAGCTAACAAACGAAACACTAACTGTACATTGGGCCACAGTAGTTTCTCCTTCACACTTAGAAGGGTAGGGTGAAGGGAGTTGTACAGTTGTTACACTGCTAGTTGCCACTAAATCCTACACACTGGTCCTTTAATAGAGACAAGTAGAGTAATACGGTTCAGTGGCGTTGAGGACCTACAAGGTTCTTTGGGTTTTCTGTTTGTAACAACTCAGTGAGAGAAAAGTACATTTAAGTAAACTTGCTCAATTTGCCATAAAAATAAGACCGAAGTCCGTAGGATTCATCCTTGAGGGACCATGATCGTCTTTACAAAACAACCCGTCCGGTTATTGTTGAGATATTTCAGTCTGAACCAAAGTGGCGGACCGACCGACAGACATCCTGCTAGCGTGACTCTAAATGATACAGAGTAATGTGTCTTCCTCCACAAAAGCATTTTTAACTCAAGTGTACACAACAAATTGCAGAGAGAATGTTAATCTGGCACCAGCCCAGACTTATTATTTACTGTTTGGCCAACTCACAGAATGAATGTTAATTAGCTGCAGCTGAGCAAAATTACTGGCGACAGTTGTCATTATAGTCGATGAAGTCAACAGTCACCAGGTTTGACTGTTTTATCAGTTTTTAAGATAAACAAAGACTATGCAGTCTGTTTTACAATATGATTCAATTTTTAAACTTTGTTCAAGGACGTTAGGATTCATTATTTGTGATTGAGTGCTTTGATGCAATTTCAGGGGAATAACACATTTGCTTATCAAATCCATTTCTGCATCATTAGCAGAACAATGTCCTACATACAGACATTGTTTAACTTAAATTTAAGGTGCAAACACTTTTATTTGTGCTGGTTTATTTATCTTTTCACCTCAACATGGTCATGAAGATACAGTAGCTTGAAGCAGCAACCGTTGTACAATTCATCACAATGTAATATTTAAACCTTTTTGTTGCAGCCAAACAAGCTGCGTGATTAGAAGAAATGCACACAGCTGATTTTTTTCACAGCTATTTTCCTCAGTACATGTGATTTATCCAAATATCCTCAAATGCTCGGGGGGAGGGGGGGGACAAGGATTCACACAGTGGTCGGTTAACACCTCTGAGGCACCGATAGATAAGATTCACGGTAAAAGTTAGCTAATATCTCAGAACTGACAGGAACTTTTCTGGGCATTTACAAAGTGTGACTTTAGTAAACCTGTGCTGGTTTGAATAACATCAAGAAAGCTGAGGAAAGAAGGGAGGTGGGGGGGTTGGAGGGGGGAGCTTGCTCTTTGATGTATAGGATTGAGATGTGATGAGGTCTGTTCAAAGTGAGTACAAAGTAGTGTTAAGATGGAAAAAGCAAATGCAGCTTTAGTCAAGGTAGAGAAGCCGAGGTAGCAAGAGATGATGAAGAAATGTCCTGTCTCACCCAAAACGCAGGCAAAGAAGATGAAACGTTATCTGACATTAAATATAGATGCTTCCTTGTAAAGGTGTCTTGGCTTTAAAACACACTTTTGTAACCTATGAATTTTGAAACCCTGGGCGTGCTGTAGGATAAGAATGTAATAATCAATCATTAATTGTCTGATGTTGGAATAATAACTCATTATCTTTAGTAAGTCGTCAATAATGCAATGAATAATTCATTATTCAGTACTCTGTTTTCAACAATCAGGGAAAACTACTTAACGCTGCCAAAGATTCGGTCATCTGCTAAAGGAGAAGCAGCAGCAGCGGCAGATAATCGAGAAGAGGTCGTTCTGTGGATGGGAATGAATGTGTAAATGACTTCTTACTGTGTTTAACAGATTAGCCACGGCTCACATTTGTGTCACTGGTTTCCATAAGAAGGAAGAGAGTGAACATCTACATCTAGAGTCCTGTAGATCTGCTGAGTCAGTGTGTTTTTATCTGTGTGCATAGAAATGTACTTTTTATAGGCCAGCTAGTGGTTGTTGCTTCACTTTAAAGGGTCAATTAATCCAAATCACCACAGATCAAATACTATACTCTTCCATTTGGTAGCAGCACAAATCTCAGACGCAGATATCTTATAACCTCAACAATTAAAAACCAAAACTACCGGCATGGTTAGACACCACGAGGGGCATGTAGAACGAAGGTTAGGTAAACTCATCCTTTAAAGGGATAATTCAGCGTTATGGGAATATTCTTGCCGACAGTTAGATGAGAAGTATAATGTTTGAGCTTCACTCTGCAGGATGATGTATGTGACACTAGAAGGATGTTTTCACATTCATCTCCTGAAAGTTTCTCTGTGCTCAGTGAAAATCAGATGTTAAGGGGCGGGGCCTGTAATCATAATTTGTGATGTCACCAATGGTTTGGAAGTCAGTCCTGGTCCAGTTTGCAACTTCTACAAGTGTGATGTAGAAACCTGAAGCCACCAGTGTTTTTTACAGTTAAATAGGAGACATCTTGTGTCCAGCAGGAAAACTTTTGAAATGAATAAAAAATCAGCATATTAATATCTTCTGAAATTTTCAATGAGACAGAAAGAGTAAATGACTTATTAAGGATCATTTTAATGCGGAAATTATACATATCAAAAACACATTATTGTTTCAAGCAGACTGTAAATATACATGTTTTACTACATGGGGGATCTTTAAATTATAGATAGCAGAAATGAAATGTAACCAAACCTTCTTTTGGACTCTGCGTTTGACAAGAAGCTGAATACATTTTGCTGCTGTGCAGTGGTTCTTCTTCTCTCATTAGTTACTTGGACTTGAGTTGTTGCAATACGCTGAAAATCTTCTACTTGATCTTGTTTACTGACAAATGATTTCTTCAAACAATATTCTATATGGATAACTGTAGTCTCCACCATTGCTCGTGTATTCAAGGAAGCTGTCTTCAGCTAGAAAATAGCACCTTGTAAAAGATTAAAACAACTAAAACAACTCCCTACAACCGTCCTCATTTATCTCTGCATCAGGAGACAAGCCTCCAAACACACACTACTAACTACTTCTTCAATTAGAAGATACATCAGTGTTTGGCTTCTCACTGAGAAACATGCATTAAAAATAAATACATTCAAACTAAATGTATCGTCTCACCTATTATGAAGTAAATACTTTGTTTACTCCGAGGCTCCGACACACGTTTTATGATTGATTACACGTCCACATCCATTATTCTAACTCGTACAATCAGAGCGTTTTCGGCGCCGTCACTCTGTGGTCACAGTGTTATTGTCAGCAAATGATTGTCGCAACCTTCATCTCAGTAGGTGGTGTTTGTTTTCTATCCTAGAAACACACTTAAACTACAACTACAAACTACATCATTTGTTAATACGGTTATGGGATTTGCTGTTTTCAGTGTGAAGGGAAAGGCAAGATCTGATCTGAGCCTCACTTCAAGAATCACTTTTCTCTCTTTTTGTGGGTTTTGGACACAAGAAATGCTTCAATAGTCAGAAGTGTGTCCAATACCACACACACACACCACAGTCTCACCTCTGCCTCTTCCACTGGAGCTGTTTAGCAAATTGAGATGTAGTCTGCTGTGCACCTGTGAGGAGAGATATAATTAGATGTGGTTTGTATGTGTGGATTTATGCAACGTTAAGCTCTTATTGAGTCAGCTCATCGATGAAATTACATAATCTAAAACCGAAGTAGATTTCAAACGTGTCTGCCACTTTGTCACACGAAGGTGTAGATTTTAAAAAAGTCGGGTGCAGAATCTGTTGGCCGCTGCTGTCATCACCATCAGTATCATGTTGGTGCTTGTTGTTGTTGTTTTGCTTGGTTGGATCACTGCCCTAATTTTTCCTCTGTTGCAGGTCCAGTGATGAAGCTGCAGCAGAGAACTCCTCGCCGGCGGGGCCAGCAGCCCAAGCTGCTAAACAGCCCCGAAGACAGCCTGTACTACAACCAGCTAAATGTGAGTTCAAAGTGCCGATAAAGGCCTTTGTCTGACTTTGGTTCCACATGATAATACAATTAAACCTACCTGTGCCAGACCCTGGAGCCCCACCCCCACGCTTCTCTGCCTCTTGTCTTGAACATGTGCTTATGCTCTTTATCTGTTGCTTTCATGTCAGGATGTCTGCCTTCACGGTGAATAATTGATGTGGTTTATCAAAGCTGAGCAAGATGCATGCTTCATCAGACTCACTTGAGCCCTTTGATCAGAAAAAATTATGCTGTGACTTCTGATATTATCAGCATCTGCTCGCATTCAACACAAAATCACTTTGAATTAAAAATTAATGACTCTCTGCTCATCTTTTGACTGTGTGCTCTTGGCCCTTTCCTCAGAGAACTCTGGATTACCAGGGGAGCAAGAGGAAGCCGAGAAAACTTGGGTAAATAACTGCTTTCCTACTTACAGCAACTCTAAACAGAGCAGGCCCTTTGTGGAATAGGAGAATCCAGAAATGGAGTTGTTTTCTTATAATGTAAATGGAGAGCCGAAAATAACAGGCTTCTTATGAGCAGTTGCTCTGCGTCATTAGAGAGGGGGTTACATATTAAGGCTTTGTCAGCATGCTAATTTTAATTGTTGAAGGTCTGACTTGTATTTGTACTATAAAATGACGTCCTGGTTCAGATCAGTGTGCTTTAGCAAATGTGTGAACGCCTCATCGCTGTATCTGCAAATATTGTTTTTAATCTAAATGTCTAGTTTTTCACATCCAGACGGCTCTGTATCCCTGTTACTTCTCAGCACTTTCTCGTCTTCTTTCCCATCACAGTCAAATCAAAGTGCTGGATGGAGAAGATGAGTACTACAAATTACTGTCAACTGTGGAGTCAATCCCCGAGGAAGAGTACGCGACCGCCCCCCCCTCCCACCCTTTCTAGTGGGCCTCTCGTCAGTCAGAGCTGAGCCTTACAACCATGTCAACCGGTAAGACAGACGCACTAGACATGTAGACAGACACTCCAAAGAACATCCTCGGTGTTGGATGTGCTGTGGTATGTGGAGCAAGTAGCAGCAGTGCAGAACAAGCGACCTGTACAGGCGATGCTCTCAGCTCTTAATCCAAAGTGTTTACAAGGACGTCTTACTCATCAGTGATATTATTATTACAACAGTTTTCTGTAAGCATTGTGCTATTTTCTGTGTAGCTAGCCACCACGTTTTCTCCATTTCAGCTGAGGTTTCATCGCCATAATGCTTGATTATAGAAGAGGGGCTCCACATATCTTCCACACTGACTTGTACTTGCTGCTAATGTGGCAAACATTTGTAATATTATGGCGTTTGTCATTTTTCCAGAGGTCCTAAAGCCTGCACTAAATAAAGACGTTATTATTCAGCTTACAAACCGATGTGAAATGGTACAGATGTTGCATCAATAAATAAATTAATGCTACTCTGGGAGGGGAGGTTTCATAAATAAAAAACAATTTGCAAAGTCACAATGAAACACTTAAATGCTGAGCATCCATTAATGTTATTAGATGTTTAAGCTCTATGCCAGGGCTGAAATAAACCTTTATTCTTATTGTCCATGTATCTACTATTTATTTTATTCTCCCAGAAATGTTAAAAATAATGACCAATGCCTGAGACAAAAGAAAAATCTTCAAATTGTTTTGTCAGAAATTCCATAATATTCCATTTATTATGATGTAAACTGAAGAGAAGCAATCAAATACTTGGATTTTTAAAGCTTTAACCAGCTGGCGTTTGGTGTTTTATCTCAATATATGACAACAACAACAGTTAGTTTCTTAAAATTAAATTGATTATTAATTATTTTCTGTCAATTGACTTATCTATTATTGTTTCAGCATCACTCCACTGTTACTCTAAGGAGCTCCTCATCTTGCAGTCAGCCTGTTTCTAAACTCAGTGGTGTTAACCTGACTTGAAAACATCTAACTATTTTTGAGCACTATGTCTATTGTCTAAGACAGATCCAGAGACAAATCCCTCTGAAAGCCAAAACTCTCCCTACGAGTTCTCCCACAGCGAGCTGCCTGTAGTTAGAGGGGCTTTGTGCTGTCTGAGTGCTGGAATCACCACACATAGCCTCACAGAGGCAGAGCTAGACCTCACTTTGAATTTCACCCTAAATACAGGAATTTTCTTTTAAGATGTGAAGTGTCGGAAATGCAGGGCTGGCGAGTTGATTTGTGGAGCTTTTTTTTTTCCTTTTCAATTTGCATATCATTTACTGCATCTCCCTTTGTTGACACCCGAGGGCCTGAGAGGAGATTTTGATCTTAATAGGAAGAGTAGGGTGGTATGACTGAGGATCTCATCCTTCTTATACTCAGCAGGGAAAACATTAGAGCTCTGCCTAGATAGCGAGACCGGCTTCACTTAGGTTCAGGTTCACAGGAATCCTGGTGGGTTAAAAGAGGCCCAAAGTGTTCATGAAATCCCACCGCTCAGTACTGTGAGGGTCAGACTCAGATTGAGACACTGAGAACTGACAACACTGGTTATATGCCTTATTTCTCCTTTGTTTAAGCACGTGTTTGCTTAGATGCCTCCTCCTAAAATGAAGTGTAGTCAAAACAAGTTGCGAGTGAAATTTAAGATGATACATGGTGTCAAGTGCTTGGTGTTTTGTCACTTTGACACTGTGGTTTTAACCCTGCCATTTTCCAACCATAACTATGCTGTTTGTTGTGTTGAACTGCCACAATGCTTGTAGTGGTATTATGGTTAATCCAAACAGTGTTTTAAATGTTACACAACCTCTACAAAGTGTTCTAACCCTTTACAATTGAAAGCAACCATTACAAGTAAAAGTCCTGCATTCGTGTTAGAAGGTTACAAGTCCAGATCTTTATGCAGAAACCGCCTCCTGTCATTGATTATTAATATGTGCTCATTATTGGATTATTATAACTGATGCATTTATGTCGAAGCAGCAGTTTCCACAGCAGTTAGTTGAGGTGGAGCTCTTTTTTACCTTGTTGGGTAGTTTAATCTTAAACAATGGATTGTATTTTATAAGCTCATCATAGGTTTTGTACATAATAACTTCTAGGAACTACAGCTGTTAAATAAATGTAGCTGAGTAAGAAGTTACTGTTCCTAACTGCACCACTTGGGTGAAAAGATGTAACACAAAAGCAGCCCTTATTTAATACATTTTTTATATAAACATTGTGTTTATGTAATTTTCTCATGTCAATAAATACTGCGAAGTTTGAGATTTAGCTCCAATTATCTGCGGACAACAATTTCTGCCAAAAAAAGAGAAGAAATCAGCTGTTTCAATGATCAAATTAGCTCACATAATTAAGATGCATCAATAATAAAATCCCAGTCTTCTCAATTTATTGTCATTTTTCACTCTGCTAAAAATTCAAAGAGTAATACCCCAGACCACTGGCCGTGTTATAATGTGGTGTCACAGTTAGTTCAGAAGCATTTCACCTCCGGTTGTAGCCACAGATCCTGCAATAATTAAAATCCTCGTTGTGCATTACTCCCTTGCTGGGATAGTTGGCTCCTCTGAAGAGCAGTCTGAAATAGGTCACCCCAGCACCCTGTAGTGCATCTTAAAAGTACACTGAATCAATTAAGTGTGATCATGCTCCCTTGATTATTTTGGCCCTGTTTTTACCACGGAGAGGAATTTCAAATAGGCTCACTAGTTTGAATAACAAGGTTGGACTGTGGTGACAAATGGTTCCAGAGTGGGTGTTTCTTCCCCTGTTTTTCTCTGCCAAATTAACTCCCTGGCTGATTGCCTGCTTTAGCATATGAGAGGAGGTGAGCGGAGGTGTGTACGTAATTGCCTTGGTTAGCTGATTATGTGTTGCAAAAAGGCAAATGTTATGAAATACTGTCGTCACTCTCATGAAAAGATGCTCTGACCCCGACGAACCGAAGCTCCTGTGTTTTGCTCGGACTCCTGGTGGTCGTCTTCTGCTGAGGGACGGGCGCAGTGTCGGCGTTCGAGGCCTGACACCTGTGTTCTCTTTAATACCTCTTCGTAAATCCAGCTCCCTCTTGTTTTTCCTCATTAAATCTGACAACATCTGGTGCGGGAGAGAGGACTGCTTTAATGTGGCTAACGTTACTGCTGGTGTTATTCTTGCCATTTTTAGCTATTTGCTTCATGTGCAGCACTTTCTTTTAAGCTACATCCATGGCAGCCCCAAACACTGTTATCCAAAGTTTTAAACCACCTTTATGAAAATCACTCGCGCTGCAGCCTTAACAAATGATGAAAAGCTTTTATTTTCTAAAGAAGGATACTTACCTTTTCACCTAATAGTGATGTCTCACTTCAAAGAGAGAACACGATTAGGCCAACATTGTCCTGTTTCTATATCCTGTGAGTTCAAAGGGAGAGTTTGAATACCTGTATTTCATGTGCAGCCTTTTCAAATACTGTTTTAATGCAGTTTACGTGCTTTTGATATCCAGATGTGTCAGTTTTCCACCACAGTAGAATATATCCCACTATATTATGATTGCATACCACCGTTTTTTTTAACCGTTTTTGTTTCCCACCAATGTGAAGGACAGGGGACGCACAAGACACCTAGAATAGCCACAAACTCAGCATTGTGATGCTCTTTGCTGGCTAATGATTGGTGCCAAAGAAAAGCGACAGAACACGAGCGTCACCCAGATGTCAGATGTGTGTTGAGGGCCCTGAGCAAAAGAACATTCCCCAAAGACGGCATTAATAAAGAAACTGGTTGAGCCGGGTAGAGACAGAGAGTGTAAGAGGCAAAGAGGAAGAAGGAGATAAAAGAGTCTGTTGAGTACATACATCAAAGGTCTCTTAATGACAAGGGATGCCATTAGGGTTACAGTGGCTTTTGTTTCAGCTTCCTCACACCTGCAGTTTGTTGAGGGTGCTCTATGCACTGTTTTGTTGTTAACATTTGCATGAATATAAAATGCATGCATGAGGAGATAAGAGTTTGTTCCTGGCTGCTAATCTTGGTGGGGACCAAATGTTTTTTGGTCAAAATTACAGCTTCCTTTATCCATTTGCATGAAAGAGATGTAACCATTCAGTGGCTTCCCGGTATAAAGAGGGAGCTAGAACAATGGAGACAGTATGGAAAAGCTGTTATCCTGTACGCCATGAAATTTATTGACTTAAAAGTTTTCTTGGTGCCTCCGGTGCTGGAATGGGATTCGACAAATCAGAGCGTGAAATTGTGATTAGCCTCTCTCAGTTTGTAGACGGAGTGGGGCACTAGCAGACTTGGCATGGCCAAAGGTGTAACCTGTTTTGTTTTTGCCCCGGTGCTGCTTTCCCAGATGGTGGGACCAGCTGCCATTGAATAAACGCTGGACGAGTAACAGTGTGAGAATTACCACGGCCTTGTTTCGGTTTGGGATGCGTAACAGAAAGCTTGTCTTTTTGCCACTGCCAGGAGGAGCAGGGACGTATCACCTGGTGCTCAACCAGACGACCTTTTGATTAAGGTCAGAGTGAAGAAGAGTCCGGTATAAATGTTTTAAAATCTGTCCAACAGCTCCTAGATATTTGTGTAGTTGTCCATGCAGACCACCCACTGTCATTTTTACATCTTTACATATCCCCTAAGACCACCTGCTTACATACTACGTGCACACTCTTAGGTTTTCCTTTTTTTATTGATATTTTTAAGAAAGATGAGTGGGTTTACACAGTCGTTCACTAACATAATGGGTTCTATCCTACAGAAAGAAATATATAGTCAGTGTTTTCCTGTATTCTGCACATTATATCATCAAGTCCATTTCTCCTGTTTATTTCAGTCTTTCATCTTCAAAAGTATCTTTTCTCTGATGAACGTTTTTGTTTAAATATTTACAAAATAAATACATATATACAGTTTGTTTAGTCCAGTACAACATATAATCTTATTTTACTGCTAAAAGAAAGTTACAGACTTGAACAAATTAATGTCAAAAAATACCTTTTTGCAGATATTTTCAGGCCTGTTTTTTGTGTTTTGAAGGAGTTGAGAACAAACAACTTATTGTGCACAGCTGAAGCATTCATTGATGACTATATTTCAGTTTCCCACAAATATTGCCTATAGCTGAAACAAGCATGCAGCAGCTCTTATTACCTTGCTCAAGAGCTCTGGAGCTATAAAACCTGGAAAGAAGTCGCTAAAATGAAAGTATATTTAAACATTTAAGTATATTTAAAAAACGTAAACCGCCTGGTCTTAAAAGCTGACAACGTCTGAATATGTGAACTTTTTATTTTCATTTTTTTTCCTGGGAGAGCTCTGCAGGCTGTAACCTTGTACATCATCACAGAGGGGGAGAGTTTCCCTCCCTCTAGAGCTGGATTAACGCATCCAGGGTGGGCTGAGGGAAGGTAAAATGACCTGTCCCGCCTTATGTGACCCCAGGCCAACCCTGCACATTGCCAAGGCTTTGCTCTTTGCTCTTGAATATGCAGAGATCGTCCAGCTTCATAGGCTTGGAAGAGAGAGGGAGAGAGAGAGAGAAAAAAAAGAGTTGTATCGCATTGCAGGGAAAATTAGTGAGACCAAAGTTGGAGTTTCTGTGTGTTGGGGGCTGCGAACAATGGCAGCTTTCTGTCAGACAGCAACTTCAAAGGTCGGCTGAGTGACTGCTCTGAGTTATACTTTGTTGTAGATCACTGAGGAAATTCACAGATGTTTTCTCATACGAGACACCATTATAGCGGCTCAAGTACCCAGTAGCCTCGAGCGTCTCTCCCACTCCCCCACCCCCCATATCTCTCTCTCTCTCTCTCTCTCTCTCTCTCTCTCTCTCTCTCTCTCTCTCTCCCACACTGAAACTGACTCTGTCTCTCTCACACACACATGCACCCTCCCCTCCCTCAACCCCAACCCTCATCCCCATCTCTGATATCTCTCGTATGAGACAGATGTGGAACCTGTTTTCTCTCGAACTGTCCAGAGAATATGGAAAGTTAAAAAGGGTTCGTGTTGTGGCGTTGCCCCCTCGCTCTGTCAGATCCATAGTTCTGTCTGTCAATCTGCTCAAAATGTCAAGATCGCATGCAGCTCCACTCTCTCAGATCCGTTTGTGGTCAGTGCAGTGAGTAAAGTAGAATCGTTCAATTAAAGTGATATGAATTGAACACTGAACAGCAATAGTGAAAAAGTATTTTGAGTGTGCTCTTCCTCTTGTTCTTCCCTCTCTTCTGCAGATTGCCTTTTAACTGGACCCGAACCAAAACAAACTCAGCAACATTTATTGTACATTTTTATTTATTTATAGTAAACTGCTGTTTTATATGAGTCAAATAAATATGTTTAAACTGCTGACTTTCGACTGTTGGTGTCATTTTTTTTGTTGTGTTTTCTGGTAATTGCATAACTTTATTATACAGTTAATAGAGAAATATAATTGACCACAGTGGCATTATAGTCTCAGTTTAGATGTGTGTAATATCTGCTTTTGTTTTAATTGGAATGATCTAAACAACACTTAAAACACTTTTTGGGACAATGCAAAGTATAGTTATATGTTATAATTGTCTCCAATCTGCTGTAATGTTCACGTTGTAAGGTGTAAAAGTAATCCCAACATGAAACCAAAGCACCTGTTTGTCACTTGTTGAACTTTTATAAAATGTTTAATTTTGTTTTCAACTCAGGAAATGAACCGACGTTTATATATGTGCAGAAAAAGACCAGCTTCTGTTTCCTGTAAACACTGCAGGACTGTATCTTCTTTTTTAGATATACCGCTGATGCTTAAATGCAGCTGCACACACGTCTCTTAACAGTATTCCTGTTGATTGACTCTCTGCTTTATGGTTTAAAGTACTGTATGAAATACACGGATGGTACTGACTGATTCCATGTTCAAACCTTTGAGTGTCAGGCAGTAAAATATTGCAGTGGGGGGTTCCTCAAAGTTAATTTTCCCATCGAATGCCGCCGGAAAAATTTCTTTCAGCCAAACCACTGCTGAGGTGACCCTGTAAAACTTGAGGCATGGCCACGAGATGGTAAAGGTTTGGAGCAAGTAAATTACCTCGGGGAGTGGACATTGTGTCAAGCACACAGTCATGAATTTCTTACAAACTATATCAAAGTCCTGCTCAGCCAAATCCATTCCTCAGCTGGAGTCCTATTGAGATGCATTAAAATGTAAGAACTTGCATTTAGGTGCCGAACTGAGTATCTAAAAGGAAGATATCAATAATTTGGTAACACTGATGGTTCGCAAAATTCATGCAGTTGTCATATATGGCTGAAATTTGCCTTTGCATAGCATGACAGCTCACATGTAAAGCAGATTTGTGTGAAAATCCACCCTAAATCAGAATTAATCTGCTATTTGAATGTCCACCAGTCGTTGCTGCTGCTCGGGTTCGTAGAGAAATCCTAATTCTGTTTTAGGGTGGATTCTCCCGTTACTTTACCAGTTGTCTGGTTTGACATAAGAGAGCAGATTACAACATTTGACATTTATCTGACATTTAAACCTGGAAGCAAAAACTAACTGACAGCGCTTTTCTGCACAAATACAAACTTTTGGGAGTCAGACTGTGAAAGTGTTTACTGCAGTGACGTCTGTGCCAGTTAGTAAAATTAGTTGGTAACAGCTGGTTGACTGTGTTTACAGCCAATTTATAATGATCTTTTCACCTGTTTTGAGTACAGTTGTGTCAAAATCCTTTTATTTCAAATTGCATAAAGTGGACATTTACACTAATAAAGTACATTTTACATTAAAAAATATTCTGGAACCACTTTCTAATAAGGTATCCTTTATAAACTGTTTATACGCAGTAACTAACAGCTTTATACATTTTTAATAAACTAGTTAATACTGCTTTATAAATCAGTTATAAGCCATCAATAAGAACAAAATATCCCTTTTGCTGTTGTTTCCTCTTCCAGCATGATGCATTGTCTTTTTGTCTTGGCTAAAATAGATATTGTGTATAAAAACTCATTATTAATGACTTATTAACATACTGCAGACCTGAATGGTTAGTAGAAAGTTAGCAACCTTGAGTATTTATTAATATTTTACCTACATTTGTAACTGAATAATTACTCAAATAGAAAGGATAAACACCAGTCAAAGGAATTTTTCACAACCTGGCAACCCAAAACTTGTTCCTACTGATCTATAAACCATTCGGCCATTTTAAAATTCTCTTTTCACCTGTTTTGAGCTCCTTTTTTGTCAAAATCCTTTAATACCAAAATGCACAAAGTGAATACATGGACGCCAATAACGTACAATTCACAGGTAACAGCTTTATAAATGGTTAATTACTCATTTAGAAATACTTCATAGATTTGGAATCCATTAATAAGATCGTGTTTTTGGTTGCCAGGTTGTGAAGAAAATCCTTTTGGCTGCACGTTGTTATCCTGCAGCAGGATTTTTCACAGTTTGGCAGCCTGAAAGTTTTTCTTATTAGTTGCTCCTAACTGATTTATGAAGCATGAGTAAATGATTTATTAACCATCGGTAGAGTAATTAGTAATAACTTAAAAACAGCGTATAAACAAGTATATTTCTTGATCATGAAAACAAACATTTATAGTGGGGCTGAGGTGATTTTCCAGTAGTCACGTATAGGTGTAACTTATTAAAGAGTTACTACTAAAGTACACACACACACACACACACTCTCTTATGTAAACGGTAAATTTAATAGGATGTGGCTCAGGATTCAAAGTGACCTTCTTGTTCTCTGCATATTTTTATTAGCTCTACAGAACAAACTTCATCACCTACTGCTTCCATAACTTGATGTAAACAAGGTTAATCTCCACTAGTTTTGTTTTTTTTTATCAGCCAACAGTGTGACTACACCAGTCCTGTAGCCAGTTTTGTAGTTTAACATGGCTCCAGTGCAGCCCAGCAGGACTCCCCCTTTCCCTCATGACTGTGTGTAAAGCCGTGGGAGAGGACTGGGAACATTAATCCCTTCAAAGGAACAGATCTAATTCAAAATCTGCCGCTCCAAACTAGTTGAGAGGACAGTGATTGTTTCTGCAGGGAAGCCAGATAAAGATCAGAGAGTTGATATAGAAAAACTACAACTTCCATTTTGACTGCTGTGCCACAAAAGTTTGGATATTATCTTACGAGAACTGCATACTTTTGCCTTTATTAAATGTTCTGAAACAAAAAATAAAAGACAAAATGTGATATTATATTCCTGATTAAGTTCCCTTAGATTATAAATACCTTTGTTTAATGCGGATGCTTAAGTGCACGACATCCTGTGACTGAGAGGCTCCTCACTGACATACTGACAAGTTTATAAGAAAACAGAATTGAGACATCAGCATTTCAAGTGTTGCTTTTGTCACCTGATTTTAAGTAGAAGTTTCCCCCCCTTTGTGTCATGTTAAGTAACATGTTATAATTTGAATTAGCTGCTGGGAATTCACCCTGAGGCTCTTGATCTCAGCTACATTTTAATACTCAACAAAGAAAATGAAAAAGAAATTAAAAAAATCTAAATTAGGAGTAAGGTTCTGATAAAACAAATGAATGAACTGAGTGAAGGAGAAATAAGTATTTAAATAATTCAGAGAGGGCATAATTAAGTGTTTAATGCTTTGCTGTGGTTCAAAGGAACAACAAAGACATTTTAATTTTAAATTAGAAACGTAAAAGAGACGCAGATTCTTCAGAGATGAGAACTTTGTGTTGAGTCACTTGATTTGGTCTCTTTCCTCCATCAAACAGTCAGGCGACGCTCTTGGAGATCTCCAGAGATAACAATGTCACATTGTCACATAGGGTTCTGCTACAAATCCTTAATTACAAAAAGAGGATCAGATGACTACAGCAACCAATACCGGGGTCTCCAGGCGGCATGGGGGTCTTTGATCAAGAAAATCCAATTATTTGTGTATATACATTTCCCACATAGTGATTACTTCATTAATTGTCCCGCCTTTATCTCCTCCCTTCCCATCCCCCCTAATAATCAGCTCCTTTATCCAGACCAACAAACACACCATAGGAGCTTTGTGGATTCAAAGGATTTGCTTTCCCCTCTCAAAGAGCCGCTATTCTTTGATGATTGGGCAGCGGCAAACTTCAAAGTAATAAATCTTATTTCTGACTGGCTGGCGGCCCACCAAAGTCCTTATCAAATTCTAAGAAGTGATCCCTCACTCTTCAGATAGACCGAGGATATCTGGCAGAGAGGAAGCAACCGGAGAGAGTGTGGAGACCCTGCTCGGCTCGATATTTCACCGCGAATGCGCACATTTATCTCGAATTAGTGCTTTTTTTTATTTTTATTTTTGTTTCCATCGAGAGGGAGGAGGACGTTTACCATGGCAGCAGTGGCTGTACTGCGGAATGAAACACTCCAGGCTTTTCTCCAGGTTGGTGCGCAACTTTCTGTTTACTTTGACGACTTTTAATAACTTGTGAACTTGCTCATCCCGGGGGTTTGATTTACGAGACTTTTATATTAAGCGAAGATTTCAAAAATATAATAATAATTAAAAAAAAAAAAAAAGTCGTGCAACCTTCATAGTCCAGTGTCATATAATTGAATTAGCACCGCTAATTGTTTGGGGTGTTAATGACTCCTGCTGCAACATAACGCCAACTTTTATGTCACATCACTGAGATTCAGGCTCACAGGATCGATTTACAAGCAGATGTAATTCAAACTATTTAGACAAAAACCCCATTTCAGCATTAGTCTGGTTGTTGAAACGCAGCACATTCTTAGTGTGTGTGTTTTTTTTTAACCGTGTAAAGTGTGTATAGAAATCATGATTGTAATGTAGGAAATGTGTGTCTCGGTTATCCAGGATCGCACTCCCAACTCTTCTCCAGAGAACTGTAAGCACTCTCCGCTGGCTCTCCTGGCTGCCACTTGTAACCGGATCGGCCATCACCACGGATCAAACCCGACAGATTTCCTCCAAGTCCCTTACGACCCCACTCTGGGCTCCCCTTCACGTTTATTTCACCCGTGGACTAACGAGGGGACCCCTCAGAGCAGCCTGGCCAGCAACTCCACTTTCGGACTATCCTCCAAGCCCCAGCTGTCTGCGCACATCCAGAGCTCCTTCAGCTCGCACCACGAACTGCCCCTCACCCCTCCGGCGGACCCCTCGTACCCATATGACTTCTCCCCTGTGAAGATGTTACCTTGCTCCATGCAGTCTCTGCAGTCCACCTGCCCCCCCACCTACGTCCCCGCTGTCAGTTACGCAGCCCCAACTCCCATCCCGACCGCCATGCCAAGTTTTGTCACGGGACCCTCTGGCCTTGTGCACCAGCAGCAGAGACAGTTGTCCCCAAACCCTGGAGAGGA